TTTTTTTTTTTTTCAGGCTCCAGCATTAAACAGAGTTTAGTCTAAGATAAGTGCCGGTGAAACTGAGCAAGGCCGCCAAGTGCCCTACTGTACGTTCGTTGTGCCTCAGAGTCCCAATCCGCTCAAGTGGGATGAACTTTTGGTTGATAATCAAGTGCACATGACGTCGACGGTTAGATGCTGTACCGCTAAGCTGTGGGGAAAGAGAGTGGATAATGAAGAAAGATGCATCGAAAAAAAGAATGCGAAAAAAAAAGAGGGAGAGAAGATTGGGAAAAAAGTGATGGGACTTGACCACACCTTGGAGATTTGTGCGGATTTGATTCCGCTCTCGGGGAGCCTTATTCAAAGACCCGTCTCATGCAGTTGTTAGTTTAATCGGGTACATATTCCCATTTATTCATATCTTGATCAGGCTAATGATTGTTAAATGGCCTGATCTTGACTCACAATATACTAGTTAGTTAAAGAATTTGCATGTCATCAGGATGCAAGTCTCTCTCCTCGATCAGATCTGTCTGTATCCATCCGCATTTCTCAGCTATTGACACGTATGTAACGTCAACGTAACAGAATCACAGTAGTATCAATTGTATTAACTAACATCTGTGATACTCGGAAACATGGTCTCAATCGAGAGAACCAGTTCATTCATGCAACTGTCTCACTGTCAACTTCCAATGATTGGTCCACAAAGACTCAGCTCCATTTTGGCTCATGATGAGGGTATCCACGATGCAAGATTGAAAGTGGAATCTCGCTTGACCAGGGGCACTTAACATGACGAGTCTGTGTGCTTCTATGTACGGAATCATGAAGAAGCAGAGACTCTCGGCAGTGTTGCAGTTGCAGCAGAGAAATGAAGAAGAGCACGAGCACATAATGAGATCATTCATTGTATTGCCAATACAAGCCAATGTTACAGTATCTATCACATTTCGCTAGTACTGGGTTTTCGGGAATCGAAGCACGGAGGTTTTCGTCCATTCGGCAGTTGTACAAAGGTGATCAACTGATCGACCACTACATAGCACCCTGTCTGCCTCATCTTTTGATCTCGGTTCCTCACTTTACAGTTTACGCAACAAGCACATGCAAATGGTTTCATTATTATGGGCAAGTTGAAGCAGAACAAAGAGAAAGAAAAAAAAAAAGGTGTAAATAAAACTGTAGACACTAAGGGGTGATAATGTGCGGAAATTCCGCTGCGGACTCCGAACGGTTTCGGCATCATGGAGAAGCCCGGACAGTAGAAAGCCTTAAACACACGCAAAACAAAGACAGATTGAGAAGATAACCTCATACCTGGAGTAGGTTCTGTAATACCACCCCTTTGATGACAGATATCTTGGAGCCTTGTACGTCACCGACTCTTGGGAACAGACAACACCAAGACGCCCGCGAATGCAAGCTAGGCAGTTTTGATGTGTATATCCGCGGCATTAGGAAGGTATCATCGCGGCAGTTCAATGGTGAGACGGTACATTCTCGAGAGTTTTACTTCCTGATCACCGTCGCTGTCACTCAGCTCAATGATCAGCCGGGTTCCATCACATTCACCAGTCCAGGACCAGCCCTACAGTGCATATGTCTTCGTATCATGAACCAATTCACCAATACCCGAGCCAGGACAGCACATTGTAAGCGGTTTGTGCCGCTGACAGAAACGAAATTTCGGGGACGGGAAGTTGTACTTGATCAACCTAATGATGAAGCTCAAGATGAAAAAAAAAAAAAACCGACCCCGAGAAGCTAAACCCTCTGGCGCTAGATTACCCGCGTTTAAATTCCCGCTTACATATGGCAATATTTTACTTAGCGTTATCAATGTTGGTCTTCAAGAGCATCAAAAATTGAGATGCATGAGTAGCCTCAATGATCCATCTGGTTATCTTGTTTTGGAATGAGATCAAGCAACTTGATACAGTCTGCAAATTGTCAACAACACCCGAGGTAGACCCATATAATTAACCTTTGAAAAGAGGACGATCCCTCGCTGATTTGCCACGTCCCTGATGCGTGTCTTCATCGGCGCCGAATATCGATGCCCCTGTTTTGACAAAAACAGAAGAAACCAACCCCATGAATTAGAATTAGTCACATGAAGCATCACAACTGGCCTTTGTTGCCGCGTAAGAAAAAGGTTGATGATGTCGGAAGTTGCCGCATGCCGATATGCATCCGTTTCATTGTGCAACGGCCGCAGGGCGAGGCCTTGAGAACTTTAAGATGGTCATGATACCACATATCCTTGCACGTCAACCGCTGTCAGTTCATCAGTAAAAGAAATGAGATATTAGACAGTATCCGTATTTGTCATTGAGACTCTACACTACAGTAGGTACGTCTCTCTCTTGTCTTGTCTTGTCCTTCTTGGCAAGCTAAACTAGCGAATTCCTGTTCGATCCGCCGGGCTGGAAACGTGTGGGCATGTGGATATCACTTAATAGATGGATGTTACAGCAACGGACCCGAGTATTAGGTACTGTACGGAGGTCGGTGCCACGGAAGACCGACAAGATTCCGCGACTCCTTGGATCGACCAAGCCTCGGACTCTTACTCTCGCTCAAGCACTTCGGAATCGGGCTTAGGCTTAGGCTTACAGCACCGTTCTCACCAGGCTCACCTTCTAGAAACGCCAACCACTCAGTCAGTGGCAATAAGAGTGGTGGATTTACGGCAATAAGTGGACGGAAGGGTGCCCTGGGGTGTTGAGCCTCCACTGAACCTGAACTGGATGATCTAAAATTTGCCCAAGAGTCCCGTCGATATCTACGATGCATCAGTAACAAATGTTGGTTATCCATCAAGCAATGACCAAGAGATCGATCTGGAAAAGTCTTCAACCGTGGAGAAGCGTCTTGAATATAGGTTATTTTGGTACAGAAATAATTGTGCGATGTGCTGGGTGGATTCACCCACACTTGAAGCAGTCAAGTAATCCATATCTTACACACATGATAATATCTGACAATGTGTTGGTGTTGTTGTACGCACAGAGCGATTAATTCCGTCTAGTAGAGGTATAATGCACATCCATTGCTCCTCGCAACGAATGATGAGCATGAATTGACCCGTCTTACCACATTATAGGTATCTCAGTCAGGGTAGTTGAAAGCAGTGTAATCAATCATTTGCCGTTCTGAAACCTCAGAAACAAGCTTCATAAGCCGAAGTGTCAAATCAAATCAAATCATCACCTAGCTCAACGACACGGCAGTCAGCACAACGCTGCATTTCCGTCCGTAATAGGTTTGATGGTCATTAACCACCGAGGTTTTGGTATTACTCTTTAGGTTTAAAGCTATGGTAACTGTAATACGCAAATACGTATACGTACGTATGTGCGTACAGTACAGTACAATGCATACATACCGCTACCTTAGTACTAAGATTGATAGACAACGTAATTATCGTAGTTACAATTCACAGCCACGGGGCAGCGAAACGAGGCAGCGTCAAGAAGAAAAGGAGACGATCGTCAAACCCCAGCTCGCTTGGCTTGGCTTACCTTGACTGAACTTGGCCTGGCTTGGCTTACTTGGCTTGAAGGTACTGTATGGTAGTCTGTACGAGAGGGTCTGTTCTCGTTCTCGTTCGTACACGTCCCCTAATCTGATCAAGCATGGTCCTGGTCCTGGTCTTGACTTTTGATCGCCTTGTCTTTAGGTTTTGGGTTCAATTTGCATGCGCCCTGAAAATGCGTTTGATCCTCACTAAGTCAGAAAGGATCATGGATGCCCAATCACGGTTGCATTCTAACGACCACGCAATGAATTGCACCTGTCAATGCGCCCTTCTCTCTCTCTTCTATGTACAGTCAATCAATGTAAGCACCATTAGAGACGAAGCAGCAAAGCCTCCCGTAAGCCATGATACCAGATGGATGGGACGGAATGGGATGGGATGCGATATGGATTGGATGGATGATAATGACAGTGATAGATAGCCCAGTGGAGGTACGTCTTCTGCGTCTCTTAAGTCCGCACGCTACGCGGACTTTTGCAGTGCGTTAGGCCCCCGAGCATGGGCCTCTAGCTTCTGAATGGAGCCCTGTAGACCACTGCCTTTAGAGACCTAGGTGCAGAGCACTGTATCGGAGCCCAGCACCTCAGACCCACACCATCAACTCATCATTATAGTGGGTCTCCCCTGACCTGACCTGGTCGGTCGGGTCGCTCCATAATCCCTGTTTGATTCTCTCTCACTCATTCTCATTCTCTCGCTTTCTCGGACATAAACACCACGCCGATTGACTATGCACACGCCCTGCCCTTCTCCCCTTTGCGGGCGGGAACTTTCCTACCGCTACCAGCTAATAGCTTCCGAGCACCGGGACTGGGACTGGGTGTGAGATCAAGATCCCATCAGGATCACTGCGCTGTACCTACTGCACTGTAAGTTAGCAGTAGTCTGCGGGCTTCTCACATAATCTCCATCCATAATTCCAAGGCCGTTGCTTGCGCATAACTTGGGTTCCATGACTGCTACTGTACTGTGTTGTACTGTACAGTCACACAAGCTTGAACTTGGCCTCGTCTGCTATTATTAAGCTCCTCGATCCCTTCTCTACTTTGCTTCCCTCCCCCCAGTCTCCCACTTCTTCTCAATATCGGTTTATTATACATACTCTCTCCCCCTCCATCTATTCCTGTCCCAGTTGCTTGGCTCTTTCTCAGACACTCTTACTCTTACTTAGTACCTACCTCAATATCTAATCCTCCACCTACATCGTGGATCGCCTTCAACCCCAACATACTTTACTCGACATATAATAGATACTATAGCTTCTGCTACTACTACTGCTACAATGGGATCAGGTAGCTTGCCCTCTCCTCCCGCTGAGGATCATAAGTCGACTCTCTCTCGAAAGAGCACATCGTCAAGTACAAAGTCCGTCAAGCCTGTGCATCGCACCTCTAAAAGAGCCAGCTCAAATGCTGCTGCAATTCACCACCACGATCATGTCACACATACAACTGGCATGGACGGTCGACATAAGCGTGTGTGGAAGGCTTGCGAACGATGCCGCATGAAGAAGACCAAGGCACGTTTTCCTCGTACTCCTGTCCCCACTCTCAACTAACACGGCAATCAAGTGTGACGGTGAATTTCCCTGCAAACGATGCAAGGACGACGGTCTAGTTTGCACTGCTGGCGTACGAAAGAAGATGGAATACAAGCAATTGCCTCGAGGGTATGTGGTATCCCGCAAAGGAAAATCAAGCAACCAATACAATACGGTGGACATGTCACTTACACGAAAATTCAAACAGTTACGCCGAGGTTCTCGAGAACACACAATTCGCTTTAATTGCTACCGTTCACAAGCTTTACTCAATGGTTCGAAACAACCAATCATGGGACTTGGGTGAGCCCGAATTAAACGATCGCGGCCAGCCCGTAATCCACAACATCGCCCAGAAGCTCGGATGTATCCGTCCCAACAGCGATATCGATCTTCCCGTGCATTCGGTATTCCCTGAAGACGAAGCTGGTATGGCTGAGCTGGCTCGACAACTCGAGGATCAGCAGAAGGAGCACGAGCCTCAGAAGGAGTCCATCAAAGATACGGATTCTTCAGTGTGCAACCGAACCGAGCGAGCGTCATCATCGGAGCTCGATCACTCCGATATCGATGTCGAGTACGACTACCGAAAAGCCGCCTTTGGTAACACCAACGCCATGACCCTTTCACCGCAGAGCTTCACAGGGTCTCCTGACTTCGACTTTGCCCCTCCACCACCTGAGATCGACGCTTCAACTCTCTTCCCCTCACAATCGCCCTCTATGAACAACTTCCCCGCCTGGTCAATGGTCAAGCCTCAACTCACCGACCTCACTATGCAATTTCTACAACAACAGCAACAACAAAACGGCATGATGGCAAATATGGATATGTTGAACCAGGGTCTTGTGGAATCAGAATTTGGAACAATTAAGCCTCACGTCCTCTCCTGTCCCAACCCTGAGGTGATGTTGGGCATGGGCGATCCTATGATCTATTCAGGCTACGAGGGCGAGCCGATGCGATTATAATCTAATCGACCGACGACCAAACGAACTGAACTTTGACTGTACAGTATGATTAGACTTGATTACGGCCATTCTTTATTTCGTCGAAAAACTTGTCACGCGGCACGGTGTTTGTGGGATTTTCTAACTACTCCAAGGGTTTTGGGTGTTTCTTTTCTCGGGTGGATTATACCCGTGGGGGTTCGGTGTTCAAAGGCACGGATTCACAGAAATGGTGCGGCGTTGTATGTTTTCCGAAGACCGATGTGGTCATGGATGGGATATGGGACCAAAGATTTGGCACGACTGCAACATTGAAGTCGAGGCCATACAGAGGAATTGAGTAAAGTTAGAAGGCATATTTGGATAGACTCATGCATTACTATACCTAATCCAACTCCCGAAATGATCATCTTCGAAAGTCACTTTATATCTGCTGTGCTGTGCTGCCATATTCAGCGTTTGCCCTGTCTAATCTAACTCAGCAGAGTTACATTGAGTGAGCCGCCCGCAATAGTATCGCAACGTTAATACTGTACCGCATGTGCAGCTCTTAAGCCACAGACAGGCACATCATCTTCTACCCTCCATCAGACCATGAACCAGTCGGCTACAATCTCACTGAAACGGTCTAGACCTACAGTATCGATCCCCTATTTCAAGTCCCCTACTGCAAAATGCACTGTTCTTTTTACATCTCTTTTGGGGGTCTCGGGGTCTTTTGAGGGTCTATAGCGCAAATCACCGAGCTGTCAGATTCCGTCCCCCCGTGTAAATGCCGTAGGTCACACACACACACACACCTTCTTTCTAACGAACTTTGCAGTAGCACGGACCCTTGATGAGTGAGTTATTCCTAACAGTTATGGTTAAGCTAAACTACCTACCTATTTACTTTGGTTTGCTAGGGTCCACCCTGGCAAAGATTGATTGCAAATCAACTCGACTCATCGAACTTGAAAGGGGAAGAAGCGCCGAGTCTATGATAAATCCCCAAAGGTTTTCTGTCATCACAATTATTCTAGCTATAAGCTCTAAAACAGTGACACTCAGAAGCCGCAGGGTTAACGACACGCCTCTGCCGATTTGGTCCTAGTATGGAAACTCGGAGCTAAGGTGTAATACAGCAGGATGCCGCGCGGTACCTTTTGAATCCTTTCTTTCAGTCAAAGTGAGCCGTAAACCCGGGAGAGGTTTTTAGCATTCAATAGAGCTTGCAAATGCGATGTGTTTGATGACCAATGATTGAAAAGCTCCCTTGGTCTCTTCCTGTGAGGACAGTCTAGTCTTCTTGAGGAAGATAGCATAAGAGTCATCATTGATCATTCATCAATCATTCATCAATCAAACATCAGATCAGATCAGCAATGGATCCCACCAGAGGCAAAAGAAAATTCATTGGTTCCTCGTGGAATGGGCTCAATCCGTCATTGAGGTTGCTGCTGCAGTTAGCTGCAGCTTCTGGGTACAGTAGCAGGCCGAGTATGGCGGGCTGCTTACAATAGCATTAAAAGGCTTTTCATGGGAAAAGTCTTACAACCCTTGGCATAACGGCGGGATATGCTGAGGTAGTTTAGTAATACATGTGGATATGTGCCGATGGCGTAGTTTAACCCCATTGTTCTCTTTCAGGAGTAGCACGGTAGACGAAGGGTTGATTGATTGATTGATTAGTTTATTAACTGAATTGTAGAGCAACATGAAGGTAGACGATATCAATTGATGATAAGTCAGACGAGGTTGGGAATGCATGTATGTGTGTCACCGTCAGCCCTAGCATGTTGTTGTTGTTGGGCGGACGAACCAATGCCGAGTCGGACAACGCAACGGCCGAAAGAGACGTTGAAGCTAAAGCCGCAGCTTAAGATGATGACACTGTACTGTACTGTACATTACGGCACTGTTCGTCTTTGGATGCATGCAGTTGAAAGGTTTCAACCTCAACATTTCACTATTCTTATTATATACTGCATCATTATGATTTCTTACCAGCGTATACAATAACATGTGCTGCAACTGTATCAGTGATGGTGGACCATTGCAACCTGGAGGTGGTCAATGATCTACAACACGTCATGGATTACAGTACTCGGTTGTCACTGATAGACAGACAGACACAAGATGCAGTATCCGTACATAGCCCTTGTTTAATGAACAAGGGAATATCAGTCAGCTGTTTATTTAGGTGGTCTTGGTCGTTTAGACTGCAACCCCCTCCGCGGAGCCCCAAGTGGTCCCCGCCCCGCGGAGTGCGGAGTTAGAAAGACACCAGAAGGAAGACGGGCCAATAACAATTAATGTTGGAGACCGGCTTTCGGGGTTTTGCTACCCTCCGGTGCGCAGTGGGTCCACGGACGGTCACGGCTTCGGTCAACGGAGTCATCATAACTCAGGAGAAGGAGAGAAAGAAAAGAACCCCCAGGAAGACAGAGAACGAGCAAGAGACAAATAGACAGGGGTGCTGTGAAGGATCGAATCCATCCCTTGCCCCTTTTGGGGTAAACCGTTGTTAAAATCTTGCCTTTTCGGCAATAACTACATGGAGTAAAAGGGTCAGCCACTGAAACGATTGTACCGACAATGTGGGCAACAGATCATATGTGATCATGAGGACACATTGAAGAGCAAGAGCAAGAGCAAGAGCAATTTTTTTAAGCTTTTAGCTAACGTGGATGTGTAATACGCAGTAAGCCCATTACGTTGGATAGCACCGCATAGCATACCAGAAACAACCTGGGTGTCGATCAATTGGGTAGATGAAGCTACAATGATCAATTTCCATTCTGTTCAAAAGCTGTGTATAATCGAGTTGATTGCTCTTTGTGGAATGCCCATGTATGATCTGAGGGAATTGCAAACGCGTTGTTTTTTTCGCATACCTCGCATTCTCTTATGGAAGTTCGTTTAAGAGAAAGCGATCATGTGGGGCTTCTTGAACTTGAACTGTCAATAAGCCGGGCATGGAAGCCAAGCCAAGCCATGCCATGCCATGCGGCAGGTGCAGTGCAGGCGTGCATGCATATGTGGGGCCGAGCAGCGGGAGGCAGTTGCTAGATAGAAGGTACCTACCTACCGTAGGTACTCTGTATTGGACTTGCCTTATTGACTGTGACCGTAAATTCCATTTTGAAATGCCGTGCCGCTTAGTCTACACAACAAAGCGAGTCCGAATTTTGAGATACTGATAGAGGGCATCTTATACGTATCACTGCATATTGTTGAGCCCAAGACCATACTTTCTCTCTTAATCTTGTGTTGCTCCAGTCTGCTACGTAATTAGACTCATCGCCCAGCTACTGTATACCTCTCACCTTGATGATTTACAGCCAGGGTTTCACGTAGGTAGCCAAGATCGACATGTGAAGTCTCAACCAACATTCTCAAGAATATTCATTTTCGTATTTTGTTGCATTTCCAACCTCGCCAAACACCTTGACTGGATCCATGTTGTATTTTACACCGCACCCACAAAGAATCACATACGCCACGGGCCATTGTCACCCTGTATATCTGTATGTGTGGCTGTACATACAATCAATCAATCAATCAATCAATCAATCACTGCTCCAATGATTCAACACAGAGTCCGAGAGCAGAATTTGGACGGCGCAGTTCAATTCACAAAATACAATCCATGATATCAGACATCTCCTTGACAAACCTCATATTCCATCGCTTGGCTTGGCTCTCTTGATTGCCCGTCTGCTCATTTCCCTGGCAGAGGCTTAGACCGCTCGTCCACGTAACGAAACCAGCCAAGCTCTTCCAAGCCTCCATCTTCATACGTGTACTACTGTACAGTTTAGCTGGGCGACTGTATACGCCGTAATTGTTTGACTTGCACGTGCACATGCTCTTCTGTTCTGGGTATTCGATTCGACTCCATGCTGTGCTATGCCATGCCCCCTGCAAGTTCGGTACATACAAGGGGCATGGCATGATAGCAGAGTTAAGCGGTAGGAGCTAAGAGACCGAGCGAGCTGACTTTTGCGACAATGAGATGCTGCGCGGCAATTAGTGGTTGGAAGGCAGAAAACGAGATACGAAATCCCCATCTTAGCCTCAAACTTTGTCGCAATCCTGCTCGCCATTGCAGAGCCAAGCCTTGGACGAGATGCCCTATGCTTTGCTTGGCACGGCGTATTCCCCTCTCTTCTCTTCTCGTTCTCGGTCTTGGAACGAAGAGGGTTAAAATCCTTGGCTGACAAAATAATCAAGACATTTGTTAGAAGGACGCCTTTGCTTCACGGGTCCCGATCGAGTTGGCTTGCCCTCGCTGTTACACAACCAATTTGTCCGTACAGTGTCCGAGTCGGGCTTTGCTATTCTCCGCGTAAACGACTCGCATATCAAACTTGAATACGCGTATTGTTCTTTCACGATCCGATCGGGGTTTAGAAAATTCTCCTCCAAGCAAGTGACAAAAGTCAAATGGCATAATAGCTGGTCTAAACTCACACCAACTGACCAAATTATTTCGTCTCTCATATTGTCGGCCGCCAAGTTCATGATACCCTGATGGTACGTCCGATAAACCAGCAGGCTTCAAGAACACTCGAACAGACAGTCAGATTTTATGAACGAACAGTTTCGACAGGTAGTTTACCGCTGCTCTATTCGAATGGACCAGCTTGAAGAGATTGCTTGCTTTCCTGTAAGGTTTTCTAGCTAACTGAGTCAGAGGGACAATGTAGCTGAGAATCTATGAATATCTTCAGGTTGATAGAATCGAGAGTCTTATAGACATTTTGTTGTTTTGTTTTGTAGCCAGGCCTATTATTTCAGAGAATGAGCAGCCAGGTATGACCATAGCTGGTGAGTTTAAGCATCGAAGCATGCTGGCAGGTGGGTAACAGAAGAATTAAGAATTGTCTTCTAAGGCTTAGGCTACTAATAAAGTAGCATAAGTGGTAGTCTAAGCTACCATAAAGTGACCAAACTATTTCGTCCCTTATGCTTTTCGCGATCAATTCTTCTTACACCCTGAGGTCTAGAAGCAGGCTTTTTAAATAACAAGGTCACCGCAGTTATTATGCTTTGTTATTACACCTCACTAGGGGTCTTGTGTGTCTCAACATGAATTAAATGGGGTTTCTTGTTTAGTTGTTGAAAACTAAGATTGAAAGGTTATTGTCTTATCAATTAGTAGTTGTGTAATGCCTCTATAGGGTTTACTATAGGGTAGTTGAGGGTACCACAAGCTTAAGATATCATGTCAAGGTTACAGTGTATCACTTATACTTAAGTATCAGAAGTTATTCATATCTAACAATCTGGTATTTGAGTTGTATCTTGGGATGTGTTCTCTATGGATGCAGAGCCTTGAGCCACAACGAGAAACTAGTAAATAAAGCTTGTTCTGATTTACTAAGCGTCACGGCGATGAACACAAACAAAATGTCGAAGAAACTGGCAAATGGGAAAGGGAAAACCCACTGGAACTTCTTTAGACTCAAGTTGCGTTGCGAGATCAGTATCGCAGGCTTTGGTGGGAAAGAATGATCACCATGTCAATATTTCGTCCACGATCTTGGTCATTCAGTATATCACCAACATCCTGGGGAGCAAGTATTCATTTGACTTAGGCATGCCTTGTTGTTATATATATGACTGACCGACGGTCGATCAGTGAGTATGTATGCCGCTGTGTGGCCTGCTTTTCATGATCATCTTGCTCACCTGGAGTGCTACAAGCTAGTCGTGTTACATTTGACGGGTGAGAGAGGAAGAAGCTGGCGTGAGCATCGTTTGGCAGCTGTTGAGCGATAAGTACGTGTCCGTCATGTTTCAAAGTTCAGTTAGATGAGACATTATCCTAGCAAGACGGTGCTCCATATTACATGAGAATATACTGAAGTAACTAAAACTCCGGAATAATAAATACCGTCAGCTACCAGTATAGCCCTTAACGCCTCTGTTCCAGGTCCATGTTCCTATCCTTCCAACGCCAGCCCATAATTCAATCATTCATACATACATCCGTGAGCCGAACTTAGTTCTTGATATCCAACACCTGGGTCAATACACCCTCACTGGCTCTCCACCAGCGGGCTCTTTCTTCCAGGTCGTCTGCTGCACCGCCCAAAGCCGCCTCCTTTCTCCTCCTCGCCTCACGGGCGGCAGTCGCGCTGTTCTGGCGCTTGTTCTCGAGAGGCTGAAGTTCAATGCGAAGTCTGTCGGCTTCCTTTCTCTTACGGGGGACCTTGGATTGTAGGGACTCTAGTTCTCGCGCGAGCTCCTGCTGTTCGAGTTTTCGTTGGTTGACCAAATCTTGTGTTTTGGCCAGGGGCAAGTTCATGCTGGGGCTGGTTCCTTCTGGCATCTCTTGCTCTTCGCGTAGCGTCTCAATCCTCTCTTCCAGTTCTTGGATCTTATCGGGCATCTCGCGCAATCTGGTTGTTTCGAGTTGCACACTCTCATACTTTTTGCTCAGTTCGATACCTCGTCTCTCAAGATCGGTCACCATATCCGCGACTTCGGTCTTTAGTTCTTTAAGTTGCTTCTTGACAACCATATTCTCCTTCTCAAGCTCCAGATTCTCTTCCATGGTGACAATCATAGGCGGGTCGCCAACGATGGCTCGGATGAATTTCTCCTTTGTGACTTGTTGCACATAGGAAAACCGTAACTTGGCGAATAGTTCCTTGTAGTGGGCGAGGTCTGCTGTTAAGCTTGCAGGAGTTGGTGCGTCAAATGCTGAGTTCGACGCATCTGAAGTGCGTTGTCGTGCATCTTGAGGCTTTGAATTTGAGATGGGTTCACTGAGTTTGATGATGGAGATTTCTTGAGTTGACTGGAGCCTAGTTATGGTGTCCAAGACCTTTTGTGCATCGTGCTGGCCCATTGTTAAAGATTAATGTTTGCCGACTCGATACTGTAGTTAAAAATCCAATGAATAAAAAAGAGTTTCATAAGGTAGTGAGCGCGGATGTGATGTTGACAATAAGCCCAATCTGGGTTAGTGCGGATCATGCGAGGCGGTCAAGAGCGGCAGATGCTCTGACATCAATTACATGCAACTTCAAGCTGAAAGCCAATAGCCGCAACTTCAACTCGAATCTCTTTTTTTGGCGCAATTTTTTAAATCGACATATATACCTTAAAGCTGGCTCATACTTTGTGCTCTTGAGAACGCGCGAGAATGTCGAATAACAACGAACTTTTGACCGATGACTATGTCGCAGACCTTCTTGCGCAAGAGGCAAGCGACTGCTCCTTAAAATACTCAGCCATGGGCATGGACGCATATCGCACGAATAAGAAGTAATAGACCCGACGGATTTTGGCAAGTCTGTTGCTGACATGGCTTCAGACCTGCAAATATGATGAAACCGAACACTCGGTTCTTACGACATATTATTAAAGATACCGATAATCACAATAAGGCCTTGTTGGCCAAAGAGGCCGCCGAGTCCAAAGCGCGCTTGCAGGATCTCGAGCGCACTGAAGAGATCAAGCGGCGCAAAACGAACCCGAACGTCAGCGACATCAGACGGCGACAAATGGGCGATATTCATGCCATTCTAGGAGGCAAGCGACGGTCAAGAACTGAGGATGAGGCTGGACCCTCGTCTAGAGATTCAAAGCGCAGAGAAAAGGACCGAAAATCTGAGCGCGAACAAGATCAAGATACAGGCGACCTCTTTACAAATAGGCGCACCGAGCGCAGTCAACACGGTCGATTGTCAAGGGAAGATCGCCGCAGTAGGACAGACGACGACTCGAGACGTTCAGATAGGTCGCGACGAGAGCATAAGCGACGCGACAGGTCACGGAGCAGAGATAGGGATTCTGAGGACGAAGGCCGTCATGGCCGCAGTCAAAGGCGGAGAGATAGGTCTAGATCCCCTACGCGCCGACGACGGTCTCGATCACCCAGAGAATCTAAGAGTAGGCATCGACATCGATCACCTCTGGATACGAAGGAAGACTGCAAACGGAAAGAGGAGAAACAAGAAGAGGACTCGGATGTCTTGGAAGATCTCATCGGACCCGCACCACCTCCGAAATACCGGGGCCGAGGAACAGTGGGAGGGTCCTCGGGTATCGATCGACGATTTTCAGAGACATACGATCCCAAGACTGATATACAAATGGACGAAGACGAGGATGGTAATCCCTGGGATGATGCAGTGGAAGCGTTTAGAGACCGCCAAAAACTACGGCAGAACCAGGAGCAACGTTTGAAAGCGGCCGGGTTTGCAGATGAGCAGATACAACGAGCAAGTGGTACAGAGGAAAAGTTAGCAGAGAACGTTCAGTGGTCCAAGGCTGGAGAAAAGAGAGCCTGGGACGTTGGCAAGGTGATCGGGGCCGACGGAGTGCTACAATCAGAAGATTAAGTAGTTGAACGTGGTTACGGCCGATGCGACGGATTGGGTTGGAGGTTGTGAGCCGAGACAATGATTCAGCGGTGATCGGATATAGCGTAACCTTCATTTTCCTGTTTTTGAGGAGTTGGGTTTTTGGTAACACTTTCATCATTAAGCAACGGTCAGACTAAAACGCTGACGTACTCTGGAATATATGCATTGGTTCATAAAGAGTCGACTGGTCGATCGATGAAGAGGCTCAATCAATTTTTACAAAGCCTCCACAACCACCCCCAATCCGGCGCAAGCGAGCAGGGGAAATCTTTCGAGGCTCAAAATAAACGCGTGGGCATGATTATTAAATTTGATTTGAGTTTTGAAACAGCCCTTCGTACCTGGATCCGGGCGACAAAGCTTCTGTGGCGTCGATGGCGACATGGATCTTTCAACACCATGTTTGACCAACAGAAACGAGATAGAGCTTTAGCAGCGAAGTTGGTACCACAATGCAATACAGCATAATACAATACACGACCGATTCTGGTAGCGACATCTGGGCTTGGGTGGGAAACGCCGATCATCAAGCGATACCCAGGACGGCCAGGAAGGGGTTCTATCCAACATCAGGTTAGGCCCAAGCTCAAACAGCCTTTTGCAGTGGATCTAGATTTGGGATTCGTTGCTAAACATCAAGCAAGGGGATGATATGAAATGGCAGAAGCTCAAGCCATTGGATTAAGGATGAATGAAGCAAAGTCCAGAGCTGGAAAGCTTGGTCCAGGGGCATCTATTTTAAGCTCAAACCTTTGACATCGGTAGACTTGCCAAGTTGAGCAGCTGTAGATCAGGTACGAGATATGAAAGGAGATCATATGTAAAAACCCATTCTTTGCCGTATTTTCTAAATTGAGTTTATACGAGGTTGGTTGGTGAAGTCGTATTAAGGTGTCACGCAAGCATCTTGAAGATGATTGGAGGGAGCGTAAGCCCAAACAGAAGAGTCATAGGTTTGTTTATATGGATATCCAGTCCACTAGATGCCGAGTTTGGCGATATGATTTGTAGGGGTATTGAGCTTCAATTTGATTCCGTATTGCGAATGAGAATGCAATTGTTACTTTTCCCCTTCTCATCTCTGTCAAGTCGACCTGATGCTCTCACGTGTCAGGGTCCGTGGGCAGGTACCTAGGCAAATGACAGGCGACAGTGGAGGCTTCAGGAAACAGAAACAAACCATTGACAGAGTCAGAGCCGACCGTTTTACCGACGACAGGAAGAAAAACACGCGATGCCTCATTAGCTAATGGCTTACGATGTTGCACTTGTGCATGTACAAGAACATGCATGGATGCATTCTCTGTTACTTGTTCTTGTTTTTGTTCTTGTTGCACGACAAATTCAGCTCAGGTCGAATCGAGTCTTGGGAGATAAACAACCGTTTGCGGTACAACAAGAGTCAGGTCATATTCTAGTTCTCAGGCACAAACAGGTACAGCGTGGTTTACTTTTGCGGCGTTAAAGACTAAAGGTAGCTCACGATACGAATGGAGCAGGCTGCAGATGGCTGGGGTGAGCTGGCTTAGCTTTCTAGCTTTTGCCGCAACGTGACGTGATGTGACTGCCAAGTCCAAGCGAAGAGGACCCTGGTTTTGGTTTCTAGGTGGTTTTTGGTTTCTTTGGAAGGGCACCTGATCACGATAGGACAAGACAGGACAAGACAAGACTGCCCAGCTGAGTTGGGTCTTACCTGTGTACTAAGAGAGCTAGGTCCATTGCTGCAGGTAGTATCCGTAAGTAGGTTTCGGAATAGTCGTCATGGTCTCGGCTTGATCCAGGTCTCAGTCACTATCCGTTATCTTCTTCTTTCCAAGTACTGACCAACTGATTCTGAGACGATGTTGGGTGACATCGAAAGCTCAAGTCTCCGCTTGGCCAAGGAATCTAGAGCTAAGCTTTTTCTTTTACTGTGAGTCGACAGAGAAGTCAAAGTGTAAGCTAAGAAGCCAGAATCAGAGAGTCAGGCCGGGCCTATTCCCCTGCTGTCAGCGCTGTAACCGACCCCCTGTAGCCTGTTTCTGTTTCTCTAGGCCCCGCCCAAAAGCACCTCCACTTACGGCACATGGCCCTCAATATGCCGCGTGCGGCCAGTGGAGTGGATGGACCTTTTCCCCTCTGTAGATGAGTTCTGTTCTGGGCTGGACCCCTCTCATCAGCTCTAGCTTCCTTCCATAGGTAGGTTGTCTTTGTATTGTCGTCACTGACTGACTGACTGATTTTAGATCTTTTTGCTGCACGAGTGACCATATGAGCTGCTTCTTTCCCACTCTTGCTGTCCGGTCCAATAGTTTGATACATACACGTACCTGCCTCTGTTTTCTTTTGTGTACAGTACCTCTTACTCTCTGAATGGTCCTGACGGTTTATGGTTTGACTTTCTAATCAGCCACACTGACATCAACCTCTGCTTTTCGTTACATGCTCATCTCAAAGCTTCTCGTTGCATAGCACCGCATCGCATAAACCTTTGTTGTTTTCGACATATTTCTCTTAAAACCCCACTCATAGTCTGCAGGTCATGTCATAGTGTCCTTCTCGTCTATTCTCTCTTTCTCTATCATCCGATTATCCTCTTTCCATTCGACCTTCCATTCAGACTGGGCTAGATCAGATCAGACCAGACCAGACCGTAGTCAGTAACCAGCGGGTGATCGGTCTAGGCCCGAGGTGACGTCTTTGGTATATCTCCGACTGACCCCAAGGTCACCTCACCTCACTCACCACCTCAGTTCATCAACCAACCAACCAACCTCTCTCCTTCTCTTTCTCTTTTACTCTCCTCCTTCTCCTCTTTCTTTTCTCTTCTTCTCCTTCTCCTATATTTATTCTCCATCCAGCCTTGAAGACACTTATCGGCGTACAAAATGCGTCCTCCACGCGTTTTCGTTCTCATACTTTTCGTCGCAGTTTCCCTCTTACTCTTCTGTCGCGCTATATCGTCCTCGCTTCGATCCGCCTACGCAGATTACCCCGCTGGGAGGAACTTCAAGTCCAAAACAACAAAGACTGGTTCCAGGTTTCCGGGGTCTTATGATGACCATGATCTTGACCATGACAATAATGACAGCCCAGAAAAGTCGCCAAAGTCCGTTTGGAACTCCATGTACTATAACACACCTTTTTCATTATTCCCACCAAATGCGGCCATCAGCTTGACCGATGACAACAGTACTTCCTTTGCCGCCCGTCCCGCCGCTTTCGGTCCCAAACTCGCCATTCGTGGTCTAAGTGGTCAATTATGGGTCGGTAGCGGTTTCGCAGAAGACGCACTTATACATGGCACTGGCGAGTTGGGCTGCAGCGATGTCCCAGGATGGAATGAGCGGGCTGAAGCCATTGCTTTACACAAGGCATTGAGGGCTGCTGCCCCTTCTATTGCCGGTTCCCAGTCAGGCTCTTCGGCGCATGCCAAGCGAGGTCGGGTTGTCATCCCTAATGCTGGCAATGGTCACACCACCTCCAGCCATATTTCTGCGACGCACGACCATTCCGAAATCGACGGCAAGGTTGCCCTTCTCATGCGAGGCGGCTGTGGTTTTCTCGATAAAGTAATGTGGGCGCAACGAAGAGGCGCTCTTGCAGTCATCGTTGGCGATAACCAGAAAGGCGGCCCTCTTATCCAAATGTTCGCTCACGGTCCCGAAGTTGATAATGTCACCATTCCTTCTGTTTTTACTGCCCGCACCACCGCACAGCTTCTCTCCGCGCTCACACAACCCGGCAGTTTTATCGAAGATACATTAGATAACCAGGGAAACCCGGTTCTGAGAGTCCAGCGAGGTCCCAAGTCTAAGAAGCATCGTGGAGGCGCAGTCAAGTCCACCATCACCGCTTCGACTCATGATAGACGAGCCGTCGATACAACGCAGCATAAGAAGCGCTCTTCCAAGTCTGCATCTAGAAAGCGAAAGACAGCTGTTCGGTATTCCAAGAAGACAGTCAGTCGAAAGAATGAGGTAATCAAAGAATCATCAAAGAAGATCCGAAATCCTGTTCTGCCTGAAGACAACTACGATGATTGGACATCCGAGACTACTTCTAGAAAGTACAAGCCTGTCCTACCCCCAAAGGCTTCCCTTATCCGGCACGAGACAAACGATGACGGCTATGAACTTGACGAAGAGGAAATCCTCGTCGAGTTCTTGACCGAAGATGAAGAGAACGCACTTGATTTTACCATTGACCGATCCGAAGAGCGACACGAAGACCCCGACGAAGTCGACGATGACGTACACGATGGCCTTTGGGTCACCATCACCCCCACGAGTAATGCTAGCCCGTTTTTCGATACGCTTCTTGTACTGGTCATTAGCCCACTGGTCACATTGACCGTGGTATACGCCCTTCTCATTCTTCGCGCCCGAATCCGCCGAAGACGTTGGAGAGCTCCCAAATCGGTCGTTGAGCGTCTCCCCGTCCGCACGTTTCATACAGTCGCTCCTTCGCCGCCTCTCACCCCGAGAACCCCGTCGCCGTCAGCACCAACGCCTACCACTCCTCTCCTACAGGAATCTCCTTCGCAGGCGAGACCTCGATCGAGAGGCTCAACTAGTGCGCCGGAAAATGAAACGCGATCAGTGCCCAGCGAAGCCATTCCCACACCCTCGAACACAACGAAGAACAACGCAAAGTCTGAACGCGAGAAGGGTTCCGGTGGTTTCTCTGCTGAATGGAAGAAGTATATGGGACGTCAGGTTGAATGCGTAGTCTGTCTCGAAGAATATGTCGACGGTGTAAGCCAAGTGATGAGCCTGCCATGTGGCCACGAATTTCATGTCGAGTGCATGTGAGTACCAAATATTCTGTCTTTTTCTTTTATGACAGTCGTTAATCTTGTTACAGCACCCCTTGGCTGACTACCCGCCGACGAACTTGCCCGATCTGTAAGGGCGATGTTGTTCGATCTCTCGCCCATGGTTCATCTTCAGAGCCTCATTACGAGCCATATCGCGACGACGCAAGTGATGACGAGGATGACGATGACGACGAAACGATCGCAGAGGGTTCTGGAGCCCGTGCTGATGACCAAGAGTCCGACCTTGAACAAGGTTTGCAATCATCCGATCCTAGATCCTCACGATGGAGCCGGCATGATGGTTGGTTGAGCATTTTTTCCAACGGACTCACCAGGGCGAGGTCGCCTTCTCCTGAGGATCGTAGCCGCTGATGCCCCGTGCGGCCTTCTTACTGAAACAGTCAGTAAGCCATGGGATTTGTCCTTTTGTTTGTATATCATTGGAGTTTTCTGGTATTTGTTGGGTGGCGTATTGGAATGGATAGCTGGCGCACTGGGATACAGAGCACAGCATGGATTATTGGAACTTAGATCGCATTTGGTTATAGTTATTGGGTCGCGCATTATGGGTGTTAAGACACTTGCGCAGGAACAGGAATAGATAGGTATACCCTGGGTCGGCGGCTGTGTGTATTTCACAGACGATCTTGAACAATTAACATCTTCATATCGCACTGGCTGCAGTTCTGAGCATGACATAATGTATACTCAATACGGCCTATGCAATGTCCCGAGAAATCTCGTGAAAGCTGAGACAGGCCTGGATAATCCCTTATAACTAACTGGCTTAGTAAAGCATTTGACCATGAATTTTGTCAAGATTGTGGTGCATACTTATCAAGCATTTTATTTGCGCATATCATCACAGCATTCTGGCCAAATACGATCTTGAAACCAGTATTTGTATCTATGTCGTTTTTTATTTAACCAATTTTAAGCACTCCTCCTATCCAGTAAGTCCTTTTTAAATATAACCCTTGAGAATAGCAGCCTCGGCGTTCAATATCGAAGAGCCAGCAGCACCAATGACAGCTGAAACAGTCAGTATAAGTCGATTTTGGGAGATAGCGCGAACTGAACTTACTGTTGTGACTCAGCGCAGTGAACTTGATGTCAAAGATACCAGCCTCATCCTCACGCACACGGCCAACGCTGACTGTGTAGCCACGACCAAGGTCGCGGTCGAGGCGGGGTTGAGGACGGTCAGGCTCGTCATCGCCAAAGACCTTGATGGCGGGCTCAGGTGCTGAAGGGCAACCCAGGGCCTGCGCTTCGCACTTGTAGTCGCGCAGAGCCTTGCGAACCTCCTCGGCTGAAGGAGATGGCTTGCGCTCAAAGCTCAAGCTGACACAGGCAGTGTGGCCATCCAGGACGGGGACACGGTTGCAGGTGGCCGAGACACGAAGGCCTTCCTGCTCAACAAAGGCAGTACCACTCTCATCGATGCGACCAAGAATCTTGCGGGCTTCAGTTTCGAGCTTGTCCTCCTCGCCCGAGATGAAGGGAACAATGTTGTCGAGCATGTCCATGCTGGAAACACCAGGGTAACCGGCGCCAGAGACGGCCTGGAGAGTGACGATGGAAACAGTAGAGATAGGTCCAAAGGCAGCCTGAAGAGCGGCGAAGGGGCCGACAAGGCCAATGACGGCGCAGTTGGAGTTGCAGACAAGGAAGCCCTTATTGAGCTTGTGAACGGAGCGCTGGTGGGGGATGAGGTCGAGATGAGGAAGGTTGACTGTGGGAACGACGAGGGGAACGAGAGGATCGCGGCGGTAGTTCTTTGCGTTGGAGAAGACGGGGATGTCGGCCTTGATGAACTCCATCTCTGTAGAGAATTAAAGTCAGTAGGCACATATCATGAGACGTTGGGGAAGAATATACCGATATCGCCAGCGACATCCGAGTCGAGACCACTGAAGACAACATCACAGTCCTTGAACTCCTCGGCCTTACACTCCCTCACGACCATGTCGGCGATGTCGCCCATGGGGGCGGCCTGCTTCCATCGCACGGCGTCCTTGTACTTCTTGCCAGCAGAGCGAGACGAAGCGCCGATGGCGTGGAGGGTGAGGTAAGGGTGCTGAGCGAGAAGGAGGATGAAGCGCTGGCCAACAGAGCCAGTGGCGCCGAGAACACCTAAGAGACTCAATTAGCTATATATCCTTCGAGGACGACGAAAGAGATCAGATGGTGGCATGGGAACATTGGATGTTGCGAAACCGGATGGAGGGGTAAAACAAGGGCTGAAGTTAACATACCGCACTTCTTGGTAGGGAATTGAGAAGTCATGATGGGTATTGAGTATGTAGAGCCGCTCCAAAAGGAAGATGTAATATCCAGATCAAGCCAGACAATGTCGCTTGGGAGGTTGCAACTTTTTAAATTTTGGTGTTGAGGCGAGTGAGTCTAAAGTTACAGTAGACTAATGAGGTGAAAGCTGATAACCCCGCCAAATTTCTCCCGTCATCGGAGTTGACTCGCCATTAGTCGACGTTGACCCCACTATGGCATGAGGATGGATTCATTCATGGGTCGAGTTTATTGTCTAATTCAAGGTCCGTGTTTTTTACAATGGGTCATATTGAGAATCTCCAATGACATCAGAAGCACCTTGAAATCTTTATCCAATTGAGATAAAAATAAATAAAAAGCAAACCCAATAATTCGACCAGCATTATATCTCATGAGCCTCTATCCTGAGGTTAATAAGTCTCAACCCATCATGCCACCATAAATCACCCAAATGTCAAACTTATGATTGAACGCCATTTCATGCACATTAGACTCCCCAAATTCGTACTCTTATGCTTTCCAAATCTCGGCAATATGTCATATGTAGAATCAGTTGTCGATCAGGGCTCAATGGCACTTTCTCGGTTGATGTTGGAGTAAATTCGGAACTGGGCGAATATGATGAGGTCCTCTGCGATAGTGCCGATGGAGCCAAGCAACCAAGGAAGCGCGTTGAGCAGGTACTTCTTGTCTTGGGAATAGGCAATCAGGCTGATACCATACGTGAGGTTTCCACTCATGGAGAGCATGAAGAAAAGCAATGCGAGGCCTGTGAATAGTTAGCCCGATGGTATTATGTCATAAGAGGAAAGAACAAAACCCACCTTCGCAAGACTTTTCACGGTGATTCTTGATGATCTGGGGGATTCGAGCACTACGAGACGTTAGCCTGGTTCCATACTTCCTTTCCGAATGAAAGCATACCATAGATATAGGATTGCACTGATGTATCCCAAGATGAGTCCCGCGAGCTCCATTGGGGTCTGTGTATCTTCAGGCGCATCGGGGGTACCAGGGTCACCACTTTCCCAGGCACCAACCTTGTATGAGACAAACCAGCCAGCAAACCCAATGACGTATACAGCGAGCAGGCTCAGAGTGTTGTGGATCCAAGGGCTGCTATCCGGTGTGTCGTCTTCGCCGGTCACAATCTTCCTCAATGGCTCCATTGAGGACTCGGTATGCGTCGCGTGGCGGCGCTGAGACCCTGGGAGGCCATAGGAAGAGCTTCGCCTGCGTGGCCGGCTGATGAGAGGTGATTCCTCTGAGGGATCAATTGGTCTGGCTTCTTCGGAACGACTCGCTCGACGGGCATTGAGGGCGTTGTAGTAAACGGCCTGGCCGATGAGGACAATATCGGCAATGCAGAAATAGCCTGCTAGGGCAATGGCGGTGGGAGCTAGGCGGGTGAACATGGCTCCTAGGGATACAAAGTTAGCAAATAGCAAGGTTGGCGTGAGCGCAAGCCACTTCTAGCCGACACCAAATTTTCTGACAGGGTGTCGAGAAATGTCGTAACAACGGCATTTGTCTCGGTGCTGCAGACAATTTCTGATTCGGAGTAGATATGTAAGAATACGCTTTTCAATGGTAACCCACCGATTAGATTTGTAACGTCGCCGAGAAGCCAAACAATGAGGAAGGCCATGCTGAGGCCATCAGCACTCTTGGCCTTGTAATTGGCGAACAATTGGGGTAGCTGCAGAGAGTGGTCAGCCAAGCTGTGTCAAAGGGCTTGCGATTTGCGCCATGCGACATGCGACAGCGATTGCAGCAGCAAAATGCAACGCAAAGACGCGCAAAGGAGACTCACGAGCAGGCATATCCAAGAAGTTAAGCTGATGCTGCCAAAGATACCGGACAAAGCCAATGTAACTGGTAATGAATGCGCCGCAGCGGCGATTGAGGTTGAAGCCAGCAGAGGCATGGCAAAGTTTATCGTCGTTTGGCTGGAGAATATGGAACAAGAGGAAGGAAGAAGAGGTAGAAAGACAGATGAAATGAGATCAGATCTAAGATATGGAACCAGGACCAAGTAGTACGGTGGGAATATAAGAGGAGGTGGTGCGACAAAGGTGGGTATCACGAGGGCAGTGAAGGAAGGAACAAACGAAATCGGGGGATCTGGTTATCTGACTGCAGGAAGCAGCTAACGTTGAGCAAGTGCAGTGTATCCGTAGATCTTTCCAAAAACAAGGGTCGCGTTGACGGGGCCCAATGGAAAGCTTTTAGATTCAAAGTCGACCGGTACCGTCACACTCAAAGTCGTGAAAGAGAACAAAATAAAAATTCAAATAAAAATTTAGAGTCAGCTACGACACACAATTAGAGTTGCTCCACGAACGGTTAATCAAGGCAAAAGGTAATGGCGACGGGACCTACCTAGAGTGAATAATTTGGCTCACCTTACTCACTGCCTACCCTGGCTGATAAGGGAATCCTGTCCGTTGTCGGGTCTGATGTGGAGGTCTTATCGTTATCGTTTGCCAACCAATGCCCTTGTATTGGTCAGTTGAAGAGCGCTTATCGTTAACAGTGACGCACTGGGCTTGGAGATCTTGTGAGCTAAAATATGGGGAATTCCAAGGCGCGTGAGTCTTTTTTTCCATCTGCGATAATCAGAGGTGAAGGTGAAAGTGAGAGACCCTGCATCTCTCGGGCCGCCTCCGATATCACACCGGTGGCCCTTATTTGGCGGAGTTAGTCATGATACTATCTTTTACAAACAGATTCACTATGATGGCTAGGGATATTGACGGAAAGATGCATTCATTCATCAACTTCTTAGCCGCGTTTAACCAATATAGGGTAGATTCACAACTTCAGCTCAGCCAACTTGATCTCCCTTCTTCCCAGCCACGCTCAATGTTTCACAAGGGGCGGCACATGCCCCCCATGATTCGCCATAAGCTCTGTTGTTGCTGCTGGCCGTCCCGCTTCCCCCAGCCTACATACCGTACTAAATGTAGCTTTAGCCTTAGTCTAGTAGCTTGGACCCCTGACAGCTCATGGGAGACTATCGATCACGCTCCAGACCAAGGTAACATGCGTCGTGCGTCGTGCGTCGTGCGTCGTGCGTCGTGCGTCGTGCGTCTTGCGTAGGCAACGTCAACCTCAGCCAACCACTTCGCGTCAGCTCTGTATGTAACTTCAAACGCTTTGATCCAGTTTAGAATTCGCCTCTTCCCCCAGGGCGATTTACTTTAAACATCTGCACTTCGCATTTTCCAAGTTCTAGTATTGTTTTGTTCTCACAAGCTATTGTTCACGGTCCTCCATCAGTGTCTCATCTTATAGCTTCACACCATCTATCATCTCTAGTAAACAGCCTCACTCTCCATTATGAAACTCTCCAGTGGTGCATTGGCTCTTGGCCTAGCCAACCTGCCCGCAACTCTTGCCTGGGGCAGTAAGTGCTTTCATCCCATCATGAAACCATTCTCACGATAGCTCACAAATAATAGGTCTCGGTCATATGACCACCGCTTACCTTGCTGGTCATTTCGTCGCCAACACTACCGAGGCACATTTCAAGTATATTCTCTACAACGAAGAGGATGACTATCTCGCCAAGATTGCTTCATGGGCCGACTCGATCCGATACACGAACTGGGGCCGCTTCTCAAAGAACTTTCACTTTATCGATGCTCACGACAGCCCGCCTAACAAGTGCGACGTCAATTTCGAACGTGACTGCAAAGACGACGGTTGCGTAATCACTGCCCTTCACAACTATACTCAACAGTCCGTCGAGCCTGAGTTGCCATTCTGGAGGCGTAATCAAGCCGCCAAGTTTGTCGTCCATTTCGTGGGTGATCTTCACCAGCCCCTACACAACGAAGATGTTGAAAAGGGAGGCAATGGGCTCTCGGTGATCTTTGATGGCAAACACTTCAATCTTCACCATGTCTGGGACAGCTCTATTGCCGAGAAGCTTTTGGGCGGCCTTCACGGCGATCCCTCCAAACTGGCCAGCAACTGGGCCAACCAGCTCGCCGTTGAGATTACCGATGGCAAGTATGCAGAAGCCAAAGAGGCCTGGTTGAAGGACCTGGACTTTGAGAAACCCATCGACACGGCACTTGCGTGGTCCCGAGAGACCAATGCGCTTGTTTGCACTCATGGTAAGGCGATCGTCCCGGCAACAGTTTGCATTTCATTTTATCTAACATGGATCTATAGTTTTGCCCGAAGGACCCGACGCTATTGTCGGTCAGGAACTTGGGGGCGAGTACTTTGAGAAGGCAGCCCCTGTCCTTGAGGAGCAGGTTGCCAAGGCCGGTTACAGAATGGCTGCGTGGCTGGACAAGATCGTGGAGGCTTACAAGGATGCTGAGCAGAAGCAGATTTCTGAGGAGCTATGATGCACACCTTTTTGTTGTTGAGCATATTGGGATGATTTGAGCACACATATAGTTTGGTATTCAAGCATATAAGCCTACCTACCTTCCCACATCGTCATTCATGCACGTTTTTCTACGAAAATGCGATGCTGTGAAATGACCCCACAACAAAATGCTAAGGCATATTAGCTTTTACATACAAACAAAAGGTATGCTCTGGCATGACATCATCAAAATAATGATATATAAACCATCTTAATGACACTTGTCGATGGGATGTCACCCGGCGCCTGAGACAAACAATAGCCCGGTTATCATGCGGGAGTTTTACGTGTATACGGGATGAAACTGGAACGTTGGGGTAGACAAACAGAATTTTTGGAAATTCCATGTAAGCTTAACTTAAAGAAAAGCGATGCATGGATATCGTCGCAGGTGCAGTTACAGAGCAAGGGCCAAAGTTTATTGATGCTACCTTGTGGCTGCAACGTTCATGTAGGGTACATCCATGGGTGCTATTGCTCGCCTGTGACATTTCTGCAACATGCGCATGACTATCAATCATCCTTTGAAAACCGGCTCAAAGAAATAGCATAGTTTTGTTGGAGAACGCGTAAGATTTGGTTGATAGATAATCAATTCATGTTGCCCTTTCAACTTCGGACGATTGATTAGCCGGCCTAGACCTGTATATTAAGTTTATTCACATGTTTTGTTATGGACCAGGTACATAAGCGATAGCAACGGCGACTATGATATATGTTTGCATATGACATCCACTATCGCTTGGCATAGTTTTCAGATAAGAATTGAAACAATAGTAATTACGTTCGGTAGAATATGACTGAGCCAAGCCAATGCTGCAGAATTCTGCAATTGCGAAGATAATATCAATAATTGAAGAGAAATCTTTGTTGACCTCATTGAGGAGCTGTTACAGAGAGGCATGGAGGTACTGTAACAGAGTGGACACTCTCCGATACTTGGACTTAACGTTGACGGTTTCGAAGATTTAGTGGACGAAACACGCTGTGCCCGTGCCCCTGACAGCAGCTGCAGGTACAGCACGGCAGCCATTCTGATTGGCTACACCGACCGTTGCAGATTCCGTAAAGGGAAGGAAGGAGGCACGGGATGAGACGCTTCCAGCCGCATCGCAACCTCAACAACACAGCAGGAGAATCAGATCTCGTTGACTCATCCGTACCTTCTCTCTTGGTCAGGCTCTTCAGGTCGCTTCGGGATTATGTCCACCCGCCAAGTTTAGCCAAGCGCTAACCAACTTGCCCTACTTACTCGTATTTCACTAACATCCTCCAACGTCTCTTGTTACACCAACCATCAGCCACCTGAGAGCGAACCATTATTTGGGCCTGCTATTGATTATTCAACTCAGGCATTGCTACTGTACCTCCCTAGGCCCTGATGACTACGTGCTCCGCATCAAGTCGCCTGCTACTCTTGCCGCCGTCTCATGTCTCCGTTTTCGTTTCTCAAACACAGCTAGTGCTGTCCCTCTCGGCTCTCCGTTCCACGATGTTCTCTCTTGGTGTTTCTCATCAGGTTTGATCGCTGCCTCTTGGCCTTACCCCTTGGCCCTACAAGATTACATCCTTACCGAGCAAGCGAGAGGCGATCGTTTGCCTTGAGCCTCGCCCTCGCTCATGGAGTTGTGACCCTGCACTGAACCCTCGCCCCCCCCGACCGCCCAGAATCCATCCGGTCTGATGTGCGAGCCCGAGACGTTGAATTGTCTGGGATTGTCATAATGGAAGCCAGCATCTCTCTCGGCAACTTCGTTTCCGATATCATCTAGAGATGACATCTCCAGTTTTCCACAAGGCTTTAAACCCTCGTTCCACCGTCCCAAAATCGAACCATCTTCTTACTTTCTCTTCAGCTCTGGTAGTCTCCTTTCTTCCATTCGTTCCTTTGAGGCCCTAATTGAATTTCTTGTGTCTGTGACCATTCTTTTATCTTTGTTTCGAGTTGGTCTGGTACCATTCGGAAACTTTTAGACAACACATTATTCTCCTTCAGCCTTTTCATCCTTCCCTTTCCTTCAACAAGACAGTACCGGTATACACTTATTCAAGATGCAAGTCAAAGGTGTAATGGTTGCTCTTTTGAGCATGTCTGTCATTGCAGACGCCGCCGTGGTTCAACGAAGACATCCCTTGGCTCGCGCACTCCAACGACGACAATTTGGCGGCGGCGGCGGTTTCGGAGGCGGCAACGGCGGTGGTTTCGGAGGCGGCAACAACGGAGGTAACAACGGAGGTAACAACGGCGGCAACAATGGCGGCAACAATGGCGGCAACAATGGCGGCAACAACGGCGGTAACAACGGCGGTAACAACGGCGGCGGCGGCGGCGGCAACACTCTCCAGGGCAACGCCGTACAGACCGGTTCACAGCAGGATGGTAACAACCCCGGCTCGGATGAGCAAGCAGCCTCGCAAACGTAAGTCTAAATCAACGCTCAAGAACGGATACAGATCACTAACATAATTCAGAGACGATAACAACTTCATCAACTTCTGTTCTGGCCAAACACTTACCAACGGAGAGCAAAACCGAGATGGCTCATGTAACGGAATTCGTAAGTGGTAACATCTCCTTCGTCTCCGAATATTACTAATTCCTTTTGCAGCCATGGGAAAGATCCCTTCAGCCAACAACATGGTTTCCTCCGTCTTTACCAACCCTAAAAACGGTGACAACATCCAGGCCAATCAGGACTTTGACATCTCCGTGCAGTTTATCAACTTTGCACCTGGTTCTTTCACCAATGCAACGTCCACTTACTATTCGGCTCCTCAGGATCTTGATGGTGGCGGTAACATTATCGGCCACACCCACGTCACAGTCCAGGATACCGGTGACAATTTGAATCCTGATCAGCCCCTGGATCCTCAGGTATTTGCCTTCTTCAAAGGTATCAACGATGCTGGTAACGGTCAGGGTCTTCTGACTGCCAACGTCGAAGGCGGCTTACCTGATGGCAACTACCGTATCTGCAGTATGTCTGCCGCTTCCAACCACCAGCCTGTCCTTATGCCTGTTGCGCAACGAGGAGCTCAGGACGACTGCATCCGTATCACCGTTGGAGGCAACGGCGGCGGCGGCGGCGGTAACAATGGAGGCAACGGTGGTAACAATGGAGGTGACCAGAACAACGGCGGTGACCAAGCCCAAGATAATGGCGGCCAGGGAGGTGACCAGAACAATGGCCAGGGCGGCGATCAGAACGGAGGCCAAGGTGGTGACCAAAACGGTGGTCAGAACGGAGGCCAAGGTGGTGACCAAAACGGTGGTCAAGGCGGCGATCAGAACGGAGGCCAAGGTGGTGACCAAAACGGTGGTCAAGGCGGTGATCAGAACGGAGGCCAAGGTGGTGATCAAGGCGGCGATCAGAACGGGGGCCAAGGTGGTGACCAAAACGGCGGTGATCAGGGAGGTGATCAGAACGGCCAAGGTGGTGATCAAGCCCAAGGAGGCGATCAGAACGGAGGCCAAGGTGGTGACCAAAACGGTGGTCAAGGCGGTGATCAGAACGGTGGTCAAGGTGGTCAAGGTGGTGGCTTTGGAGGAGGTGGTTTCGGAGGCTTCCAAGCTGCTTCAGCAAAGGATGGCGCTGCCAACAATACAACTACGGAGGCATGAAGACAATGATGAGTTTCCAATGGCACAGGCAGAGCCATTCTACTTGACCGTGGCCCTGGCGGTTTTCGGTATGAGTACCCAGCGGTGGTCCCTGAGTCGAAAATATTACAATATTTGGCCAGACAGATTAATGAAGGTGGAGTTTTGGTATCTGGCTAGTTAGAACGGTTTGGGTTTACATCCACCTATGGACAATGTGATGATAGGATATTAGGTCTTGGAGGTGAATGTACGTCAAGATATGTTGTTTATTAGTTGAATAAGAAATGGTCACTTGAACACAATTGCTCATGGAATGGTGACCTGACTATCAGAATGTCATGAGAATTCTATCACTAACTCTCAAAAGATAAAAAAGGAAACTAGACAATAGGATAGATCGACTATAGATAGAACCATGTTATAGGTCTGATGCGAAACAGGTATAGCATGACTCAAACTGCAGTGGTTTCGCGATAAAGAAGTACTAAAGCACATTTGGTAGATGGATGAATAGGAGGGTGCTTGTTATGATTCTCAAGTCTGAGACGGGGCTAGAATTGTACACAGTAGGTGGCTTCTTCTATTGTGAAGGCATATCTTGTGGGCAAATATTGGAGACGGGAGGTTTGCCAGGTCCACCAACAGCCGGTACTCAGCTCATCCGGTATATAATTTTCATGCTTTCTGGTTCTTCATGCCTCTCCGCTACATGTGTCATTGAGAGCGTAGCCTGCATGGGTATTACACTTCTCTGTGAATCTCAAGGCATCGATCTAGTCTGTCTATTACCGAGTCTGTATATTCTCAAGACGGTGCTTTTGCTTAAGCTCTGTATGTATGAGTGTTCTCAATCCAACAAAGATTGGACAATACGCCCATGTGTCTTCTGCACTACGATTCCCTTACTTGCGCTTTCCTGGGTGCTTCTTATTTGCCCTGACTTGGAAAACTTCCTGATATGTGATGTTATAAGCTTCTGAAAGTCAAAGGTTGAAATCATTATCATTGATATTGACATCAGAGCAAATGGCAGTCGATTGTCACACGTATCTACGTGGCGTTCACATAGTAGGACCATCTCGCCCATGTTCAGTCTCGCAATATTTTGCTGGTGAAGGATGTTGTTCAAGATTCACTGCTTTTAAACATTAGTGTTGCAAAATACGAGATTCGGCAACCATCTATGGCAGTGTTTATATTGCAGTGGAGGAGAGACTTGTATAAGACTGGTTATGAAGCAGTCATCATAGTATTCAACACATCACGAAAGTTGTCTGCATGTGTTATCAATGAAAGAAAAACACGCTTGAAGGGTATTATTTCTTCGCCCATCAATGAATGGCACGACCAAGTTGAACAGTTCCTTAGACCGACGTCTTTTCCATATATAACCAAGAACCAAAGCAATCACTCCTCATTCACCCAACAAGTCAAACTCTAACCACGCTGAGGACTATTGAGAGAGTCAGTATCAAAGATGGAAAGTTGGGAGAGTAACAACTTACGCGCAACCCTGAGGCGTAACTACACCAAAGGGACAATCGCCTGACAGCTTCTCAACGATCTGATCGAAGAAGACAGGCGTAACGACGATGCCGGCGCTGACGAGAGACGCAGCAGCAGAGAGAAGCGTGACGAAGATTGTAGTCTTCATTGTGTAGTGGCGTGATAGTGAAGATAAAGATGAAGAAGATATGTGGGGAATGTAGAGAAGGGAAAGACGCTTGAAGTTACAGAACCAGCTGAAACACAAGAGAAGAATAGGATTAAAAAAAGGCTGACAAGGGAGAGAGCGTAGCGCGTGAGGCAGATTAATTAATTTTTGGTCAAGTTCAATGAAGGAAAAGTGAAGAAGAGAGGAGTGAGGGAAATCGAGACGGGGGGATATGGGGCGGGAGGCGGCAAAAAAGGGACTGTTACAGGGGCGTAACGGTCAAGGTTTCAGGTTATGAAACGAAACCACTGCTTGACTGGTTGATACAAGGGACACTATTAACCAATAATGGATATATAATCCGAGTCAGTATCATACATATGTTAACTAACATTCACAACTATTAGGGACTTTCATGAATATCAACTTCCGCTGAAATAAATTCTGCATGTCTGCATTGGTATTTTCCACCCACTACCTAGAAACCTCTCTTCAACATTGAATAGCAGCAACCTGGTATTTCAAAAATGTAGCAAAGTTTACCATATCCAGTAGACGGACATAATAAAAGCAACCATCATGTGGGCGACCAGAGTAACTAGGACACAGAATTCGATACCCAGAAAGCTCACAAATAGAAGAATGCAATGCTTGTTATTGAACCATATAGTAAAGGTCGACTATCAACCACGGCCATCCAGGTCTCTAATAAGCCCCGCCATTTTGATAGTAGCTGTCTGGTGCTGGAGCAGAGGGGCCATCGCCAGGCGGTACATACGGCTTGTACTGGCTCTGTCCAGCATATCCGGCAGCATTTCCAGGTTGCAGAGGCGGAGGGGTCATGACGCTTTGAGGAGGAGGAGGGGCCGAGCCTGTTGGCATAGGAGGCGCTTGGGAAGGATTGTAGCTCTGATATTGCTGAGGTTGTTGATGGCCACCGTAGGGACCAGCAGGTGGTGCACTTGCATTCTCGTCCTCTGGAGAATAGACTGAACTGGAAAACGTAGCCGATGTATTAAGCGGTTGTGGGTTGTTGGTTGCAATAGGTGAATCGTAAACAGAAGTGGCCAGCTCTTGGGCTCCGTATGTGCTTCCTGGTCGGCCTCCCATAGGTCCTTGCGCATAAGGATTGTTGCTCTGAGATTGATTGTAAGGATTGAAGTTCGGACCGGGTGTCGAGGTGTTGATAGGGGCTGGCTGTTTGCCATTGGAAGGAGACTCATTTCTAGGGGGGTAGGGTTGCGAGCCAGCAGGCACCTCAGCTCCTGCTACATAGAAAGGAGCTGCCTGTCCCGGGGCTTGGTTCTGGAAGTTAGGGGGAGGGGAAGAGGCTTGGTACGGAGGTTGTTCTAAGCGAGAGTTAGTACGAGCTACACAGGCCATTGTTCAAGAAAGCTACTTACCTCCGGGTCCAGGTGTGTAATACCGTGATGGATCCTGAGGGGGTACTCCTTGAGGGGGATATCCGCCAGCTTGAGGATAACCCTGACCAGGAGCCGGTCGCATAGCATACTGCTGATAGTTGTGCTGGGGAGGATGGGCCATGGAAGACTCCAACAAGGCCTCGTAATCCCTTCGGGCCTTGATGAACTTTTCGTTCAACTGTGTGAAGTCGTCTGGTACTTGTTAGTCATGTCCCCAATGAAGAATAATACGCTGTACTGACCTTTCTTCTGAGAGTACTTCTCAATTAACTTGATCAGCTTGGGTCGGATAGCGAGCGTCTGGTGGTATAGCTTCTGCAAATCATGTTAGCGCGGATCAATCCTCCATGCTTGATGGCCAGAACATACAGAAATCTCCTCGTTATCCTCCTCTCGGGGTGCTGTGTTGGAAGTGCTGAGCAATGTAAGAAGCTTTTCAACATTCTTGATCTCGGCAAACACCTCGGCCTCCATCTGAGCTTCACGCTGCAACTCATCCGCCGTGGGGTCGGCGAGCTTCTCAACATAGTTGAGCGGAAAGATACCAGTCTTTCCTCTGAGAGATCCTCGCCACCAGTCCTTGTAGACACTTTCAAGAACAGCAATTACGTCGCCCTTCTTGAATTCAAGCTCGCCAGGCTCAGAAGGCGCAAAGTCGAAGAGAGCGCGCACTCGGCTCACTGTAGCGGCTGTGGTACCGGCTTGAGCTGCAGGAGCAGGACTTTCTGTCTGGTCACTGGGGCCAGCTTGAACTCCTGGACTACTAGCAGCAGCCTTCTTGCGTTCCTCCTCTTGAAGACTAAGTGTGAGCGCCATTTGCAATTCTTCCTCCTCTTTCTGGCGATCGACGTCGGTGAGGCCCTGTTTTTGAGGGGCGCTTGGTGGCTGAAGGTTCGGGTTGCTTCGTGTAGCTCGGTTGTATGAATCGCTCATGATACCCAGCTCAGGATCGTTACTAAACATATCGGACCAGCTCTTCATGTGCTCAATGATCTTTGACTTGACTTGTGTATGGGTGTTACGGTCGTTGGTGAGGCGAAGAAGGGCGTCTGTGAAGGCTCGACTGGAGAGTTCGCGATGCATGTTCTTTCCGCAGTTTTGAGCAAGCGCATGTGCAAGCTGATTTGAGGTTAGCAAGTGACTGGCGACGGTGGAAAGTAGGACTTCAGCATACCTCGAGAGTGTAGAGTTGGACATTGGCGTTGCGGTGCGCAAGACGCCTGATGATGCTCTGAACAGCCTCCTTAGGGCCATTTGGATCGTTGCTTACTTTGTCGCAGACCTCGATAATGGCGCCCCAGTCCTCGGATGTGAGGTTCTCGTCTGTAGCCTTGACTATGCCGGAGTTAGTCGCACGCACGAATAGAGGCATGTGAGCGAGCGCCTGCTACAAAAGGCTCGCTTTTTATGCTTTGGAGATGATAAGAATGAGGGGCGCATAACATACTGACGATATCATCGTAGGGGCCTGCTGCTGAGGCTCGGAACATGGTGGTAGAGTTGGGTATCAGTTATCGACGGGCGGCGGGGAAAGTATGTTAACGCGGTAAAGGCGCGTGGGGAATTCGTTGGCTAGAAGCCTTGGGTATATTGTCGGATATCGATCGTATGGCGTGAAGTAGAAAACCAGCCAAAGTGATGAAGTTCCAGGTAGGTAGAGGCAGGATTGGGTTGGTGATAGCGATGCGAGATGGAGATGTATGGTACCAAGACCCTGGGTTACGTTGGCCCTTGCACTCCACACGCACGTCACTTGATATTGAGGTAGTGCGCAGTTACTAGTAGTATGTCGTTTTTAGGTGCCTTTGTAGTTGGCTTTATCGCTTCAAAGGTATAGCGACTGGTGAACAACTCGACTAAGATCTAAGGTTGTCCTGGGCTGTAGAGTTGTAGGTAATAGGTAAGGTAAGGCAAGGCAGCGAGTGTTTAAACAGGCTTCCACCCAGCTTCTTTACCACTGATGACGAACGAGCGGCGAAGGAAGCAGCGGGGCTGAGCTACCTGGTCAAGCTCCCCCTGTCAATGTTAATGTTCATGTGGCTGGAGGCCACGCGTGCGCCACACCTTAGAGTCTAATGTGCACAGCCAACTTCTTTCCGAGAGTACTGTAATCAAGCGATCAACATGTGACTGCATCAAGATTGATTCCATCTTTAGTTCTTGTCTAACACCCAGCTTAGGCTTATTGAGAATCCGTACAAGTGTGATGAGCCTCGAACTTACAAGATGCATCCGTTAGTCCATAACATAGGGAGTCTAGGTAGTCAGCCGTCACTGCAAAATAGTTTTCATTACAGCTTTCAACGTTTTGCCTACAATTTTCGTGGTCAGTTGCGCGTCCTGGCTATGTTTGGTGACGTCCTTGCGTGGCGTGGCGCTACGATTGGGTATCATCGTACAAAAGCTAAGCACTTCACATCAAGTGGGCATTACAAGGGTCTCTGGTTTAAAGATATGAGTAATATTCAAGAGCATAAATGACCTTGGCCCTTCTCAGAGAGAAAGGATGCCTCGCCCCGTACTAATTTATACAAGTCCATATACGCCATTCCTTCCATAAGTACCTAGCAATCTACTGTATCCATCAGGCAACCAATGCGCCATCCTGCCGGCAACTCCATCGTCTTTGAAAACGAAACGCATAATTCTAATCAAGTTATGGATCCATGTCCATTATCCGTCGTTAAACCAACACTGTATATGTGCCGTATCCAAAATATATGCATAGATGGCATGTCGTTCTTACCAACCCCGTCTTGAAGCGCTGCGGCTTTCATATCCTCCCCTATCTGGCCCAATGCTTGGCCCTCCAGATGCGCCACTACGCGCCTCTTCGATGCTTCGTCGGCCTTGTGGATCCATTTCTGAAAGATCGAAAACCAAGGGCTCCTCGTTAACCGAATCATCATCACCTCGGACCTGTCTGTTGAGAGATCCAGTAAAGCTACCACGAGATGATTGTGGTGGAGTTTGTCTATGTGAAGCCATGCCCATATATCGGCGTCGACCAAATGGTGAGCTAGAAGTCGCTGCTGGAATCAGACCTTCAGGTGGGTTCTCTTCTAAAAGCCCTCGCTGCAAGATATCTGGCGTCTCAGCACTCCCAGCGCCGGCAGCTGGTTGAAGTGCGTCCGATTCCCTTTGCGTAGACTCCTCTTCAAGTTGCATTTGTCTCCCTAGTAGAATGCTCAACGTAGGCGGCTCTCTATCGTCAGCACCCAGGCTGATACTTCGGTGTGCAAAAGCTGAATCTGTTTCATCGTCATCAACCATTGAACGGTTTTGAAGTGCAACGGAGCTCGCTCGTCGTTGGTAAGTCGCAAGTCGGGGCGAAAGTGGAATGTCAATAGCTGTTGTTCCGTCCTGCGTAATTGTGTTTTCTCTGATAGTTCCCGGCTGAGTACTGTCAGAGGTTCGTCCTTGACGTGAAGTAATCCGTCCTTGGCCAGTATAATCGATAATTGAGTTTTCGCTCAATCTGGATGGGATAGCTGGCGTATGAGGTGTATGTGGTGAAAGCGGCTTTCCAGGCGATGATGAAGCGGACACAGATGCCGGAGCAGTCATTCCAGGAACGCTTGTCAGTTGCCTACTGGATGAGCTCGATGATCTCTGCATCTGCACGGACGATGTCATCGACTCAGTAAGTGCGTTGTTTGAGTCCTTCATCATGTGGAAGCGAGAGAGTTGCGCCACCGTCTTGTTCGTCGCCGATTCACCCTTTTTTGACGGCTTAAAACTCTGCAAGGTCTTCTTGCTGTCCAGAGCTTTAATGAAGTCCTCGAGTTGTTCATTGTCGTCACGGAGAGAATCTGAGCTAGTGCCCGCAACCTCAGCAAGTAGCCCCGATCCTGGCTGAGCCACCGATGAAGCCAGGCTCTGCCTTCCGCTGCTGCTCTGCTCATCGTCTCCAGCTCTGCTAGCGCCTCCAAACGAGAGGCGACCGCGGCGGTGGGTGAAACTGCTACTATATCGACTAGTCGACGCGGGCCGTGGAGAGCCTGCAACTGCAGTATCTCCTGATGTTGCAGGCGGGCCACCTCGCAAGGAAGCTGGCATGCCAGCAGTGAGTGATGTACGGTTACCTGGCTGCCTGAGTGAAGGGATGCCTGACCGTGTCAACGATTGCGGGGAGGCTGGTTCAGCGTCGAGCTGTCTAGGAACAGGTGACCCCGAAAGGGACCCCGCCTTAAAAGGCTGAAAAGATACCGAGGGCCTTCTACCTGAGCCTTCAAAGGTTGGCAAAGGTGGTCGTGTTGTACTTTGGCGGACTGGTAGGGAGCTTGGGCCATCTACATCGTGTTGTGCTGGGACAGATCCTGGGGGTGAGCTTGTGTCAGAGCCTGGTGGTCGCACTGATCGCAAAGCCGAGATCGGGCTGGTCCCCACAGGAACGTTTCCGTGAAACGTTGATAAGCTCCCATAAGCTTGCTGAACATCGCTGAGGTTTGGCCGGGAGCGATGATCACGCAACGAGCCTATCTCAGCCGCAGGTGCTCTTGATGTATCATGCTGCTGAGGAAGAGAGGGCCTGAAGAAGTTCTCGTCCACACCCATGAACCGAGAGCTCAGTAGAGCCTCAGAATCATCCACACGAAAGTTGCAATCATTGCGATACGTGACAACTGTACTCAATCGTCCGACGGGCACCTCCAAATCACCAAACACATACTCTGTCACCGGATCTGGCCTGCCGTCAATAGGAAGACGCAGCTGATCACAACGGGAGCGTTCCGGATGAGATAGACGTATCCGACAACGGGGAACTAGAGCTGGATGTGAGTTTTTCGCAGCTCCCTGGCTGGCAAACTTCCATGCTGGAAGCAATCGGGTGGTGATGAATAGCGATCGGAAGAAAACGATAGCCTTCTTATAGACAGTCGGTAAAATCGGGCCAAAGTCGGTGGACGTCATGCCTGAGTGCTTCAACTCAACTTGCCACCGCTCGATGACGACTTCGTTGTTTCTTCGTGATGCGCCAGATGAGCTGTCGGTAGAAGATCCGGACGAGTTCAACTGCTCCATTACATCCCATCTCTTGCCATTCTCATCAACAATGACAAGGCTTTGACTATCCTTTAATCGAGAAGCGTCCAGATAGACCTCTATAACCATTGGAGGAGGGTGGTTATCAAGGCTACCGCAATTCTTCCAGATCTTTAGTTCATCTCTAAAGTCGTCAATCTCATCGGTCTCTATTTGGAACTATTCACGAATTAGCGGGTGGAGGATGGATATAGATAGCTGGTAAACCTACCCATTTGTTTGGCTTCCTTGCGCCGTTAGCACCGCGCGCAGGCCTGGATTTGATACGTGAATCGAGAACAAGCACAGCTGCCTTTGCGTAGAAGTTCTATGCGGAGATAGTATCAGCATCAGATGGCTAGCCCAGCACAGCATGTCATCCTATCCCTACCTGTATTATTTGATCAAGCTTCCTCACAGAGTCAGCAGGAGGTGCCAGTGTAGGCGGACTCTCAAGGGAAGGCGAATTCGGGACATCTCTACCGGCGAAGTTGGAGCCGGCGCGAGGGCGAGAGCCCAGGACAGCCTCTCGGGTGCTATTGGATCGAGACGGTAAGTTCGGCTGGGGCGTTGCGCCTGGGGATGACACCCGGGCTGGGCCACGGGGTTGCTGATGCATAGTATATCGTGTTCGTGTACGCAAAGGATGGTGGTAATGGTTGTCTGCTATCGGATTGATCACGAACGTATGGGAATCTTGATCGGCCAGGAGACCTGCTCATCCATGGTTCATATCGCTGTAGATAGATCGATCGAGAGAAGGGAGACTCGGTTTGATACTCGGCGGCCTTGTCCTCCGGGATTGGATTAGGAACGGAATCGGGAGAAGAGGCGGAGGAAGGTCGTATGTAGATGCAAGTGTAAAGTGTAAAAAGAGACAGAAGGACAGAAGGAAGCTTGGGCCGTTGGATGTGGTCGCCGTCGGTGAGATTGGATGCAAATGCAATGCAGAAGAAAAGCACAAACAAAAGCAAAAGCCAGGCAGGGTAGGACTGGACAGGCAGCTTCCAGGGACGTTGTCGATAGATGTATGGATAATGGGTGAAGTGAGGTGTGAGAGAAGGGGATCTAACACTGTACTAGCCAAGACAAGTCCAGTTGGTCCCCGTAGGTAGGTACGTAGCAGTATAGTAGCACTAACAAGAGCAACTACCAGTAGAGTGTCGCGGCTGTCTGTGTATCGTATTTGTCGATTTGTTTGTGCCCAGCAACAATTACTAGATAAACAACGGGTTACTGCAGCATGGGCCGTTGCAGAAATCACGAATGGGGGAGGGTAAAGTATGATTGTTTCGTTTGAACCGAGATAATAGAATACAACCTTGGATTACAGCACAGTAGTACTGTAAAGACAGCACGCCCTGAGCCCGAGCTGGGCTAGAAAGGTCACCACTCAGGACCTCGTGATGAGCGACTGGGGCTGTCGTCATCGGCTAGAGCCTCACGTCACAGGGCTCATAGGTATGGTACATTATGTATGCGCCTGAGTCGAGTCAGAGACCAAGTAAAGTAAGGTAATCTTTGACAGATTCAAGATTTACCGCAACTTGTCGATGTCCAAGATAGACAACTTTAATCGGTTGATTGCAGCCACGTCTTGTGACCAGAGATTGATGAACTCAGTACAGTACAGTATGGATACGTATCGCAGCCAAAAGATAACGATTCATATCAATGCACCTCCCAGGACCTCAAACAGCGTTTTGGAGGGGGCTCAAGCTCGGATCACCACCCAAACAGGGGTTCGGGTTTCCATACTTTGAATCGCTCTGGGGCAGCAGCTCCAGACTCCAGTGCAGTTGGGTACTTACTGTAACGATCCGACAGTACGAGTAAGCGCCTCAAATCTGCCTGGCTGTTTCTTTGGCTGCATCTTTCAGGGTCTATTGGTCCCCACAAAGGTTCTCTTTCTCATCTGGGACTTTGTATTATCACGCAATCCAATGGAAAGAATATGTGCAATAGATTCCTTGTCCCTACAGAAACTGCACTTCTAACGGTACATTTAGGCAGCTTCACTTCTGGTTGGTTCGTGATGGCTATCACATCTCAATGCCAGTCATCGACGGGTGTTGACTCATGGCATCCATCCCTCTCTATTTTCCCCTCTTCCATTTTAGAGCATCTACATTCACCACGGACGACCTACCCAAACAGAGGAAAAGATAAGCCCACAGGTTGAGATAGGCTGCGCTCACTTCACCTCACCTCACTGTCTGCCTGGCCACGCCCACAATGCAACTCGCTCTTATCGTACAATCTCTATCTGTCTACTCTGTCTTCGATACGCGTTCTCTTTAGCCTCCTTTATTTAGTCTAGCCTTGTAGATCCGGAACGTTTTGCGTCCTTGATCCCCACAGATGCATCGCGTATTGTACAAGGATGATAGTTACATACCGTAGCTTCTGTGTACGCATTCAGTAACCTTGAGAGCCACGGATGGCCAATTGGATATATCACCTTGATGGGGGCATAATGGCATATCCCAAGCCATGAATACATGGTGGGACTGGCTAGGATTGCATGATGGTACAAGAACTAACATGTCTGCATATCTACTGAAATAGTGACTTCTAATCAATCGCGAAAAGATTTGTACGTTGCAGGAAATTGGTACACTAGAGAGCTTGAAATTGCTTTCAAATATTCTTCTATTGCATCCGGAGATTGTCATATATACGTTTGCCTCATTAACGTTGTAACCAAGCAGGTCAATAAATACACTGAAGCAGGCCCGCCGACTAGGCACCACTTGGTGTTCCAATCCTATACCATGTCTCTTTGAGTCCTATGCTCCTCAAGGTCAACACCGCTATTGCCATGTCATGTTGCCTGGGACTTGTTACCACGTCCCTTCCCTCCCCTGCCTCGACTGCCTCCGACTCCACCTCGTCCTCCTCCAGCTCCAGATCCCCGGTTGCTAGTGCCTGGGCCTGTAGCACCTCCGCCTCTAGCTCCGCTGGCGCTGCTCTGTTCGGTGTTTGCAACCGCTTCACCGGTGCTCTTAACCTTGCCACCACGTCCTCGTCGACTCTTCCTTGGCCCCTTACTATCTTTTTCTCGTCCATCTTTCTGTTTCCGTCGAGCCTCTTCCTCTTGTGTCCTGCGACTCTCTTGGTCCCACCATTCTTGGAACGCTTGCTCTTGCTGAATCTCTTGCAGTGACCGCTTCGCAACGGCTTCCTTGACGGCTTCTTGCTCGCGCTTCTGCTGACCAATGATATCAGCCATACTGAACCCGAGCGATGGCTCCGCCTTGGGTGCCGGTGTAATGTACGACTTTGAGTGTGGTACCAAGGGCTTTCTGGGCTGCTCGGTTGACGGGCCTGCAACAACTGCGGGGGAGCTGTTGGTTCGACCCTGACCCGGAAACCTTGTGTCGGGCGACGCAGTGCGTCTTGTTGCCGATTTAGGTTTCGTTTCTGAAGCGACAAGAGGTTTTGCGTTGGCAGATACCCCTTTGGGCATATTTGATTCAGCAGACACAGCCTCCTTGAGAGACGTCTTGGGTCCGGAGCTTGCTGATTTCCAAGGAGCTGGTCTTCCCGCTTCTGGGTTTGTTTCCCAGGGCACATGGTTTGCCGACTCGTCCTTGGCTGCGGCTTCTGCTGCAGCCAATGCTTGAAGCTGCCTCTTTCGTTCTTTTTGAGAGATTTTGGTCTGCGGTTTGTTTGCGGCTGCATCTTGAGTCCTTTGAGCATGTAGTCCTGCTGTTAAAGCGGATGTGGAAGATGTTTCGGACATGATATCTTTCAAGTCCAATTTGGAAGTAGCTAACTTGGAGGATGACCACGGAACCCCAGGTATCGAAGGAGTGCCTCTTGGCGCCTTCAAGCTACCCAGGTCGGATGGCTGAGATTCTGGAGACAAAGAGAATGCTAACGGAGTTGGACTGTGGGCAGAGCCTGCAAGCTCCTTGCCCTTCGACTCCCGCCATGCTCTAGGAAGCCGGGGCATTTCGTCTGTATCAGGAGGTGAACGAAGATTTGCAACCTCATTCGAAGGAGACCGTGGCTTGGCAGACAGAGATCCATACTCATCTTCCATGTCAAAGATCATATCTGCCTGTGATTGTTTGGGTCGCAAAGTAGGACTAAAGGCCTCGTTGTGGCCACCTCTAGACTTTCGTCGAACTGTATCTGGGGTCTGTAAGGGGCTACCTTCATCCATGCTACCAATTCGCGTCTTGAAAGAGGATGCCAACTTCTTCTCTTCATCCCTCTGAGTTGTTCTGTAAGCCATCTCCTTTACCCTGATCTGGCGCTCCTCGTCAATATCGGTAGCTAGCTCAGGGTTGCTTTCATGTAGTAGAAGTTCTGCTCTCCCACTTCGTACGAAGGGAAATCGTGCAAGTTGATTGTCTCGAACTACATCGTCAAGCTCAAGCAGTAGATCCTCGTCCAAATCATCAAGAAGATGGTTTTCAAGCATTGACTCCAGCTGGAGGCAAATGTATTCAAGCCCGGTATCCTTGAACTCTGTGATTGAACATGGACTGATCTCATTGAGCAAGTTCGCAATATTTCTTGTCGTCACAAACTTGCCTATCAAAGCTTGGCAGACTTGTGATAGTCTGTCAAGCATCAACTCGTTTGCAACGCTCATTACATCAAGCACGAGCTCTGATAGCTCGTCCAAGTCAGACAACGTGACATTGTCGAAGAGCTCTGGGCCAACATCGGCATATATGAAGGACATAACATAGTGAAATGTTTCAGGATCGACGTGGTTCAGGTCGACCTTGATTCTCTCTGTAGCATCCATGCCATCACGGCGTTCGGCAAGCCACTGGCCCTGAGATCGACCATTAAACATGCCCTCAAAGAAGGGGCACCGCTGACACAGCAACTGGCTATGAGCCATGACGTCCTCTCCATCAAGCTCGATAATGATATCGCCATCGTCAAAGAACGAAGGATCGGAAATTGCCTGTTTGAAGTCACTATGAAGTGATTCTTCAACACTTCTTTGCAAGCGAACTGCCGTTTCTAGTGTTGGCAGACCGAGATTAGTTGCGACTCTCATCAACTCTGTCCGAACATGTCGGAAACGGGATGCAAGTAGAGGAGCCTCGCGCGTGTACTTCCATACAGGCACAAAAGTGTCCTGATATGTATGAACTACGACATTAAGAACAGTGTAAATGTCAACCTCGAAGAGCGTCAACAAAGGCTTATCCCCAACAAGCTCAATGCTGAAAGAGTCTGTACTGAACGTTGATCCTCGATTGCGCAGATCCGACAGCCCATGCCGTAGAACAGGGCTCCTTCCAGCAAGCACCCAGCTATGAACCGGGATCTTGATATCAGGCAGAGATGAGGAACAAAGTGCCATATTCAGGTCGTCGTACTGGAACAGATTCATATCTAGCCAGCGCCGCAGGTCTGACTCAATGTCGGCTGACCGGAGAATTTCGTAGGCAACAGGGTCACGTCGTTCTCTGATTATGGCTGCTTCCCATACTTTCCGAGCGTTTTTGGCTGCGTTCTGATGTTGTGAGGCTTCGAAGCCGTTAAGGCACAACAGGGAACCGATATCGTCACGAAGTGATTTGTCGCTAATCACAATCTCCTGCGCCATGACCTTGCTGTCCTGTCTAATAGCTGCGAAAGCGCCAAAAATGGAACTGCGGACAGCCACACAGTTGCTGATGTACGGCACTCGTTGGAACTTGACGTCTTTGCGTTTTGTGCCGTTCGATCCGGCAAATCCAGTCATTTTACCCTTGGTGCGTTTGACTCGGTTCCATACAGCCCCCGACTCTGTACAGATGATGACTGAGCCATGTTCACCGACTCCAACAGAGGTAACGCCGTCCTTGCGAGAGTCCCAGATACATTGTGGCTGTGTTAGAGCATTCTTGATCTTGACTGGGTTGGTAGTAGAAGCCGCAGATTGGCTTGAGTCTCCCTTGTCGTTGAGATGCAGCGTGAAAAGGTCTCCGCGAGCAGTAACTGCCGCTATTGTTTCACCACCTGCGGTGATAAAATCTATCTCTCTTCGGCCTCCGAATTCGTAGCGTGTCATGGTGATATTGTTCGAAAAGACGTCTGGGAATGGAAACTTGACTAAATTGTAACCATAGTGGCTAAAGACCCAGACGGTATGGTTAGACAAGAGACAAATCGTAGCCTTGTCAATAGCTGATACCATCTCAATAGGGGCAGCCAGAAGGGAAGCAGCGACTTTTCGAGGGGTATGCTGGATATCAAGGGATCTTGAATCAGCATCCATCAGAGCGAGCTGCCCTACATTTCGACCCCAAGTAAATAGTGAGGATCCCGTGTGCGCTACTGAATGATTTGCAGACGCAGCGACCCCCAAAACTATCTCTTTCTTGAGGGATCCAAAGACCTGGCGCGGGGTGAGGCTCATAGGCTCTTCGTCTGCCTTTAATGGCGCTGGTAGAGTGTACCCAAGTTGCGAGGCGGAATTGAGGCCCCAGGTCCAAAGTTCTCCGTTATCAACCACGGCCATAGTATGATTCTGCCCCAGCGCCACTTGATGGACTTTCTTGTCCAGAAATGGGCCTTGAACAGGAACGAACTTGAACTGCGTGTTCTCGTCTCCTAATCCAAGCCGCCCTCCACGACCAACACCGCATATGTATAGATTTGACACTGGATCGGTGGTCAAAATGGCGCTGTGGAATTTGGACATGCAAACGTCTTGAATGACGATTGGCTGGTTTCTGACCAATGTCGGAATGTCGTCCATCTTGAGTGAAGACGGTGCCTCCACGTCTTGCTCCTCCAGACGCGAATGATATAATCGATGCACGAGAAGGTCGGGCCTAGGTAGATGGATCCGGTCAGGATACTGGCGGTCATCTTCATCTCCAACTCCAAGAGAAACATTCTTGTTGCTGCCAAAAACAAAAAGCTCGTCGCCACCAATCGAACTTTTCAAGCCATGCGAATTTTTAACCATGCTGCAATAATGATCAGTTATGTCGATAGCACTAGTTCTATAGACTCACTGATGTATGCCACCACCTCCGCTGTCAACGCTTTCCGCGTCGCTATCTGAGCTGTTTCCATCTTCCATGCTCTTCAAAGATCTTGCGGCAATGGTAGAGTTGTAAACATCGAAAGGACTGTTGCCCTCATGGTCTTTAGTTTTGATCAAAAGACCTACTTTGTTGACGGCATTCAAATTGTGACTGGTCAAGTCAACTCGTTCCTGCTCCAGTAACAATCGCGCAATCGAAACGTTTCCAGCATATAGAGACCGGTGGAGGGCATTCCAGCCACTCTCAGGATCCTGCGCATATAGATCGATTGCAGGGTGTTCGACAAGGGCCCGGACGAATTCATGGGCATTCGGGTCGGTGGACGATGCGGCACGGAGTAGGATAGTAAGTCCAGCATGGTCGCGATTGTTGACTTCATTACGTCCTAGATGTGTATTGTTGTCCTTTGATTTGCCTGGCGTCTGCGGATGGCCGGATGTGCGCCGCTGCTTTACTGCCGGCCTTGGAGAAGTCCCAGGAATACCAGGACTTCCTCCAAGAAAGTTACCTGACCCTCCTACCGCAGGACTCTTTGATAACGACTGAGCATTGTAGCTGGTTGGGGCCAGCAGACGCCGAAACCGGTCGACATCGTTTTCCCAGTAATATTTCCACAGTAGGTGACTCATGGGCAGGGGACAAGAAGACTCTCCCGGGCGCGAAAGGCACCTCGCTGTGACTCTCGATGGGTCACGGCTTATTTAAAGGTGCGATTTGAAGCGCAGGAGAGCTTGAGATAGATACAAGCTCCAGAGGGCGCGAAGATTGATGCTGCTGGCGCAAGTTAAATTGCGACAATTGAAATCGGTATAAGTTGCCACCGAAGGTAGATTTGATCGGCGAGGGATAGGCAGGGCAAAAAAGGGCACTGATCGGTTCTGGGCTTCGTTCGAGAAAATGAGTCGTCGATTAAACGTCTTTGGATGTTGTTTAAGGATGATATTTGAGTTGAAATGACAAAAATGGCCGGGTTTGTCGGGTTCAAATGTTGAAGAGGTGATGTCGTTATGACTTGGAGATAGATTCGATTCGAGGTACGGGTTAGCGAGGGGCCAATTGTGCGCGTCAGCAAGTGCCCGCCTTAGAATCTTCCATGAACGTGCCCCCAAAAACGTGCGGTAGCCCAATACGGCTGGTACGGCTAGTACGGGTAGGACCTACCCCGCCATGCAACTGCATGCAATCATTAATAGTAGCTGCTAGCTACAGAGGCAGGGCCCAAAAGTTCTTGCCAGAAGAAACTGTGGCTGAAGAGCTGCACTAGCCACAGCTACGCAGGGTACTTTCGCTTCTCTTATAAGCACTAATTATCATCTCGCTACAGGTGCAAGAAGAGATACTATAGAGGCTAGCTAGCTTTAAGTTCCCTGTAACTATAGAGGATCTTTAGAGAAGATACTGCTATAGCTATTTTGACTGCTTGTACCCCTGAGTAGCTGACAAGGGTAGTTAATTGTGGCGTAAGTTCCTTTGGGCAAGAACTTTTGAACCCTGCCTCTGTACAGATTGAACCAATGACGACTCTTTTCTCAAAGGTGTGCAGCTTGAATCTACAACATAATATGAGGCTTCACCACATGGTCCCGATAGATGCATTTCATTTGTTGCTCTCGATATTTGTTACCGGCTGAAAACTTGTTAAATGCGTGTGGCAGGAGATGTGCTATTAAGTTTGATCTAAGGTCGCAGAAGAAAGTCTTCAAAAGACATACAATGTTCTCCAGCTGCAGAAACGAAGAGCAAATAACGTCCAGCGCTATAAGCTTAATTGATGTTTTCTTTTTGCACTCTTTTAGAAATCAGATTAAAGAGATATAACAATAACTTAAAAGTAGCAGAATCTCTAACAATTATCTAAGCTATTTTATTTCTATAACCTAAGTCTTTATATAGCTTATAAAAATAAAAATTTAAAAAAGTTATTTTATAATTATTATAAGTAAAATAATAAAGTTTAAAGTATTTAAATTATAATTATAATAGCTTATTATATTAATATTAAAAAAAATATATTATTTTAATATATAATCTTAATTAGACTTAAGTAAGATATTTATATAAGGTTTAAAGTTAAAAGAAAAAAAATTACTAATAGTAGCTGCTTCCTACAGATTAAGCTAACTCTTTTCTCAAGCGCACGTGATTCAAAACAGGGAAGTTTAAGCCGCCTGGGTTCCCCTCGGGCAGACTTTGCGATAACACAGCCCAACGACTCTATTGCTCAATCTTCTCACTTTCCTCTTTTCGACGCATCAGCGAATTACCCGACCAGAACAGGTCCCCAGATTTCAAGATGGCCCAAAGTGAGTTCCGGCGGCAAGGAAAGGATTAGTGTGTCCAGAGACTAACCACGCACACTTGTAGACTTTGAGGAGGTCGCCAGTATGTCTAGAATCCATATAGGCTAATTCAAGCTTGTATCCGGCAACATGGACGAGGCAGTTAACACAGCAAACAGAGCAGTTCGTCGAGTTCTACTACAACACCTTCGACTCTGATCGCAATGGTCTGGCTGCTCTTTACGTGAGTACCCCTCCATTAAGCGGTGGACAGCAATACAAGACAGCATACTGACTATCGACTATAGCGACCCAACTCTATGCTCACATTTGAGTCCGCTTCCGTTCTCGGCGCCCAGGCTATCACTGAGAAGCTTGCCGTATGTACCCCCGCCCCGACTGCGGCCTAACGCCTGCCTTCTAACAATGTTACAACAGAGCCTTCCCTTCCAGAAGGTCAAGCACCAAGTCACTACTCTCGATGCTCAGCCCTCCAACGACCAAGGTGGTGTCATTATCCTCATCACTGGCGCTCTACTCGTATGTGCTTATCCAGCTCGACCGACATCCATTACAGCAACTGACAAAGTTCTTAGGTCGACGAGGAGCAGAACCCCATGAACTTCTCCCAGACCTTCCAGCTCCACCGCGATGACCAAGGTCAATACTTTGTTTACAACGATCTTTTCAAGCTTGTTCTCGGTTAAGCAGCTTGTAAAGTTGCCCAGCGCCTTGGTAACGGAGGGCTAAAGTGCCCGATCCGCTCGGTCGACGGGGATGGAGACCGGTGCACGGTGATCAACATCGCGGGGAAGAGGGATCAAGGATGTTGATTATGTGCAGCTAGATTAGTGCCGTTCAATAAATACAGCACTCGTCAAGATTGCATGTTCAAGCGAGACTATATCTCAATGTCTTTAAATACCTGATAAAGAATATAGTACTTCCAGTCTCTGGGAAAGCTATACCCAACCGGTAAGTTTCCGCGGTATTTTCGATACCAAGAACAGCAGCTCATAACAATTTGGGCGACGTGTAACTGGGTTCCATTTATTCTAGTCAAATATTTAGTCTGCTGTGTCTCCAAATTCCTTCCTTTTATGGGAGTTTGATTGCTGTGTTCTATCATCTTGTCCTTAATACAAGGTTTCTCTGGTAAGACTTCCTTTCACAGTATCAGTCTACCTTAGATTTTGCAATAGCTTAATATCTGTTCTCTGTGACTAAAGATCCCAGCTCCATGGAGCCGCAAGTGCATTCTTGCGCTCTTATTTACAACAGAGCCTATCAGGTATAAGTACCTAGCTTGTAGCCAAGGACAAGGGGCCCTTTGGCGGCTGTTCAGGAAGCCCACGGCTTGAAGGCTAATTATGGCCGAGTATGATTCTGCCGAGGGTAGGTATTGGGCATTCGGATTATGTCTATTCGGTGATGGTCTCGAAATTGTTTGAATGTTACAAGATTACATAAACATAAACAAATGTTCTTTCTGTCTTCTGGAATATGATGTCGGGTAATAATAAGTGCAGCCAAGCCATTGTCGATCGTCCCTAGTTGCCTAAAACAGTAACTTTGGCAGCGTCGGAGAAGAATCGGAGACTGAACTAAACAACCTACTACCTACCATGGATCGGTTGCTTGCCGTCTCACCGGACGAAGAGAGGATAGGACTGGACAGGGCATGACCCCTCCCCCAGGTCTTGACTGTATGTATCTACTCCACAGCTGATTGATCCATTCGGCATCGTCCTAATTAACGCCGTTACTGAGAACATACAGCGGCTAAGGTCCACTACAAGTTATCTTATCACCAAAGCCCAAACCCGGTAAGACAAAACGAACCACCAAAACAAATTCCCTCCACTCCCCGGCCCGGTCTTCGCTCGGAGCTCGTCATCTTCCCTTCCGTTATTTCGAATTGACTTGACTTGACTTGATTTATCCTCTTGTCAACTTACGACAAACTCTCCACTCAATCTCGACTTCTCGTTCTTGTTCTTTCTTTCTTTCTTTCTGAATCATCTCCTCGGTCTTCAATACAATCGTCAATATGTCATCCGATCAGCCCCTCCCCTTCATCTACCAGTTCGCCGCAGGTACGCAATTCGTCCCCGTTCGCCCGTTCAACTATAAACATTTCCCCTGGAATCAATGGATGGCTAACGTTTGGTGATCAGGCGCCATTGCTGGTGTCTCGGAGGTAAGCTCATCTGAGTTTCACCCGTTTGAAAGCCAATACTAATTTTATCCTGCTTGTAGATTCTGGTGATGTAAGACTACTTCTGTCTGTCGCGTGTTCGAGACATTTAACTAACAGCATCGTAGGTACCCTCTTGATGTTGTCAAGACCCGAGTGTATGACTAGCCTTGTGTGCGCTTTTCGAAATAATATTCAATTGCTAACTAAACAACCAGCCAACTGCAGACTGGCTCCGGTGCCAACGCTGAGTACAATGGCATGCTTGACTGCTTCCGCAAGATTATCAAGCAGGAGGGGTACGCTTTGCGCCCGCCAGGACATTGCGATCGCAGCTAACCATATGCGCCAGTTTCTCCCGACTTTACCGTGGTATCTCCGCCCCCATCCTCATGGAGGCTCCCAAGCGTGCTACCAAGTTCGCTGCCAACGATGAATGGGGCAAGGTCTACCGCAAGATGTTTGGTATGGACAAGATGAACCAGCCTCTCTCCGTCCTGACTGGTGCTACCGCTGGTGCCACTGAGTCTTTCGTCGTCGTTCCCTTCGAGCTCGTCAAGATTCGTCTTCAGGACAAGGCCTCCGCTGGAAAGTACAACGGCATGATCGACTGTGTCCTCAAGACAGTCAAGAACGAGGGTCCTCTCACTCTCTACCAGGGCCTTGAGAGTACCATGTGGCGCCACATCCTCTGGAACGCTGGTTACTTCGGCTGCATTTTCCAGGTCCGACAAATGCTCCCCAAGGCTGAGTCTAAGAAGTCTCAGATCACAAACGATCTCATCTCTGGTGCCGTTGGTGGTACTTTCGGAACTGTTCTCAACACTCCCCTCGACGTCGTCAAGAGTCGAATTCAGAACACCCCCAAGATCCCTGGTCAAATCCCCAAGTACAACTGGGCTTTCCCCGCTGTCGGAACCGTGCTCAAGGAGGAGGGTTTCAGTGCCCTTTACAAGGGTTTCTTGCCCAAGGTAAGTCGTCTGGTAGAGAAATGAGTATGGCATACTGACAATCATTCAGGTCCTTCGTCTCGGCCCTGGAGGTGGTATCCTCCTGGTCGTGTTCACAACTGTTATGGACACCTTCCGCAGCTGGCACTATCCCGTTACCAGCGCCCTTAAGAACTAGGCGTTGAGATGAGATCGAGGTTAAAGGAACAAGTAAAAATATACCAAAAACGTACTGGATAGCACCAGAAGGTCTCCGGAGGGCATCTGGTTATGGAACGACATACTAGAAATGGATTGATATATACGCATCCTGTTCAAACCCCATCATACGGTTCGGAGGAGCAAGAGCAGGTCATTTGCTTTGATGTAAGCTAAAGTATTGAATAGAGCTTGAGTCGAGTCATTTCACATTTCAAAATTCACGACGTACTTCTTAGTTCCTTGCAAGGTGTATCTGAATGAAGAGTAGAGCTACCACTGACATGCTTTTCAGAAATTAGTCGATCATTCTCATACAATAACACGGTCGGCTTCATCCAGTTACCAGATGCCAAACCCGGGTGTGGATTCTCGACGTATATCATCTTGTATGTGAGTGTCCCTTTATAGTCCACTCTGTGTAGTGGCAGCCTAGCTTCATCTCTGCGCAGCCGCTGACTTACACGGAGCTTCACAGGCTGCCTTTTGGCTCCACCCCTATCATCTAAACCTCATCACCACTTTTATGCCTCTCTTCTCTAAGCTTATTCCTCTTAGTTCATTCTTGCCTCTTGATTCCCTTGAGAGTGAATCATCATCCTCTTCAACACGTCTATAAAAGGCTCCCTTCTCTTCCCTCTTCCATCTCCTACATCTCTTCCCTCTTCCGTCTCCTACATCTCTTCCCTCTTCCATCTCTTCCCTACCTAGCACAACAACCTCTTGGGTCTTTGAGGTCTTCTCTTCTACCCTCAAACTCCTTCCCTTACTTCACTTCAACCTTTTGATTCTCTTGATTCTCTTGACATTGAACCATCATCCCTTGCACTACGTCTACAAAAGACCCTGTCCCGTCTTCCGTCTTCTTTCTTTCATCTCTCAACTTCTCATATCTTTGGTCTTCACTCAAGCTTTCCATTTCCTACAACAAAGCTATCGAAGATGTCGGACGGAAGTGAGTCTGACTCGGAAGCCGACATAGTCGATCTCACTTCCGAGGATGACCTTCCAGAAGAGGTTCAAGACGATGGAACACCTCCCGCCATTGAGCTCGTTATGATGGTAGATGGGCACGGTGAAGCGGTTAATCATACCGTTGAAGGGCCCGATTCCATTGATTCCATGGACAGTGGGGAATCCGATGTGAGCGACGATGAGATCGAAGACAATGATTCTGTCGATAACGACCCAGACGAAGACGACGATGGTGAGATTGAAGACAATGATCCTGTCGATAACGAATTTGATGACAGCGATCCAGGTGGTGATTCTGACGACGATGGCGATGACGATGACGATGACGAAAATGACGGTTCTGAAGACGACGAGCCAGATGATGATGCTTGGTCAGATGCTGGAACAGAGACCGACACCGACGACGACCCAATCAATAACGATGATGTGGAAGGAGACGTTATGCACGGTAACAAGAATGAAAACGCAACTATTGCGCAGTGTCTTGAGGAAGAGGGCATCCTCATTCCAGAGTGGAACGGTAACTGCATCGAAACATGTCAGCCCGGATGGGATGGTCTGGCAGGAGGCTTTCAGGCATACCGAAACATGTTTCTACAAAAGCGAAACGAATTGGCAACCTGCAGAGCTACGAACAAGCGCAAATTAACCAGTAAGAACCGGTCCATTAGGCCATTCAAGGAGGCAGTCAGAGAGTTTTACATGGCGAATCGAGCGAACATCGAGTTGAACCGAGCTCTTCACAGAGAGAACGCGGCTCTTCGCCAGCTTGTCTCAGAAGATGATCTCGAAAACTTTCCTGAAACCGTACCTTTGCCTCTCAATGACGTGTGGGCGGGTTTGCCTGAAGCAGTGCGAAAACATCTGCCTCCAAGATACAGCAAACGCTTGAGATTGTCACGGGAGCCAGGGGCAAGACAGCGGATTACCGAGAAAGTAAGTATACATTATGATTTCGTGTCTTCACACCGTTCAATTGGCTTACTTGCTCTAGGAGTGGCCTCAGGTATATCTTCAATGGATCCAGCATCGATACCATCCTGACATCACTGGTTGGAGCGACATTTACAAAATTTCATGTCGTGAAGAAAACATGTCATGGGCTTTCAGCCAGATGCAGAAACCTAAGACGCACCCCGATCTTAGACTCCGTGCTCCGACCGATGCGGAAGAAGAGAGAGGAATTTTGAACCGAGGCTGCACACCACTTTCTGGTTCTAAAGAGTCAAGCTCGAACGACGAAGGAGAAATCCAGCCATTCCCCTTCGAAGACCTTCCACGGAAGATTCAGCTCGAGATCCTTGCCTACGCTCTTGTCTTCCATGGCGATGTCGTTCACGCCATCTCCCGGCTAGATCCTTACTACGAGCCAGACTCAGTTCATCGAAACTGCAAGGGTCAGATGTCCCTTTTTCATCGCTTTCACATCGGAAAAGAGCCCGTGTCTCTGACATTTGGTACTATTCATCCACAGTGGCTTCTCGCTCCTTTCTTGGTATGCAAAGAATGGAACTCTGTTGGTTCTCACTTGTTCTATGGAGCAAACACCTTTACCTTCTCTTCGATCGGCGAATAGGGTCGCTTTGCGAAGAACATTGGGTGCAAGCTGCAAATTCTGCAACGTGTTGAGTTGCTGTGGATCGGTTCCCAAAAGCTGACTTACGAGTTAGACGAGAAGAAGAAATATACATCTCGTCGAACCCATGACTTGGCCCATTTCCCTGAGGCCTGTCGCCTCAAGACACTCTCGGTCCACATCCCCGAATCTTCACGGGAATACATGCGACGTAAGCATGAACCGCGAGACATGATCGAATACATGGAAGAAAAGACGACAGCGCAGCCGAACTACCGGCCATTCCGCGCATTGCGCACTGTGCAGGGGCTAGATTACCTGTACTGCCTTCGCGGTCTCCAAGGGATAACTTTCTGGGACTACGACAAATGGAATGCGAATGATGAGATGGTGGCGGTTCGCGACTGGACCTTCATTCAGGATGTGAACAACGCTGTGCGCCGGGACAAACTACCTGATGATGAGCATTTTTCTAACATTCGAAACCTGGCGCCGTTGATGGGTTATCGTCCCAGCGTAGCACTTGCTACGAGACTGGAAAGGTTCATCAATCCACCCTCTACAGGACTCTCAACACCACCACCTGATCTGTTCCCACAGTTGCAAACTGCTGTCCATGATGCTGAAGATGAAAGTGGAGATGAAGCTACCGACGATGAAGACTCCGATACAAGCTCTGAACACGATTCTGATGGCTCTGACTCTGATTCTGATGACGACCTTGATGATGACCCTGATTCTTATTCTCATCCTGATCCTTACATGGGCCTTGATGCTGATTCCGATGCTGGTGGTAGCAATATGGATCCCATTGATCTCACCAGCGGTGATGAGGATGAGGGTGAGGATGAGGACGAGGATATGAAAGACGATGAGGATCTAATTGAAATACCTAACCCAGAAGCAGCCGAAAGAGCTACTATGCCGCCTCCAGAAATTACTATTCGCGAATCGGACTCCCGTGGACGAGGGGAGTCGTCTTTATTCGTCCCAACTCCTACTCCAGAAGTCTCTCTCCGACCACCATTCAAGATCAAGGTGGAAACCCCAACACCACAGAGAAGTGCTCCACCAGAAAGCGCCTCAGGAAGAAATCGCTCTGAGAGCTCCCTATTCATGGGCACCCCTCCTAGTCAGCCGGGTTCCGATCCGAGAGAGGAAGGGATAGACTGTCCTATCGACCTTACTCAGGACTTCGATCTGCAGCGACAAAAGAGGCCTTTTTGCTCTGGAAATGACGATGACGAGTATGTCTGCACAGGGAGCTCTCCCAAGAGGGCTCGAACTGATGATGCTAGTGGTATGGGAATCGTTCCCAGAAGGGCCGCTGGGCCTTTTGTGATCGATGATGATTGAAAGATGGAAGGAAACGTGCGCGAGATAATCAGATTGACAAAGCGCCTACACTAAGTAATTACAAAAGATTCTCTAAGCTTTAGGGCAAAAATCATAAATCGACATAATGCTTAGTCTAAATTTACATAAACTAAGCATATTGTTTCGTCCCGTACTTTGTGTGCCTACTAAGCCAAGTAATTACAAAAGATTCTCTAAGCTTTAGGGACTAATTCTTCATCCCTTCCCCCTGTAAACATCACGCACGACTGAGAAGATATAGTTCTAAACCTTTTTCCTTAATGCTCCGTATGACTATTTAGACTATTCTACAGTTTGGTCTGCTTCCCGAGACCATTAATGCCCCCGCTTTGATTCAACTTCCAGACGTACTCGTTTTGCCTTCTCCAGAATAAAAGATATTACTAAACCATCGTAACGCCACTCGAGTGAGGCATCATTCCTATACAACCACGATCCGAGTCCTTCTTCTAGTGGGACATTACTTCCCGGTATCGATCCATGCTCAAGTCAACCGAGTAGGCCAACAGGCGGTCTTGTGTCAGAGGCAAGTTGATAATCCTTGACCTGAGTTCCATGTCCTAAAAAAACGTCAAATTAGCTTTTAGTCGCGAAGAAAGCATATCGGCTCAAACATACCTGTTTCTTCTTGCTGGCCTTGATAATCTCCTTGGCAGTCTCGTCCGCCATATCTGACACAGCAGCATATCGTACGACACCTGCCTCGCCTGCATCCTCATCCATCGCGTGCAGACCAGCGAGAAGCTTCTCTAGAACAGGCTGTGGTGCGATTTCATTCCTGGCACGGTGTTGGATCAAAGTAAGGAAGAAGCTGTAAATCTCACCACCCAATGACCAGTCCGAGATGAGTTCCTGTCTGCCATCAAATTGAGAAATGAGCGCAGAAAGATTTGCGTAGTCACGCTCCACAATAGCGAGTGGTGCGACCTCCTTGACGAGAACGCGATGGGCCTCCACAAAGGAACGAGCACGTAGTAGGCACTGCACTTCCGAGTAGGCATCCTTCTTCACGCTACGCATGTACAGGGCTAGAGCTTCCCAGATCCATAATGATGGAACCAAAAACTTCTCAGTAAGGATGTTGAACGCAGACGAGTTCTCGTCTCCAATAAGACCAGCATGACGAGCAAGGTGCTCCTGGATGGCCATCTTTCGGGCAAGAGGCTTGCTCAGATGCAATAGAACAAAGACAGCCTCGAGCCATTCGCCAGCGCTAGTGAGCTGAGAAGCGAACGCAACAGTAGCTGCGTCAGCCTTCTCGGAACCATGCTGTCCAAAAGAGACCTTGCCGCTGGAGGAAAGGGCAAGGCCAAGCTGCCATGTCAGGCGCATATCGAGAGGAGAGAGTTGGGAGTTCTCGGGACGCAAAACAGCTTCAAGGTCGGAAGCATCGTTCGCATACAGCTGTAAAAGACCCCAGAGAAGGTCTTGTCGTTTTTCAGCGTCGGCATCGTCCCAAAGGGGCTTGATGCCTTGATCGATATACCAAGGCAGTGGTAGATATTCTCTCTCCTGATCAACGTCATCCTTGAACCCTTTCACTGCAGCTGCCAAATCGTCGTCCTGTGCAATCGAATACCAAAGTCGAAGGCCAAAAGCCTGCTTCCAATCGAGACCAAACTTTTTCGAAATAACGAAAGAGTCCAAACGATCCTCAACAGGTACACCCTTCATACCTTCACAGACGCATGCGTTGCCCGAAAGGAGTTCGTAAATGGTACGGATCGATTCCGAGAACTCCGAGAGCATTTTCGATTCGTGCCAAGCCTTGAGCTGTTCTCGCATATCTTTCTTGGCGGCGTCGCTGGTGCCAATGAGGGGAACTAGTGTGGCAAGGCGGAAGTTCTTTCCATCAAGAAGGTGCTTGCAAGCATCAACAATGCGGTGGCCGGCCAAGCAAGCAACAGCCTTTTCCTCGTTTGACCTTGCGAGGCCGATGGTTGTTGATGAAGCCGAGTCAACCAAATTAGACCAGAAACGAGAGAGTTTGGCTCTGCGAACGAGATGTTCAGGTTGTGTTGAATCCTGAACCGAGTCGAAGAGGATGCTGGCCAAGTCCCACACATGCTTCTCTTGCATGCTTGCAGGATCGTTCATATCTTGATGGTGGAAGACATCCTGGAGCTGAGCAGCGTTGAGGGATGCGAAAGGGACATCGTCAACGATTCGAATGTCAGTGAGCTTGTCCTGGTTACCTAGATATCGCTTGGAGTGCTATAAGGCCAATCAGTGAATGTTTAACAACCATGTCCGGAACAACAAACCTCGGTTGCAAAAGTCGCCAGGCGAAGCTCTTGCTTATCAGTCTGGACTGTCGAACGCTGGAAAGAAAGGATATCGGCATTGTGAGTGAAGGACCGTCGACCACCCTCCGAGATTAGGCGTCGAGGCACAACAAGCATCTCATCCGGACCCCAAGTAGGTCGGCCAGCGTCGTGGAAGGTTTTCTCGTAGCCATCCAGGTGCATCGTTTTGTCTTGTCGCTCGTAGGGCCACTATTCAAATTCAAATTTAGCATCAATTCATATAATATAAAATCATAGATACATAAACCTCCAGCGGATTACATTCTGGGGTCAATCAGGATATGACTAGTGAACCGACCTTGGGAAAGCCTTTGCCAGACATCGAGGCTTGAATTTTCTGGGGCGCTGGTTTGGGTTTCTCAAACAGAGAGTTCATGAGGTCGATGCTGGTCGCAAACCCGCGACCTTTATCCATACCAATGGTGCTTGCCGCAAGATTATCCAATCTATCATTCTTTGCCATACTCTTCCTCCAATTTGATGATTTTCTCATGGTGTCAGCTCCACTCCTGTCGAGATCAATCAACAGGCCGGTTTGTCTCGATGGGGACTCGTTGATTTGTCTCAAAAGCTGCCGATCTCGCTTGACTGGGCTGACAGTTTTCCTCAACATTTCCATCCAATCGTCGCCATCTGCGACTTCGAGCTGCATTGGACCGGCAGAGTCCTTAACAGCTCGCATTCGAGCTCTGAGAATGCCTCCTGGGGTAGCCTTGACAGCTTCAGGAACACCCTCGGACGAGTTGTCGTCAAGCTCCGCGGCCAGATGCTGTTCGAGAGAAGACCTCGCCATGTCTTCATCCTCGGACACGTCATATTCGTCACCCATGTCGTCGGCGTACTCCTCCTCGAGGGACAGCCTGACATCGTTGGGTGCAGAATCCGCGGAGCTAACCCCTAAAAAAGACTGCTGGGAGAGCTGGGTTTCAAGAGTTTGTTGCTGTTCATCAAACCCACCAGGTAGCCCACGATGCCTTTTGAATTCAAAGGTGTCGTCCTCCATGGGTGAGTTGGCAGAATCTGGGGAGGCATCAAGAGACATCTCTTGAGGGGCAGCAGACTCGTTCTGAGCCATCTCCTCGTCATCAGACTCGTCATCATCATCAAGACCATAGGTAGTGAAATGTTCGACCGAGAAGACCCAGATGCCGGTATCCTTATCGTAGCTCTCGAAGGTGGTGTTTTCGATTCGCTTCAAACGCTCCACATGCTTGTTGAAACGTTTAGGGTCACTAGCAATCTTCTTGTCACGACTGCCGCGAGGCCAGGATTGCTCAAGAGCAATTCTAGCGGGAACATTGAGACCCTTTCCAACAGGTGGCTTCTTAGCGGAGACGGGGTAGACGGTAGCAGAACGAGGCTCAAGGACAATCAGAGTACCACAAATGTCAGCAAGATCAATGTTGCTAATGTCGACAGGGACCTTGAAAGAGACGTAGCCGACATTGTCACGGCCTACGGTGAACTGGTCAACCTTTTGTCGCTGCATGCGGTTGAGCTTCTCAAGATCTTCCATAGGAGGTGAGATCCAATATTGTCCGGGAGTGGTGTCGGCATTGCCAGTAGACGCCTCAGGAGTCGCATTACTGTCCTCCTCGTGGACGATTGCCAACTCATTGCCCTTAACCTCCTCCATCTCAGGAGTCTTCGAGCCGGCAGAAATGTTTGAGGCATTGGTAGCGCGGGACTGACGAGGAGTCTCATCGTTGGCCGGGCTATCGACATCGCCAGCAGCAGGGAGAGCACCACGGACAGGAGTGCTATCATCCATGTCAACATTGCTGGTATCGAAACTGACACGCTTGGACAGCTTGCGAGAACCGGTTCCGGCGTCTGTAGCCTTATCCTTTTGGGGGGTAGAAAAGAGATCACTCCTAATGTCTCGGTTGATGATCAGCTTCTTTGAGCCAGTGCTACCGTACCATCTGGGCTGAGATCCATTAGAGAAAGCGCCAGGGGCAAGGATGCTGTCTTCAGTGTTGAAGCTGCGGCGCAAGTTGTTGCTTGACAAGCTCTTGCTGAGGCTGCCAGATCTGCTAGATCCCAAAAGACTGTGTCCAAGGTTGCCGGGTGTACTAGAAATGCTGCTTGCTGGGCTGCCTGAGGCGCTATAAGAGAATCCAAATCCTCGCTTTTGAGGCGTAGCATATCGGGAGGCAGATGCAGGGGCCAACTTGTACATGGGCAGAATGGAGCTCCTCCTGGGTTTGGAACCGCCGCTAAGAGGAGTAGCAAGAGGACCAGGGTTCTGAACCTCATTTCCTCCCAACCCAGCGAACAGACCAGGAGATCCGAATGCAGAGACATCGTTCAGGTTAGCGGTCAGGCCCTGAGGAGCGTTGGCAGACTGGCTGTTACCGAGGATCGAAGAGCCATTCTGCTGCTGCTGTTGGTTTGTGCTGCCACCGAACAGTGAGTTACCGGCACTTTGGTTGTTCTGGCCACCGAAAAGCCCGCCATTAGCGTTCCCTGTGCTGCTACCGAAGAGGCCCGGCTTCTGTTGCTGGTTGTTCTGGCCACCGAAAAGCCCGGTGCTGGTGTTCTGCTGGGCTTGGTTGTTCGATCCCAGTCCACCAAACATTCCTGTACCAGTGGTGTTAGTCTGGGCGGTGGTGTTTCCTCCAAACAGACCTCCACTAGCAGCAGGTTTGTTACCGAACAGACCGCCAGAAGCGTTGTTGGTGTTGGCCGCACCAAATCCGCCGGTATTCGTTTGTTGCTGGTTGTTTCCAAACAGACCACCACCAGTACCAGTCGTTGCAGTATTGGTGTTTCCGAAGAGACCAGTACCTGCAGGCTTCTGCTGAGCGGTATTGCCGAACAAGCCGCCAGATTGTTGCTGGGGTTGGTTATTGGTTTGGCCGAACAGGCCAGAGCCAGTAGTTTGCTGAGCCTGGTTGTTGTTCTGACCGAAAAGACCACCACCCGTGCCAGCCGCCTGGGTGTTGTTGTTGCCACCGAAGAGGCCACCACCCGTGCTCTGGGCCGTGTTGTTGGCGCCAAATCCGCTGTTCGTCGCTCCGGCTCCGAATCCACCTGTAGTAGTGTTGGTATTTGTGTTGCCGAAGCTGAATCCGGTACCAGCAGGCTTGTTCTGAGTGTTACCAAAGAGACCACCAGCAGCATTGTTGGTGTTCGTTTGACCAAAGCCGGCTCCAGCAGTGTTCGTAGCGCCGAAACCACCGGTTGTGCCGGTGTTTCCTCCTCCGAAAAGGCCACCACCAGTCGTATTTGTCTGCGCAGTATTGCTGCCAAATAGTCCTCCAGCGGGCTTGTTAGCTGTGCTGCCAAACAAACCGCCTCCGGTTGTGTTGTTGTTGGCAGTAGAACCAAAGCCACCGGAGCCGAAACCAGTGCTAGGGGTTGTGGTGTTGTTGGTTGTGTTTGATCCGAAGAGACCGCCGCCAGTAGTATTGGTCGTCGTGTTCGCTCCGAAGCCTGAAGTCGCGGTGGTGTTCGTGTTAGTGCCAAAACCTCCACCAAAACCCGAGCTCACACCAAATGCACCACCGCCGGTAGCATTGCCATGCCGCCTTCCTTGAACGTAATCAGCAAGTCGTAGCTCGTCGGCGGACCATTTCTTGTAGGGTTCCTGGAACAAAAGGTTTTGGTACGAGTTGGTTGCATTGGTAGCGCCCTCCTTCTCGGTGTGAGCCTGGAAAGCCGTAACAGCTGTTCCAGGAGGGTCACCTGCAGCACCGCCGAGGGTGTTGGTGTTGGCGGCACCGAAGCCAGCGCCGAAACCAGTTGAGGTGCTGCCTGCGGTGTTGCTACCACCACCGAAGAGTGAACCGCCGGTGGTGCCTGTAGCACCAAATCCAGTCTTGTTGGCAGTGTTGTTTCCGAACATGCCACCTCCTGTGTTGCTACCAAAGGCCGATGTGGTGGCGGTGTTGTTGTTCGCAGTGTTTCCGAAACCCCCAAACCCTGTGCCAGTATTGGTCGTGGTGTTTGTGGCAGCGGAACCAAAGAGACCTCCACCCGTTGTACCAGTGGTAGATCCAAAAGCGGGCTTCGCTCCGAAGCCGCCAGCAGTGTTGGTCGCGCCGAAACCTCCTAACAGTTGTCAGTATATATCGATCTCAAGTTTCGCCCTTAGTTTCTCTCTCAATCGTAGATGACAGCGGTGCGTGTTGGCAGAATTGCGTACCGGTCGTTGCGCCGAAGCCGCCTGCGGTGTTATTGTTATTGCCCCCTCCGAAAAGACCACCACCACCAGTGTTGTTGGTTTGGCCAAATCCACCAGTGTTGGTAGCTCCAAAGCCTTTTGAGCATTCCAATCAGCACCGCTGCCATCGACCATCCCGATGGTTTGAAAAAGATTGCTTACCTGAGGTGTTGTTATTATTGTTGTTCGCACCGAAGCCTCCAAATGTTGTCGACTGGGTGTTGTTGGTGTTTTGGCCGAAGCCTCCGAAACCACCGCCGCCGAAAGACATGATTATTGTCACGCAGCTGGCGCGGTTCGGGATCGATGAAAGCTTGTTCGTATGCGAGCGAAGCAGTCGTCGCGCGTTTGCGGTTTGACGCTAAGAGAAGAGCTCTCGTCGCGAAAGTCGATTGACGAATTGATACGAATCGCGGTCACGGTAGCAGTAATCGTTATCGAAAATTAGATGAGAGTAAAGCCCTATCTTCGCGACAGATGGCGCAAAGCTTTGTATCGAGCTGCGAGGTGAAGACGCGAGCTACGTTGCAGGACACTGCAGATGAAAGAGCCAGGGGAATGTAGCTGCAATCAGCACTGGAGAGCGGCAGAGGCCGCAAAAAGATGGAAAATGTCGCAAAAGGAGAAGAAGTCGAAAATTAAGTAAGTGAAAAAGATGAGCGTATGGAGAGATAACGAGAGAGCGCGGACCAGAGAAGGTTGCACTCTTATACTCTCAAGCTCGTGCTGTAAAGTTGGTGGTGAGGCCAGTCTGTCGCTCCTGCCTTTCAGCCAGCTTTTTTTTCGGGGCGAGACTCTACTCTTCAGGCTGGGGCACTGGCAGCTGGTTGCTGCCTCAGACAATAACTTTGTAGCTTTGATTGGCTTCGGAGGAGATGATGACTAACTTTGGCCAATCAGAGTTGGGGCTCAGACTACCTACTGCTTGAGTCACTGCTGCCTGTGCAATGCCTCAAATCTACCTGCACCAAAAGTACCAAGGCAGACACAATTCCAGCCAGTCGCGCGCTCTGGTTGGCTGTGAACGCGCCTGATGACGATGAGTTTGAAGAGACCGTCTTCCAGGTGACATATTTCCATCACAAATTATTCTTTAGAATGAGAACATTACCAATGATGCTTTCTAATCAAACTTTCAATTCAGTTTTTCCTTTCCAATATCAGAAACCGTTTTGGAAATTCAATGGCTGTAAGTCGCTGGTAGCTAGCTCATCTTGTTAGCACTCCTTTTCCATATCCACTTGAGAAAACAAACTTCAATCGCAGCAACGGATGACCAGATTCCTAATATTGAGATGAAACTCCCATTGCGGAAAAAAGCCATATCAATCGACTACTGAGCGTGCCAAAAATGGTTGCGTGCTTCTATCAATTTGTATTCCTTTATATAAATATGATACTACCGACTGTCAATGCCTCGGCCATAAACAACTAATACACATCCGTCTCAAAATGCGTTAGTGGCATTTTTTCTTTAAGTCCTTACACCGCGTCAGTGGTCGCGTCGCAACCCAAGCAAGCTCCTCCCGCGGATCTCAGCGAATTGGCTCCGTACAAGCAACAACACCAAGCCAACCAACCAACCCTTGCGCTTTTCCTTCCCAACATCGTCTCGACACCACGTATAGTGTTTTTGTTGTTCTTGAACTTTGCGATCATAACTAGCCTCCAATTCGCATACCCTCTGCTTTACAGCCCGACTTTATCCTGCATCTAATTACTCGACCACTGCTTTTCTCCTCTCGCCTTCCCTGCCACACCCAATAATCTTCACCATGAATTCGCATACAACGCCACGCAATGCATTTCAAGGACGCTCGCTAGGTGGCTCGGGACTTCCTCCGCAATCCAGACAGCCTGTTGCGCCTCAGGTCTCAGCGAACGAGGATTATAGCACGATACCTGAAGAGGATCGCGAACATATCGATGAAGTGGTAAGTCAAACCACTGTCGCATTTGGAACACCTCCCACTCACAATGTATCGTCTTAGTTCGACTTGATGGACATGAAGAAGAAGGGATGGCTCAACAGCTATGAATTCCGACACTCACTAGCAGCTCTGGGCTTCGATATGTCCAAGCCCGACTATTTTAGAGAGCTACAGTCCTACGGCTCTGTGCCTCCCGAATGGCAAGACCCGCATACCTGCCCTGTCAACCGCCTCTATGTTTACCTGGATCAGTTCCGGTTATGCGCTGCGAAACTGCTGGCCAGTCGAGACCCTAGACAAGAAGCAACCAAAGTATTCAACATGTTTGATTACGATGGCGATGGCGTAATATCGTTCGAAGATATGCGACGTCTTGCTTCTGATATTAAGGAAGAAAGGACAATGACAGACGAGGAGATTCAGAGTATGATCGAGCACCTGGACCACGAGGGCAAAGGCGGTGTGAACTTGGAAGAATTTATCCAGATGATGGAAGAGGCTGGCTAAGGTTGGCCACGGCAAGATCGAGAAAGGTATGAACACCAAAAATGGTAGGCAAGGGCAGTCAGAGAAAGAATACCACATTTGGCGTCCGGTGTTTGAGTTTGCGCTGTCATCCCACAGCGTCACATGCTCGAGCAATCGGGCGTTAACGAGCTTGTGCTTGCTCATAAGCCGGTCCTGACACAGTCGGCGCAAAGGTTGCATTCACGGAACTGTCCCACAACCGCCTTCGCAGCTCTAGAATTACGCCACATGCATGAACGACTGGGCTAGCCAGTCAAACGGTGAAACTGGGCAGAGCTGATTCAGCTGGAGATATTCTACCAATTCGGACACGTAGGAGCATTGAAACGGAAAAAGGGAATGGCGCAATACGGCTACAACGGAGTCAGGAGTAGATTTCAATAAGATCTAAGAATTGTTTTTTGAATGCTTCAGGGGCGCTCTCTAAATCCCCAACATTTCATCAGGAAAGCTTTCCCAATCTCATCACAACTTAACCACCCACATGCTAGACTCAACGTTGGTCCAAACCCACGAAAACAGCACCAACAGGGAAATACCATCCTTCGCCTGCGCAAAAAGCGGGAATCGGGTTCAAAACGGAATGAATATGAACGTACAACAAAGAAAAGGGGGTTAATCAATCAGATAGTCGCTCAGCGGTCAGTGGGCCTAGTCAGTAACCACCGGGTGAACAAAAACTCCTAACTGGCCTTAAAACTGGATCAGATCTTGGTTTTGCTGTTTTTGCTGCGGTGCTTGTTGATGGGCGAACGGGTTGTTGGTCTGGCCGTTCATACCCGCAGGTCCAGTAGCAGCAGGCATCTGAGCGCCATAGTTGACTGAGGGCATGCCTGTGAATTGTTGTCGCAGGAAGGGATTGTTTCCAGTAGCCTCAGCATTAATGCGGGCAGCACCCGAGCCAGCACTATTGACAAATGTGCCAGGTGCTGTATGTTGGGATGGAATACGCAGATTGCCTGTGTTGCCAAAAGTATCCATGCCATCACCGCTCGAGAGCAGTGTGTTGAGTCGAGACTCGTGCTCGGTCATTTCCTTCTGAGGAGCATTGAATGAAGGTTGCGACTGAGTGAAGCTGTTTTGCGATTGCATAGGGAAACTGTTCTGTTGCTGTAGCTGAGGCTGTAGCTGAGACTGGTTGCCGAACGAGTTGAGGCTCTTCTGTTCGGGAAGAGCTCCCAGTGTTGACATAGGGTTTGGTCGGGCGGATTGAGGGCGGCTGAACTGGGCGAATGGGTTGTTGGATCCAGTAGGGGTTGGTTGCAATGATTGCTGTTGGTTGTTGCTGGTTGCCCAAGGGTTGTTGCTACCAGGGTGGAGTGTCGGCTCGGGAGATGCTGGTGAGGAGAATGATTGCTGCTGAGGCTGCTGTTGTTGTTGCAGGTACGGGTTGAAGCCAGTGGGCTGGGGCTGGAATGCTTGTTGTTGAGGCTGCTGTTGCTGCTGCTGCTGGCCAAAAGGATCGAAGCCCATGCCCGTCTGCTGACCTCCAAAACCAGTGTTGTAGTTTGGCTGGAAACCAGTAGGCTGGGGTTGTTGAAATCCTGTATAGGCGTTGTTCATGTAGCCAGTGGGCTGGGGCTGGTTCTGCTCAATAGGATTGGCAAAGAAATCGACGGGGTTGCCTTGCTGATAACCCTGATTGAAACCAGTGTACTGTGGCTGGCTAGTCTGCTGCGAGGGCGCAGGGTCATCGTCGAAAAGAGAAGCAGCGTTACTGGTCTCCAGCTCCCTGCGCCTTCGTTCCTCTTCTTCCTCGCTGAGCTTGATTGCTTTCGCAAGATCGTCATCGTCATCGGGTCCGGTCTGCCGGCTCTCGCGCTTCTTCCTGTCTTCCTCCTCTTGATACTTGCTTGCCTCAAGGGCCAGGCGGTATTCAGCATCTTCCTCCTCGTTCATTTGTCTCCTCGGCTGCTGTCGTCTGTTTGCCTGATGAACCGGCTCAGCGTGCTGGGGGGCGAACTCTTCGAGCCCAGTAACACGCGACTTCCACGATCTTCGGTCGCTTCGCTCGGCTCGGAGTCTTTCTTCGTCAAGAATAAGGGAGGTTAACTCCTTGGCGGCAACTCGGACTAGACAGATGTTAGAGGCTACTTCAAGTGACGCAAAGTTAGTGCCTACCATTTTGTCCTACATCGCGACCTTCCTCGTCTACGTATTGGAATTCGCGAAGGGTCTTAATGATATAGATGCTCTGTCGAGCCCATGTAACGACGAGTTCCGAGCCTTCATGAAGACAATAATCCAAAACCTTGAGTGCTTTAAGGACGTGACGCCAGTTCTTTCCTTTATCATTCAGGCGCTTGTCGATCATGTCCATGATCTCGTAAAACTCGGTGGATCTGGTCGCGTCATGCCAAGTCAGTACTTCCCGTCATCCCGGGGGTCTACCAATGCGCAGGCTGTTCACGTACGTGTTGTATGTCATTTGAGCAATCTCGCTCATCTGAGTACCGGTCGGGCCCCATGGGTCATTGCTGGTAGCTGCGTGTCACTCGGTCAGCGATGATGGTTCGTATCATAGGCGTGGGAAGATCTAACCTTCTCTGACCTTGACTTGGGCGCTAGAGTAACCCTTGGTCACATTTTTGACACTTCGCATTACCTTCGACATGGCGGGCGATGTGTGATGTGTACTGTATGGTTTTTGCTAGGTGGTTTAACGTGTAGAAATGCTTCGTGCCGACTAATCGACGGGCCGAGGTAAGGTCTCCTTTGGCGTCTCGATAAAGTACAGCTTGAGGCAAGTGTTAAAATGTTAATGCTCCTCAGGCGACTACCTTCGCGACAAGAATGCGATGCGCGCCCGTAGTCGGAGTCAACGGAAGAAATACCGGGAGGGGCGGTTTGAGGGGATTGAGCAAGCTCCAGAGGTAACAATGTAATGAGCTCCAGGCGTAGCTTTTGCGTGAAATCGCAATCAATCGGACAAGAGAGAAGCGAGTCGCCGTTTAATTAGAATTGGCGATCAGGAGGAAAAGCGTTTGTGAAGGAGGTTGGAGGATACGGTTCGTGGGGTGACTAGGTCTCGATTTCAAGAGGTCGGGGAGACCGATCGGACACGACGTTATAAGATGGAAGAGGATAGAGGCTAAGCTAAGCAAGCACTCCAGGTTTTGATAAGAGAGGCGAATTCAGGTGTACCTAGAATTCGGATTCGGTAGTGTCGGAGCAGCGACTATAGGAATAAAGGCGCTCTCTTTGTGACGCGACTCAACGAGGGAAAAAAAGGTTAAGTTGGATGAGTGCAGGAGCAGGACCAGGAGTAGGAGTACAGTAGGAGCAGGATGATGAATTGGCGCTCTCAATGCGGGTTTGGGATTGGGGATTGGGGATCGGGGATGAGCCCATGCACGCACCATGCAGCCCAGCTCATGGAACCAAGGCCTAAGGCAAGAGAAGAAGAAACGGGTTGTGGCTCTGCAAAGCTGATTACGTATCCATTTTCACTTGCCAGCGAAGACGGCGGTTCAGAGAGCTACCTTACTTAGTACCTCTACTACCTACTACCTGCGCCAAGATTTGCGGGGGTCTTGGAGTTTTACGTATGCGTATAAATACATTTCAGTTGATTTGCTATCTCGCAGAAACTTAGGTCTATTCACTCTTTTCTCTAGGTACAGTACAATCTCGCCTAAAGTCTCCTGATCAAACTCTTAAATAAAGGCTTCGTCAGGTACCTAGCTTCGTCAAAGTGTGGCTGAGATTCCAACATTCACAGGCGTCAGAGCGTCTTTTACACCCGCTGTCCCCATCAGGAAAGTCCTACGTCACGTTCCCGAGACCCCTACGCGTTAATTAAGGTCAAGGCACCTCAATGGATGCTTAAATCTTATAGAGCACTTTTACTCTTTGTCTTACCCTATACCTCTAGACCTACGACGTGGGGATCATATGAATTTTATAAATATTTGACAGTCAAACAGTTGGGACTGTGATTGAAAAAAATACAATTAGTATCAAGAGAATGTGCTTGTACAAATAAAACAATAGACTCTCGTCTCTTCGTCAAGCATCCGCTTCTTGCGCAATGTCCAAACCCAAAAACTGGCCTGACAGCTTCGCATACCTCAAAGCGCCTCTTCACGATAAAAGCTTAAATCCAAAGCATATTCAAGACCTCAAGGGCAAACCCTCTCCCTCGAGTAGCATTCCCATCATCCCGTCAGCATCAACCACAACACCATGCAATCTGGTCAAGATCCAGCCCATCTCTAACCCTTCACACCCAGCCAACGGCCAATGCGGCCTCTTTGCAGCGCAGAATCTAGCGCCTGGTAGCTTCATCCTCGCATACCTGGGCCGTGTACACTCAGGCACTGCATCTTCAACTGAGAGCGACTATGATCTGTGGCTGGACCGTGAGATTGACGCAGCGGTCGATGCGGCAAGTGAAGGTAATGAAGGTCGCTATGTAAACGACTTTCGAGGCGTGGGAGACAGGGCAAATGCAGAGTTTCGGACGGTCTGGTGTGAGAAATGGGGAGAGCTTTGTGTGGGAGTTTGGGTTCTCGGGGGCGCAAAGAAGAAGAAGGGAGTAGGAATCAAGAAAGGGGAAGAGATTCTTGTCAGTTATGGGAAGGGTTTTTGGGGCGAGAGAAGAGCAGATGAGTACGAGTATGAGTATGATTACGAAGAGGCAGAAGAACAGGTTCTTGATAACAAACAATGAACATGCAACCAAGTTTATGCCATAGAGAAAAAAGCACGGCTACTCATTTGTCTACCTATCCAACTATTCGTGATGTAAAAAAACATCAAGCAGATGACCGTGAAAGAAATTTCACCCGGAAACCATTATCTGCGGCTCGACTCCTTCCCATGACAACAGAGAGCTTCTACTAGCACCTGATCGCATCAAGATGGGCTAGAGTATATGCTGGCAGAGGAGCTTGCAATTGCTGTCCCTGCTCTGATCCGGCATTGACATTAGGACGAGGTAGATTGTTGAGTTCGACGGTGTCGGGGTTCTTGGCAGGATCATAGTCCTTTGCGAACATCCACAGGCTGAACGTCTGGAAGATCATGGTCACATATATAAGCACACAGGATATACAATCCCAAGCCATGCGACGAGAGGTGCTGTTGTGAATGTGACCTGCAGTGTGAATTCTCTGGTGTATCGTAGAATGAAGCCCCAGCAAATTAAACACAAGGCATAAGACCAAGAATGTGATGACTTGGACCTTGGCCCTGAGTGTTGCTGCAAAGATGGCCTTGGGGCCAAGGACTACAGTGTGTCAGCTTTCGAACTACAGGATGCGAATAAGTAGAGAGTAGGTAATTTACCTTGACCTTCTTCGTGGCCTTGTTCATTGCTCGTGTCGCCTTCAATGTAGTCGGCCTTACCCCAAGCTACCCAGCCGAGGATACCGCACATTATTACGGTCGCGAAGGAAACGGCAACAATAATGACTAAATGTAGGTTAGTATACAGTATAATGGTCAGTTGGAGAGGAGATATTACTGAAACCCCCCATTAGTTTGAACTCGGACCGGGTAATGCCATCAAGCCGAAATACGACAGGGCCCAAGGACGGGATGGTTTTGTTGTCAAACATGATTCTGATTCTGACTCTGATTCTGGTGAGATTTGAAGGAAAAGTGTGAGGGAAAACAAGGAGGAAAGTAAAAGAAGAGAAGGGAGCCGGCTTGAGTCTTTTTATGTGTTTGTAATAACCTTTTCAATGAGTGGACATCATGGATATAGGCTCAAGAGTTGACGAAGTTATTTGGTACAAGCCAATGAAAAAAGAAATTGAATTGGCCTTTCTGCATGTTTGTAGATCTAGGGTTGGGTGTAAACATCATCCCCCTTAAAGTTTCCCTCCTCCTCATCTCCAGACACAGAAGCCTCAAAGTCATTCAGGGCTACATCCTCATCCATGTACTGTGAGAAGTCTTCATACCAAACAGGGAACATGGAAACCAGAAAGATAAGGGCGTCAAAGAACACGAGCAGAAGAAACAAGAATGTTTGAGCCCGAGGCTCGAATCCGAACCGAATCGTCCAGGTAAGCCAGACAACGACTGCTGCAACCCACAGTGCCACAGCTGTACCCCTCGAAAGCTTTAGTAGAAGTTTTCGATGGGTTGACATATCTTTAGTTGGTTAGTAGATGAGACATTACAAGGCAGGATGATGCTGAATGGTCGTGTACTTACTTCGACGTGACACTGACCCGGGGCGGATCTTGGTTAACATGAGATATGGGAGCGCAACTAGTAAGATGAAGTCGAAGAACGAGCCTGAATGATCAGAATCGCTGTTTAGCATTTAATAAATAGGACATGAGCTTACTTATGACGCAGGGAATGTCTAACGAAGCCGCTTCCATGACGGCTGATCTGCCAGGCATGACTGGCGTGACTGACGAGATAGACTGAGAGTCCATAGTGTACGATGCTGATTGTACAGAGCAAGCTGTATCATAAACGACTGATAGAAAGTAGATATGCATGTAAGAAGAGGAAATGATGGTCTTATAACCCGAGAAAAAGAGTGTGTTTGTGGCAGGCCAGGCTACCTTTTGTATAGAGTTCACACAAAACAGCACCTTCAGATATCATGACCTGTCAGTCCCGGTTACTTACTGGGCATCTATTGGTAGCCTTTAAAGTATGAACGACTTAAATTATTCCTAAGAAGCTTCGTGTTGTGCACAAATACGTACAAATGAGTTTGCAAAAATGCGCTCAAACACTACCCATATCTTAGTTTTGCAAATGCCTTGGTTTTCTTCAAATAAGAACTCTGCCGCTCTTTCTCTCTCTTAGAAACTATTTCTCTTTGACCCTCCATCCAATCTCTGCTCATATTCATCTCCCAATAACTGCTCTGTAACTCGACTCAACTCGACCAACGACAAGATGGATGCTACAAAGATCCCCTGGCTCTCAATCTGTTAGTGCTACTAGATTTCCTGCAAATAAAACACTTGTGCTAACTCTTACTCGGCTTTCAATATGGCATGGTAGCTTTGGCCCAGGGTACGATCTTAGCCTTGGGAGCAGCGGTTCACGCCGATATCAAACTAGGTATGCTATCCGTCCGTTCATTGCTAGTGGTTCCAAAATGCTAACACAGGCTTTGTTTTCACAGACGATGCTAAGTTACAGCGACGCTTTTCTTCCCACTCTGCCGCTCTAGGTATGATGGCCGTCACCATGATTCTCGCCGAGTGGTACGTCTCCGTTCTTGTCACAGCATTGTACGGGCCGTCTGTTATTATTCCTTGGATGATAGTAGCTCAGCTGTTTTTCATGATGCTTTTCTTCTACCTTCCATTTGAGTACATCGATATTCAAGCGAGGGAGAATGAGAGGGAAGAGGTGAAGCACCTCATAATCCCTGACGACGAAGAGACCTTGGTGGGCGACGTCGACTATGACTGCGGCCAAAGTATGTACGCAGAGTCTCTATCATCCTTCGGGTATGAAGGTGACGATGTGTGGGTCTATGGGACCATGGATCTCTCGCAGTTGTCTGGCCCTGGGAATTCCATGCCTATTTAAGTAAGATGTAAGACTGTCACATCTTGCATGTGTATGTCTGTGATTGTTCGACTGGAGGGTTTGGAAGATCTTATACAGGGGTTCTGGTCTCGTTCTTTTATTGAATAGTTATGAGCAATGTTACAGAGGCGGAGTGTTCACCGTCCTTCTGCCTCTACGTGAGGAGTCTATGTAGCTTGTGAAGACCGAGTCTTCAATGACCCGATGTGACCAATAAATAGATTGATAACATCCGTCCATGTTAGCCGGTTATGAGCGTATTGGACTGGAATCTTGTAACCAGGGGATTCAAGCTTGTATAGTTTTGTTCAGAACATATTGAAGGCACAACAAATGAGCATGTCTCTTGAGCAAGTTGAACCGCGCTCTAGTTTGAACATGCTTAGCTTCCGGGATCTCGAGTCTATCCTTGAAGGAAAGGAAGAATGCATCTCAGAACAGTTATCTCTACAACCATCATTATGAACACATACTTCCGAGTTAGATATTACGATAGAACAAAACAGTGACTTCACAATGTCATTGTTTGACAATAAACAAATTCTGTTCGAACATGGTACGCTTTAGTTTCTGCACAACTGAACAGTATCAGCCATGTTCAAGAGACCCTCAGTACGACAGGTCTGTCTTGCAATGTATATAACCTCATGTGTATCCCATCCGCGGACAGGTATCTTCAGATATTCCAACCACCAGCAATTTATACTAACGAGCAATCAGAAGAGTTTTTCTAAACACACAAACTAACTAACTACTAGATCTTCAACATGTTCTCATCTCCCTCCAAGCCCACTAGAATGGCTTCTCAAGGCTATCGTGTTAGAAAACCCTCTAACCGTCGCAGCGGTAGCTTGAATTACAAGTCTGCCACGCCCGGCCTTAAGACGAAACTCGATATATTCGCTCATACCTTTTTCTCTCCTACTAACCCTAACCGCGGCGCCGAAGATCGCGGAGCTGCATGGCTACAAGCGGAGAAACTTGACACTGGAACCCTCATAGTTTCCTCCCCAAACGAAGCAGCTGATACATGGGAGTGTAAGGATTGTAGCTGGAGGGTCCGCACCCTGGCGGGCAAGTTCAACCTGGAAGTCCACACTCAGCTCTGTCCACCTCCAACTTCCTATGCCTCTGCTTTTATCAGCTCTTCTAATGGCGAGTCAGTGCAGCTTGACTCCCCTGCACCCATTGGCACTCCTCTCAGTGGCGTTACTAACGATATCGAGGATCTCAGACGGCAAACGCTGAAAAGAGATATAGGCAATCGCCAGCCGTTCTATGGGGTTCACCAAGCCCTCTTTGACCTGAGCCGCGGTGAGTTAGTTACTGTTCACATGCGCGCTACAGACCAGAGACACAGCCGTCATGATCTCAAGCGAGGAACTATCATCTCTGCTCCTTTCCACAGCCAATACCGCTAAGATATAGTTTCGACAGTCGACCTCAACACGGGAGTCTCGGCTTTTGGGCCTGTCTACTCAAAGTACCGTAAGATGATCGTTATCGAGACTTGGGCAGAGCACGTCGTCTGTCTACCCATTTTCACTTATAACGGTAATGGTCTCGAGATGCGTCAGGGCATGGTAGAAGAGTACATGGACGTTCGCGATGTCGATGATGAGTCTCCTGCACCACCTGAGACTCACTACGAACCGTTGATGGCTATTCGCGACGAGAGATGGCTTAGTAGGAACACATTCATTACAGGTAAGGCTGTTGTGAAGCTAACTGAGAAAACCACTCACTCTCTATTCCAAAAGTGCTCTATCGAGGGCAAACTTGAACCGGCACATTTCCAGAGAATGTACAAGGCTCTGCTCGAGTTAACTCAGGTACAGGCCCTGGAAGTCTTTGGTAAACCGACTGAGGGCATGTTCATTATGCCCTGACAGATATCAAGGTATGACCTCGTTCAATTTACTTACTCACTCTCAACATTCTTAGACAGGTACGCACGCTCGTTCAATCAAATCAGCATTGTTTTAACCCTCCTGATCCCCAACCATTGGCCTCCAACGCTGGGACTCCATGTTCTGACTGTCTTGTCTAAATAATCCAATAAAAAATGCGCTTGCTACAAACAAAAGTCTTTGTCAAATACGGGATAAAGCTAGTAAAGCAATCCGCGCTGTTCCTCCCAGGTATAATACATCCGTAAGCAAACTCTCATCATCTCTGTGAATGACCTGTCCTAGGTATAGTAATTATTCAAACGTCCTCCCCTTCAGCGTCAACGTCTTCTCCCTCAGCAGCTTGTTCCCCGTTTGCCTCCTCGTCTCTAGAGGCTTTACGTGCAGCGGCACTTCCATTAGCTTTTGCTCCATTAGCTCGCATTGACACCACGACCGAGTCCTCTGCTGGCTCTTCCACTGCCACCTCTTGTTCGGGGTCATTCCCTTCAGTGATGGCTCGCAACTTGGCTTGCTTGTCCATCCACCCAGGTGGTAGACCGGGACCGCTAGTTGCATTTCCATAGTCGGATTTCTTGGTACCCTTTGGCCATCGACCTGGCCCTCGGCCTGTTCCGCCCGTCTTTTTCTTGGATGAGCTCTTGGGTCTGGAGGAGGAAGAGCGATGGCTGTTGCTGCTGCGCTTTTGCCTTGAAACGCTACTAACGGTACGAGGCGCAGTCGGGCGGCTAACGCTTGGTCTTGCCCGCTCTCGTCTGCCGCCAGGAATGGCCGGGAATACTTCGAAGCGAGTATATGGAATATCTTGATATGGCTTTAGCCAAGCAGGTGGGCCATCATCTTCTGCATCCTTCATCTCAACGTCTTTATCTTTCTCTTGTCCCGGTGCCACGTCTTCGATGGATTGAACCGGGGCTGGGTCGGCATTGGCACTTTCAGCTGCTTTGTCTCCGGCTTCTCCATTGACGTTTGCTTGGGGTTCAGCACCAGTGTCAACATCTGTATCTGGAACTGGCTCATCCTTCTTTTCTCCGTTTAATAGTGACTGACCCTCAATGCCAGTCGTACCAAGGCCTTCGTCAACTTTGGCCTCGTCATCCTCCCTGGGCGCAATAGCATTCATCGGCGGGCCCAGCTCAAAGTTGACGGCGTTGCTTCGGCCCATAACATACGGCGTCCACACAAGAGCTTCTGGCTTCAGTTGTACATAGCCCTTTGCTTCCCATTTGCCCACATATTGTCGGCAATAGTCCAGATCAACTCTGAAAGCATACGTTTTGGTCTGTGGGTCTCTGACGAGAGCTCTCAAACCCTCGAGGGCCGATATAACATCATCTGGTGTCATGCCGGTATTATCAGATATACGCTTGATGCTAAGCCCCTCTGTGGCATACTTTCCTCCCTCCATCACAGTCAAGAAATACCGACACATGATCAGCCGCCAATAATTACGATATGAGACCAGGCCCATATCCGACAAGGGCTTCTCCGGCGAGCCAGTCTTTTCCTCAACCTTTGTTAGTAGATAGGAAAAGTCGATGAGCAAGTTGCCGTAGCCCTTTCGTTGATGTATGGGTAATGTGAGGATACAAGAGACGTTGTTCTGGCTACTTGCTCGCTTTTCTTTGGAAAAGTATCCCACAAAGTGATATCCTGTCTCATTGTATTCACACAGCACGTAGAATAGGAAGGGCTCCACGTCGTAGTATAGAGTTTTCGAACCTAAAAACAGCTTGGCAAGAAGGCACAGATTCTGGCAGTAAACCGGATTCTTGCGACCGTCGACTTCGAAAACCGAGACGGATCCATGTCGATAGATCTCGTCGCCCGGGGGGTGCTTGGCCGGGCATTTGAGTTTGTGTCGCCAGGCAACGTAGTCAGACGCCATGTACTTGAGGCAGAACTCACAAATGTACAACACACGGGTCGTGCAGTACTCAGCGGGATACGGCGCCGCGTACCAGGTATCAATTTCCCATCCGCCAAATTCGATGCATTCAATATGGCTGGCGTTGTCAGCCGCCTTCTTCGCTTTTCGAACAGGGGCATTGCTTTCTTCTTGCATGGCTAGAAGACGCGCCCGCCATTCTTGGTCAGCCTGATGAAGGGCATCCTTGAATCTTTTCTCATCATCTTCGGCTGGAAGAGTTTTGGATGTGTCGGCCTCTGCCTCAGACAGAATGCCACCGAAGGGTTTGCCTTGCATCTCTTCTAAATCACGGTCGAAATAAAATGGTTGTGAGTAGCTGTCCGACGTAAAGGGGGTAGGGAGGACAGATATAGCAGCAATTGCTGTGGCTCTCGGTGTTGGGATTGGTCGTTGGGGAGGTGGTCGTGTGACAGTTCCAGGTTGTCGTCTTTTTTCTCGCCTTTTGCGAGCGAGAATTTCTTTAAGATTGCCAGGCTTGACAGTGAACCTAAGTATGAGCGACGTACGGGTGCGTTTCTCTATCGAAACGGGTGGGGGCCTTGAAACCTTGAGGCGTAGAGTTCTGGAAGGGTTATTTCGACCTGGTTCAGCACTTCCATTTCGTGCTGTACTCTCAGACGTTGCATCGTTGGACTGGTTTCGTCGACGTTTTCTCAAGGAGATCGTCGTGCCATCGTCTTCTAAGGATGATGATTTCCGTTTTCTCAGCGTGCGTGGTGCCTCTCTCGGCTCCCCATCTAACTCCTCCTCATCTTCATGCTGCGATTCGCCATGGGAGCTGGCGTCCTCGTCTTCCACTTGTTGTTCTAAATGCGCTTCACCCGAGAGTCCGTGAATGTCCGATTCCTGAGAGGTAAGTCCAACATCGTGATCGACATGATGATCTTCCACCTCCTCATCTTCCTCTTCGGCATCGGATTCTTGACCGAAACATTCTGGACATTTCCAATGCTCAGGGACTGTTACTGTTAGAATTTGCCATACTTCGAGGATTGACCTGACTCACCATTTTCGGTATTCATCGCCGCAGCATCACGCGCGCATTGTTGGTGAGCTGCATCTGTTAGCATCCAAGGGCGTGTTGTTGTAATTGTGGCGCTTACCATTACTACCGCAACGAACGCAGGCCAAGTATGCTTCAAACTCCTCGCTTGGATCGTCATCTTCACCTTGGCCACAGAAAATGCAGTTGCTTGATGCGGCGGTTTCATCATCCTCATGGTCCTCCTCGGCTTCTGCACCATCTTCCCAAGCGGCCTCCTCGTCTGACTCCTCTTCATTAGCGCTGGGAAAGTCCGACTTGTCGCTTTCACTGTCTTCATCGTCGTCGTCTCTAGTTCCGGGTTGAAATTTGACGGCGCCTACACCCTCGTCGTCTTCGTAGTCTTCCCCTTCTGCGTCGACGTCCTCATCGTGGTCCTCTTCCGCTTCCGCTTCCTCTCCCTCTGCATCCTCCACTCTTTCCGCGTCCTCATCCGCTTCATCACCTTCTTCCTGATCGGTTTGCCGGCTGTTATGAGACGATAATTGTGGGGGTGCCATGTAGTCGTTATCCTCCTCGCCCGATGCGTCTACATCCTCGCCTGAGGCGTCGCGATCGCTCAACTCTAGATCGGCGTCGTCCGATGGGTTTCGATCAACGCTGGACGTTCCTCCATTTCCTTTGGATCCTGTTGCAATGATTGTTGTGTCGCCTCCTGTTTCGCCAGCCGTCTCATACTCGGCATCCTCGTCTGAAACCATGGCGCTATGTTGACGTTCTTCTCCCATTGCTTGTGCGCTCGTCATAGTTACCCCCGCGTACCGGAAGTAAATGTTCTGAAACGCAACCTGTATTTTGCATGTCGGTCGTTATCGAAATTGACGAAGCGTTTCTCGCAGGATAATCACGTCTTGTTCATCGCGGTTGCGGCTGAAGACGCGGCCTTGAATAGAGGGGCGGCTGGGGAGAAATGCGCGAAAGAGAATAGCCAAAATTTGGGTTGAACGATAGACGGAACAGTCGCTTCTGATTTGATCTACGCGTTCGTAGAAAGCCCAAATACCGTGGAGATGCAATAAGTCAAGCCACTGGAGACAGTCGCGTCGACTTGGTTGATATCAAACAGCTGTCGCGGGAGCTAGTTGCCACAGTGCGTGCGACAGCTGCTTGAATGATTGGGCACTACGAGCTTGGTGCTACAACGTGCGACTAGCGTACCTGTCGACTGTGATTAATGCAGGGATAAGATCGGAGCTAAGTTTCGGCCTTAGGCAACAAAAACCGCATCACCAATCGCTGAATCGTCAATGGCTCGGCTCGACGTGAGCTTCAATTCAAGGCCCGGCATTCGAAAGATTCTCGACCACCCCGACGAACCAGGACGACAGGTCAGGTCTGGTCAATTCGATTCTTTGTCCTCCGAATAAAACAGCGAATACCTCCAAGTCTGCTCAGGCAGCGTCATCGTCACAATGCCCGTCCCTTTTGAGGCTCTTCTTCCCTATGCCATCATGATTGGTGTATGTCGCTATCCGATTCCGCAGCTGCACCATACGGAAGCTTATTGAGTTATAGATGTTCGGTATCTCTGGTACCGGTCTTGCCGTCATTAAGACCTGGCAGAACGAGGGCAAGCGACCTCGTTACTCCGTGGATCAGTGGGATAGAGTAAGTTGCTCGCGCCTATAATAAATGTTCAATGCTAACTATCTCCCAGCAAAGTACGATATAGCCGAACGAGTTCCTAAAATTTATACTAACCAATGAATTAGTGATGGAGCGTGACCGTCGTCTTACGGGAACCCTACGAGGACAAACAGACAAGCCGGAGGCACCCTTAGGGTTCGAATTGAACAACCCCTGGAAGGTAAGCCTCCTACTCTTGCTATCATACGGATCGGAAATTAACACGACACTACAGTTGGAAACCCGATTTTCTTAAACAACAACATGGTGGTTTAGAGCGAATGGTTATGGTAAGGCAACCCGGATCAACAAATGTAATTATACAGCCTGGGTTAGAGGCATGAAAGCCATAAGGCGGAGACTGGACGACTAAGAGAAGAATCAGACAATTCCAAACAGGTTCTTTTATTATTTCGAAATCACGAAGTTATGTTAAATTCGAGTGGTTTGATCTAGATAGCAGGGTATCTTTATTATATCGCTATCTCTGCTCTATTCTTATTCAGGCCCTCCAGCAACGTGCAAGCCTGACACATGGCCTGACTTGACATGTAGCCACACTTGACGCACTTGCCTAGGCTCTGCTTTGGTGCAGATGGCCCTTCCTTCTGCTTTGGCTTCTTTGTCCTTACTGGTAGAGGCACCGCATCATCCTTGGGAGTTCCGTTGGCTGTGATCTCTGTCTCAAGAGCTGCAGACTCGGGTTGCTTCTTCAAGCTGGCCTCGATCTGGGCCATCTCGTTACCTGAAGTTCGCCCGTTGGCTGAACCACAGCCTCCAATGCCCTCGCCTTCGTCACAACCACATGCCCCTTGACCCTTGTCAGGCGTAAGTCGGGCCATGTCCTCTCCACTTCTGACAATGTCCAAGATGGCACTTGGCCGCACTTTTTCCAGGTTCTTTATCAGCCCTCGCGCCGTGCCTCTGAAAGCTTCTGGGCTGTATATGCATTCTGTGCTGAAGTAGTCCAGCTTCTTGTGGTGGGCATAAAGAACAATCTCCTTCTCATATGCATACTTGAGAGGCTTGCTTCTCATAACTTCACTGCTTGAATTTCCGGTGATAATGCTGGTGCTTCGAGATAACCGGGGCATGTCTCCTCGTAAAAGGTTCATAAGGACAGTCTCGGCGACATCGTCGGCGTTGTGGCCGGTAATAACATGCTGAATGACCAATTTCTTGGCCCCGCGGTCCAAAGCCTGGCGTCGGAAAACACCACAATATGTGCAGTTTCCCTTCTTTCCAATGGTTTCAACGACCTGGTCCATGGTCCATCCGTACAGCTCGTCGTAGCCAACAATCTCCAGAGGCATCTCGTACTGAACAGCATTTCGCTTCACTGTCTCAAGTGAATCGTCTCGATATCCCTTGATACCTTCGTCCACACTGAGCAACACAAGATCTAGCCCATAGTCGTGACGTTCGTTCAAAGTTTTCATCACAGAGGCCAAGACTGTTGAATCCTTGCCACCCGAAGCACCAATAGCAACTCGTTCACCCCGGTAGAAGAGTTTTGATGATATGATTGTATGATGAACTTCATCTTCAAAAACTTGAATGAAGCAGTCCCGGCACAGTTTATGGTGGTTCTTGGGTCGCTTTACAACAGCCCTGTTCTTTTCACATCGAACGCAGGGTGTAGGTGCCATTTTGTCGTTGTAGAGTGAATGAGACTCCTCTCAGTTGGGTTGAAGGAGGTGTTTGTTGTCCCGGTGGAGAAGTTCAAATGTCTGTAGGCTGAGCTTTATATCGATATTCACAAAGTTTCATGTAGGAGAAACCGTTGTCTTCACCTCAACTTTACAACATTCTAGACTGCCTTTCCTTTCCACTTGTTGCCTCCCAATGATTGATTGACTCGTGATAGTTTAGCCGCACTGTAAGAGTCACAGTGTCACGTGCATTAGACGCTGAAGGAAAGAAAAGAAAAAAAGATCTGCTCCAATCTGGAAGGTGGATCTCTTGAGGCCCCACAGCAACCTTCCCAGAAGCCCTAATTATTTTCCACCGGCCAAAAAAGGATCTCGCGTCTTCTCTTCTTGATTTTGTTCTTTATCCACCATTCGTGTCCCGGACTTTTGCTCTTCAACCCACGAGCAACTACTAACCCCAACGATTCAAGATGGTGAGTGAATAAAACAATCGACTCGACTCTAATGGCCACAGTTTTGTGAGTCAAATGTGCTTTATGCGCAGTTGAAGCCGCAGCGTCGTCCATTTCGGTGGACGACATGTGCTGTTGGTATTCCGCCAGTCTTCGATTACCGTGAAACGTATCGAGCTGGTGAAGACTTGGCTGGAGATGCGGCGTGTGCAGAAATGCCATGACCAATTCTCGTTAGAGTTCAGAGAAGACCTTTTGTTGGCTTGAATGCCTTGCTGATGTCTTCTTTTCTCAATGACAGCCTCCCAAGTCCGGCAAGAAGGTCGCTGCCGCCCCTTTCCCTCAGGGTAAGGCTGGCAAGAAGGCCGCCAAGGTTAGTAATCCCCGTCGCCTTTTGTTGAGAGAAAAGATCGCTGACAATCCAAAGAACCCCCTTCTCGAGAAGCGACCCCGCAACTTCGGCATCGGCCAGGACATCCAGCCCAAGCGAAATGTCTCCCGCATGGTCAAGTGGCCCGAGTATGTCCGCCTCCAGCGACAGAAGAAGATCCTTCAGATGCGCCTGAAGGTTCCCCCGGCTCTCGCTCAGTTCCAGCACGTCCTCGACCGCAACACTGCTGCCCAGGCTTTCAAGCTCCTCAACAAGTACCGACCTGAGACCAAGGCCGAGAAGAAGGAGCGTCTCCTCCAGGAGGCTACCGCCGTCAAGGAGGGCAAGAAGAAGGAGGATGTCTCCAAGAAGCCCTACACCGTCAAGTACGGTCTCAACCACGTTGTCGGCCTGATTGAGAACAAGAAGGCTTCTCTCGTCCTCATCCCCAACGACGTCGAGCCCATTGAGCTCGTTGTCTTCCTTCCTTCCCTTTGCAAGAAGATGGGTATCCCCTACGCCATTGTCAAGGGCAAGGCCCGTCTCGGAACGGTCGTCCACAAGAAGGTAAGCAAAACCAATTCGATCAAGTCTGAACGATATCTAACTAGTCCTAGACCGCTGCTGTCCTCGCCATCACTGAGGTCCGCTCCGAGGACAAGAACGAGCTCTCCAAGCTCGTCTCCGCTGTCAAGGATGGTTACCTCGAGAAGCACGACCAGGCCCGCCGACAATGGGGTGGTGGTATCATGGGTGCCAAGGCTCAGATGAAGATCATCAAGAAGCAGAAGGCTCTCGAGGCTGCTACCAAGATCTAAGTCTAATTTGTTTATACCCCTCACAATGCATTGCGATTATGGGATCGGACGGTGTTGCACGGTTCAGGGCATGGAAAATGAATGATTTTTCTCGGGTTACTTTTTGTCCCATCCCACTCGCAGTGACATGAGGGGCTGGTCTCCCAACCCTCCTAAAATAGATGATGAGCTTGCTTCTTGGACAAGTCTTTGGGTGTAAAATGTGATTGTAAGGTTCTTAAAAGCTGTCCTGTCGCAAGCAACCGCTGTCCCGTGATATCGACAAAATCACCATGTCTACGTTGCCTTGAAGTAACGGCGTGAATTGATCAAGCCGATTTAACTAGCGTTCTGAAGGGCTGTTTTGATCGTGTGAAAGACTACGCCGTCGATTTGTTTCCGTCACGAGCAGTCGCTAAATTGCACTCGTTTATCTGAGTGAATCAGGTCCTTTGCTGCACTTCTGCATTGCGATACATGCTTGCTAGATGAGCGGACTCAGCAAGATTGGTTCTCTGCCTAGATACCGATGGAGCGAGCTCTTGCTGAGGACTGACTCCGAATCAGTTTGTGCTCTTACAGTCCAAGCAATTCTATTAGAGGGTGTTCTGGAACAAGCAAGTCCTGATAAGTTTACTCTTAGGCTAGCGTCCAAGAATCTGCTTAAGCCTTTCTTATGTCACGTCATCAGGTCAGGCTGTGTGTTCATGCCCAGAGCATTGGGTTAGTTTAATATCACCAAATCCTGAAGGACCGTGAAGGGAAAGCAGCCAATCCAGACATGCGCATTTTCTCTTTGAGATGTTGCTCTAAAAAATCATTGTATCATTAAAAGGCTGTTCTATTGCCATTGCTGCTTTAATTTCTCTCGTCTCTTGCCCCAGTTGGCACATTCGTAGAATTCGCTCTCACCCCGTAATGGATAAACTCCGAGGCCACGGATAACAGTCAAGGGCTCATACTTGTAGTACCGGCGCACAGAACTAGACCATCACAGTATCACGGTCTTGAAAACCAGTCCAGTTGTTCAGATGAAGTCCTAGTAGACGATGTAACTCGGTACTCCCATCATGTCGAATCCCATACTCATCGGCATCTCTCAGAATGTGATCGATGTATTCACCCGCTCCAGAGAGGTGTAGAATGTGGGCGATAGCAGAGTGAATTGCCAGTAGTCGTGGATCCGGGGGATCGATGGTCTTGCTGGCGGTGATGAAAAGCGTTCGAGTAACGGGGACTCCTTCACGAAACGGAGGAGCGAGAAATGTTTTAATTTCATACGTGTGCTCTGGCGGCCCTGCAGGTTTGAAAAAGATCTTATATCGACCAAAATGTTTGTGCATTAGTTGAGTCAGCGTTAAAGCGTTTCCAGGACGATCAATATCGGTTCCGCTGATCTTATGAGCGACACCCGCGTCCAACATGTTGAGTATCTTCAGCGTTGTTTGTTGGGCTTCAGTCTGGAACATATAGGTTAGCGATTGCGATTCAAAAAGGGTTCTGGAGTCTCCTGCCAGTCCTCGGTTGCCTTCAACCTTCGTCAATGAATGAGGCAAGATATGTGCCACCTTAAGAGCATCAAACTTTTGCCCATGTAGAGACACTCCATCTTCGTCGCGGAAAGCATCTTTTTGGCCACCCATTTCCAAGTTGTATCGCTTCTCCCCCAACTCTTCTTCAAATTTGCGAGAAACAACACACCGATGGCGATCTCGCTCTAGACATTGTGCTCTGAGAATGGAGACCCGCTGTGGAGTTCCTATATATTCATGTTCTTGCTCAAGCGCACGCATGACGGCTGAATGGGTTGCTGGTGAAGGCTGAGGTGTCTTAGCGCTATTTACTTTAAGCGGTAGAAAAAAGTTATCAAAAAGATAATCAGCAAACCCATTGAGGGAAGCTCGGAGTTCGTTACTGTCGTTAAAGTTGATGTCCTCATTTGAATCAATAGAAAGTCCTGCACTGAGAAAGAAAGCATGCAAAATGTAATCCTTAGACTTATCGTCTGCTGAGCGGTTGTACATTTGTCTGACCAGTTCGACGCGGTCATACTCCTGAGCAGGTCTGTTACTGTGATCCCGGAAGTGCTCCAGGATTTGGAAAAACCGACGCGTGGTAGATGCGCGTTGGTCGGCAGTGAGCGGGGGTTTTTCTGAGAAATCGATTACTGCCATTAGGGAGCTCTGGTGGTGTAGACGCGGCGGCACCATTTTGATGTTGACGCTGAGTTGTGAAGTTGAAGTGTTAACAGCAAGAAAGCAGGAGATGAGGTCGATGGTGGGGTTGAGGGGCACAGTGCAGATCAGGCACACGCTGATGATTTAATGCCACACAACCTAGTGCGCATTGGGCTCAGGGTTGTGTCGGTGCAGTGCGGACTCGATAGATGCATAAATGGTGGGATGGAGCTTGGATAAGACGATATTCGGCCCAGACCCCGGTTCGGCTGGAGAATAAAATTGCGGCTGCAGCTTCTTCTGAAAATCTTCTTTTGTCTTCAACAACAATTTCGCCGGCTGCAATTGACTGCCTCAACGAAAATTGTCAAGCACGAAACTTTTGGACTCTGCAGGCAGCTTTTGCGCCATCACAATTTTGTTCTCACGGGTCGATTCTTACCCAGCAACAGTAAGGTACGTTACACAACACGACACGACTGGTGTCTCGTTGTCAACCCACGACGGACGCGTGCACTCTTCCCCTTTTTCATGATGACAAACTCTTCCATTAAGAACGGCCAACTGAATCACCATGTTGATTTAAAAATTATCAAGCTCAACAGTCTGACATGTTTCCCTCATTCATTATTCATTGCAACCAACTTGTCAGAAGCATTTAGCTAACTTGACAACCAGTTTTGTAGATTTCATTCGGAAAGGCTCTGCTCTGCCAATAGGCCCAGCTGTTATTACCTAGCATGAAACAATGTATTTAATACAGATATATCTTTAAAAATGTCGCTTAGTTTGCTGTGATGTGTCACTCTGTCGTTCAACTTGGGGGATACCCAATTTTCAGATCATGTATGAACTTTCACTACTCTTCACCGGCATTCATAAATCACCGCCACAGATCGTCTCGTTCAATTTGTTGGTGTTGTTGTTAAATCATATCTTATTCTCTCAACAAGCTAATATATACAATATTCCGATTCATGGAGCACCATGCCAGTTCTTTGTGGCTGGGTCAAAGTAGTTGCTTTGGTCTTCCGGCCTCTAGTAACCTGCTATCCCTCGAAATAGAGAGTTCCCTGTTTCCTGCAGCAAGAAAGATGTTACAGGTCCTTTCAATTCAACGCGCCACTTACTCCCAAAATGTTGGAAGCATCCAAGGCCTCCTAGATCATCGCCAATACACCTGTCATGTTTTTCGTGGACCCTTTAAACGCTGCTGCAACCATTCATTTCTGTCATAATCGCAGGCTTTTCCCGACATGATAATCCACCAGTCTATATCAAATCTGCTCGTGTCACCCGCATGAGACTAACAGCGGTTTCGTTTGAAGCAAAACTGCTGGCTAGCTTTTCGTCATCTTCGTTATTCAGCTGTCAGACTCGGTCTAGCGGGGCGAAACATCGTGTCAATCAAGTCGATACTTTCTATAGTTCTTCTTCGTCTTCATTTTTCCCTTTTTGCGTCTCCACGTTGGAGGGTGTTCCAGATCCGGACCCCCCAGACGGCGCTGCATCCAACTCCGTCTTCAAGCCCGAGCCTGCTCCAAAGCTAACACCATCGGCTGAGTAGTCAACGCTGGGTCTGTACTTCTTGAGAGGGCTCTGGAAGCTGGACTTGCTAGGGGTATCGAGACTCGCTGCATTTGACAAACTGTTGTTTGCAGAAGATCCTCCAGCGGGAGGTGCTAGGGACGTGGATGCGTTGGCTGCAGTAGGGGTCTGCGATGCTGAAGAGGCGACTATGCTGTCTGGGTCCGCGGAATGCGCCCTCTTAAGCTGTATCCAAGATGTCAGGTCAGGAAGCCCAAAGCATGATCATGTCAGAACTTACGTGAATACGGTCCACACCCTCAGCAAGTTCGCCCTGGAACTTAACATCTTCCGGCGCAAGTTTGGAGTCTACTTCCTTATCGTAAACTTCCTCCATCTTGCCTAGGTTTTCGTCGTCATCATCGTCGTCGTCGTCGCTATCATCGGCAATATTTCCGTTGCTCTTCTTTCGAGCCTTGCGCCGTCTCGAGGCTTCAGTAGCTTGGTCGCGGAAGGCAGAGAAACCAACGGTACCGCCAGCCTTAAGGGGTCCTAGGTTAGAGAAGTCGAGTTGACCCGATCTTCGCTTAACGGAGCTTGGTGTTGTCTGTGGGTTCTTCGATGATTGAATGACGCCCAGCTTTTGCAATTGTCCTGTAACAGCTTGTCAGTATATGGAGATCATGCCATGCTTTAAAACTTACGCTCTCCGCGATAGAAAAAGGTAAAGACGGCATAAGGCTTGTCTGGACCATCGATCCCTGTCACAGTTTGTGTGCTAATAGTCTTGGGATCAAGAGTTTTGGGTTTCGCAAAACTCGTTGTATGTTCAACATCGGCGTCGATTCCGTTGCCTTCTTTGGAACCCATATCGTCCTCATCGCCATCATGGGCATCAAATTGAGGAGAGTACTCGCCCTTCTTGATTTCACCGGAGGCGAGAACACGGAACATAGCCACTTTGATCTGTCCAGTCGCCTCAGGTGGTTCATCATCATCGTCGGACCAGGAATCGGAATCGTCCAAGACAGCCTCGATAGGGGACTTGTCATCGGCACCATAGCGTAGTGTGCTCCTTCGGCTCGAAGATCCTTCCTCTACATCGGCGCTTGCGTTGCCTTCAAGGGCCCTTTGTCGTCGTCGGCGCTTCTCAAACTTCTGGCGACGCTTCTCAAGTTTCTCGGCAGCATCATGTCCTTGGAGATCCAAACCGTTGAGCCATCGCTCCAAGCCAACCTCACGGAACAAGAACTCGCGCTCGGCCAGACCGCCACCTTCAGAGTCAGGGACCTGAACCCAACGGCTGTTCACCCAAGTTTCCTCACCAGGTCGCAGCAGAGTAGCAACTTCCTCTTTAGCTCGACCGTCAAAGTAGATGTAGGCAGCGATAGTCTCGTTCTCGGAGTTGGTCATAGGGATGTAGGGGTTAACTACACCAGTCGACTTGCCTCGTTCGCCAGTGTTGAGCCCACCAACGAACTGTGGCTTTGGATAAGGGTTCTCATCACTAGGCTTTGGGGTTGAGTATGGAATAGGCAGTCCTGGGGTAAGGAGCGTGATAGAGATGGCGAATTTAGCAGGCTCAGGTTTGTTTGACTCGGCGAGCTGAGGTTGGGGAACAGGAATGTAGGTGCTGATCCGCGAGAGACGAGATTGTTTCTGCATGCCATGCTCTGGCAGCGGGGCAGAGTTCGCATGGATGCTGACCGCAATGCCCTTAAAGCAGGGCATCGTGGCGGTACGTGCTGGGGATTGCTTTGTACAATCGAGGGTGAGGGGAGGCAGAGATGATGATAACGGCGAGAGATCTAAGGTTTGGTCGGTACGTTTGGCCTCGATTAGGCTCGTTGAAAGTTGGGCTGGTCAGGGCTAGACTGGCGCGAAGCACGAGCAGCAAAGGCAGTCGGACGGTCGCTTGCTGGTGCTAAACTCAGCACATACGGTCAGGTCGGTGTGCTCAGCTCAGGCCTTGTCGTGATTGTTCAAACGGATGTGGTTCGGGAGACGTCGAGAGGAACAAGCGGGCGGGCGGTGGAGGTGGTCGCAGTAGTTGGTCCCGCAATAGAGTCCAGGTGAATCGAGCTAGTAATGGCGGTCGGTACGTAGCGGTAGCGGCAGCGGCACGGTGCTGTCGTGGTAGCAGCGAGGTGGTCGGCTGTAGAGTGAGGTGGGTTGTTAGTGGAGACGATGAACAATTCAATAGTTCAAGGTCATATTTCTTATGTGACTGGTGATATGAGGAGTGAACAGGTAGTCTAACTGATGCACTGCACTGCAAACTAGGTAGCTTGCTAAGCCGTGTCAATGAACGAACCAGTGCTGTTTGTTCGCGGGAAGAAAGTGGAGGGGTTACCCATGGGAAGAGAAGCCATAAGGATAGACTACAAGATCAGCCAGAGCATGGGTACTCCCTGCCTTCAAAGGGGGGTTTGCAGCAATACCTATGGAGGGGTTGGACGTGGATGCCCGCTATAAAATTCGTTGGTAAATAGCGGGCCAGAGAGCACCCGACCTGGAATATGCAACAGAATTGAACATTTACAATGTCCAAATGGCTCAGTATTATACTATAGGTAAATTAGGTATATACTAGTGAATCTTCTTGTACTTCTTGCAATATTGTATATAACATTAGAACTGGTAGTAATTGTCGCTCGTCATATAGCGCGAATCTTGAACGCATTCAACAGTCAAACTGCCAGCCTTCCATTATTTCCTAAACTCAGATCAATAGACAATAGTAACTGGACGCTGCAATCAAGGTTCTGGCTGTCTAAACAACAACTAAACTTTGCCCGTTATGAGGTCGTCATAGAAGTACAACCAAGTTGGCATGCACTAACATTGACCATCATGGTTTAGGATATTATATAACACATGCCTCAGATACAACCAAATGTCGTCTAGTACCAACTTCTCATTAGTCTACCATAAATAGTATAAGCCATGGGTATCTGGTTCTACGGCTTCTCGCATTTTTCCTCCTGATCAACACACATCACAACCTACCTAGATTCGCATCACAGTCTATTGCGGGACGTCCGTCGCCGAATGCTCGATGTACCTTCCTCGCTGTAACTCGTCCCAATACCCGAATCCTTATGTTGTACATCCTCGTCGTCTTTGTCGTCATCGAAGCTTCCATCATCTTCGTCATCAGCGTCGGCTCCTGCTCGAGGAATTTCTGACAGGGGTTGTTCGGGATCCAGTTCTGGCTTGATATCCGGCTCATATTTGAGTGGCTGTTGCCTCCCATACGTAGGAAATATCTCTTCGCGATCCGTGTACTCATTCTCATGGTCATCTCTAAGCCCCTCGAGTCTTCTGGCTTTGGTATCGTCCTCTCCAGGCGGTGACCCGGAGACGACACTCCATAGTCCCCAAGCCACACCCATGAATATAACCTCAAAGGCCCAGAAAACAACAGTCAGAGCCAGGAAGGTCGAAATGCGGTAATGCACCATCATCCAACGAAGTCCACGAAGCTGGGCTGTGAGCTGCAGGTAGGCATGATAAACCTGGATAGTCTGTCCTGCCTCCACCTCAATGTATGCCGACTTGGGTAATACCGATTCTTTTGAAAACAAAACTCGCTCCGCCAATGGGATGGTCATCGAGTTCGTGCTGGATCCTGGTGTGAACAGGTGGTAAATTAGAAACAGAACACGGGATGCTACAGACACGAGCGGATCCACGTATGGAAACAGAGCAGGCCTGCGGGAGCTAAACAACACATTGGCTCCCCCAAAACCTTGGTGTAACGACGCATGTCGTTCAGCCTCGGTGTAAAGCTCAGAATCAGCTTTGGAATCGAGCATATGCAGGCTAATCATAAAGTTGCCGCGCTCCACGTTCGGGGTTGAGCGCGGCATTGATAGTACCAAGGACACATCGTACTCTTGCTGCGTTTTCATAGGAGGCGTTTGTAGCGATGTGATCCCATATGGATTAATTCCAGAGCTAAGGCCAACAGCATCAGTGAGCCAGACAGACTGGTCGCGACATCAGAGCACGTACCCATATTGTAGATGTAGTGGCAAAGTCACAACCTCATGAGGCAGAAAATTCTGGAAGAAGAGCACTGACGCAATGGAAGCCGTGCAGAATAGAGTGGCAGCGGTTGAGACGAGGAGAACGGTGTTAACAACTGCTCGTTGGACAGGCTTAGAAGTGACGACACGGGCAGTTTCTTGAAGAGTTTCCTTGGGTTCGATTAGTTTGTGTGCAGTGGAGTGAATGTCATGAGCACAACTCACCATGATGAACCTAACTAACTCATCAACTCGGATGAGGTGAAGTTAGATTGAGAGAAGGGAACAAGAGTGGCACACGACAAGGGAGGGAAAGCCAGCCCAAGGGAGTGAGATAGTGAGCAAGCGAGTGGCATGTGAAGGTGACAAAATGGACAGGGATGGACGGATGGATGGACAAGGAAGCTACCTCTAAGCTCTGACAGCTCCAACGTCATAGGTGAGGTAGGGTCCAGGGAGCTCACCACTTTACCATACCTACTGTAATTGCTTTACATGGTAATTCAGTCACAATTGAAATTGGAATTTACTGCAAAGAAAATTGATTCTTGTTCAATTTCAACATTAGGAAATACGGATTCTCTAATAGTAATAGTAATAAAAAGCAAAAGAAAGAGCATTCATTTCAATCTTGCCCAACAATCATAACATCCTTGTACAACATACTGGGCTCCCTCCATCAGGACCCAATCTTCATGCCAAATAAGTGAAGCGCTGTGTTGAGAAACAGCAAAACGAAAGGTATAATAAATCAAGTCGTCAATTAAGTCCATCGATGCCTCAAATACAAAAGTCAAAACATAATCATCAGGAAACGTCGCGCAAATGATCCGCCGAGTCGCTTATATCACGGGAAAATCAGCATGCCGCAAGATAATTACTTGGGACCAGCCCGACACTTCCATCTCCGCCATGGACTTCTGCTTCCCACCATCCATCATCCTGGTGACGTAGGACAGCAAGATAATCGCCCTTGGCAAAGCCCAGCTCTTCAGGAATGGCGGCCTGGTACATATATAGAGCGCGTGCTGGAAGATTCGTGTCAGTGTCGTATCAATACCATGAGATCAGGAGTTAACTTACCATAATGCAGAATAGCTCGACCATCTGGGGTATACAGTCGCGAAGGATCGGCAACACTCTGGCTGCGTTGACGAGTGCTTCCGTCATCATAGTAGCTGTTAGCTCTGGAAGCAGGGCGGCTGCCTCGACTTCTCACAGAACCATAAGGGTCAGAGACTGGTGCTAGTTGAATTGCCATGTCGCTGCCTGCATAACCACTTCCGGGTCGACTCTGCTGGCCATAAGGTGAAGGGGAAGGGCCTCGGCTGGCAGGTGACTGGGGGTAGTAACCTTGGGCGGAGCCGTTCTTCTGAGGCGAGCTCATAACGGAAGGAGAGCGTTGGCTGGCAGCATAAGGGTTCGGAGACACCGATCTATAACTCATGTTGTCGTTGATAGGTGGCTGAGGTGAAACGCTCCTGGCTGGTGCGGGCGACGTGGCTCTCGGCATATCGGCGCCTCTGGTACCGGGCCGTGAGCCCGGCGACGAGCCGTAAATACCGGTTCCGCCACGGGACATGTCACTTCCCCTTGTGCCAGGCCGCGAGAGGGGAGTGGCATTGAAGGCACGCGTGTCCGCGCGAGACATATCAGTTGCCCTCGTTCCTGATCGTCCGACGGGTGCTGTGCCATAACCGCCAGCTTCGCCTCGACCCATTTCGGTACCGCGAGTGCCAGGACGAGACATGGATGCTGAACTATAGCTTCCCGATTCGCCTCTACCATGTGTAGCGGTTCTGGTGGCAGGTCGTGAAGCTGTTAGTGGAACACTTTGGCTCAAGGATGGCTCTGTTCGTTTAGTCTCAGTGGCACGAGTGTTGGTTCTTGAAGAAGTGCTGTTGAATGCTCCCGGTGAGGTGGCTCCATTCTCAAACATGCTGCGTGTTTGCGAGGTCGCCTTCTTTGTGGCCTCCTTCATCGCCCTTGAAGTGACAGCGGGGGGCGGAACACCCAAGCGTGATGCCGGGTTTTGATACGATGGCGGAGGTGTTCCTCTCTTTGCAGCTGCAACATCAGGATTGGTCGGGGTCGGTACTGTTCGATTCGCAGAAGCCTGTCGTGAAGCAGCCTCAGACCCTGGTGCAGGTGATGCAAGGCCGGAATAATGATCGGCTGAGACCCTCATCGACGAATTCTGACCCAAAGTAACACCCTTGAGTTCGGCGAGAGCAAGTGCGATAGGATCTGTCTCTTCTGCTGGTTCTTGAGTTGCGGCAGCAGCGCCAGGCTTCTTCTTCGTATCAGGTGTTGAAACTGAGAAGACATTCTGCCCAACACCGAGAGCCAGGCTAGCGTTGGCATCGATTGGCTCAGGGCTTTGAGTGCGTTCCTGGGTCGCCACATTGTTCGTTGACTCTTGAGTCTGTAGCTGTGGTCTACGAACCGGGCTGGTCGAGTTTTGTGTGCTTGGTGCGTGCCAAGTGTTCCTGTTTGATTGTTGAAGTTCCTTCTGACTTTTGCGTCTGAAGGGACTGTGGTTCTTCAAGAAACCACCACTCTTCTTCTTAGCTACTAGCTTGACTGGGCTAGGAGTAGGGGCAGCGGCGGCGGGTGGAGGGGCAGCAGCAGGGGTAGCAACAGGTGTAGAGATTGCCTTGGGCGCAGGTGCAGGAGCCGGCGCTGGCGTGGGGACTGTAACGGGTGCTGGTGCTGGTGCTGGTGCTGGCGCTTGTAAAGGAGCTGGCACGGGGGCAGGGGCTGGAGCAGGAGCCGGATCTTGCCTGATGGGATCTTGCTTGACAGGCGAAGTCTTGCCACTCGGGGGCTCTACGCTAGAGAATGAGTTCGGGTTCGAATAATCACTATGCGAGTCCCTGCTTGAAGGTCGAGCCGATGTCACCTGCGAACTGTGGTCCGAGATCGGGCTTGGTCCAGTCCTGCAGAGCATGGTCATGCCATCCGTGGGATAGGGATCATGGGGGACTGCTGAAACCGGACCGTGGCGGCTGGCATCATATGCAGTATAAGCCGAAGGTTGCTGACGCCGAGGAGTATCCTCGATAGGCCGTCGTAGCTCCAAAGATGTTCTTGAATCTGATCCTTGTCTCGTATCGACGCTAGGCCTAGACTGCATCGAAGGTCGTACTTCTCCAGAATGGCGCATCTCCAAAGAAGGTCTGGGCTCGTGCTGTCGTATGTTGTTACTTCTCATGTCTGCAGCCCTATTGTCTGCAGGTCTCATCTCCAGAGGTCTCATTTGTTGTTGCATGCGGTGATCCATACTCTGTGGGGGCTGTTGAGAAGGGTGCTGTCGCTGCGGAGAGTATTGATGTTGAGGTTGGTGCTGGAGTTGGGAGGGGTGCTGTAGCTGAGCTGGGTGCTGAAGTTGGGAAGGACGCTGCGACTGAGAAGGACGTTGCATCTGGGAAGGATGCTGTAGCTGAGAAGGGTGCTGTAGCTGGGAAGGATGCTGCAGCTGAGAAGGATGTTGCAGCTGGGTGTGTTGTTGAAACTGGGAAGGACGCTGCAACTGAGAGTGATGCTGCAGTTGAGAGGAGTGTTGTATTTGCGTTTGGTGCTGTTGACGCTGCTGAGGAGGCGCCTGAATCTGTTGGTGCTGGGTTTTCTTAGCGCCAATTTGAAGTATCTCGTCAGGAGGCAACGTGGCTGGCTTCGGGACTGGAGCGTTGGGCTCACGCTTGGCAGGAGCGTTGTCTTTGTGTGCCAGCTCTTTGGCTAATGCAGAGTTTGGGTCATGATGCGACTCGAAGGTTGACGGCTGGGGAGAAGATGATCGGAAAGCAGGGTTGATCATGCGAGGGAACTGGGCAACAGAGTAGTTGTCATCTTCTGACGTCTCAGACTGGTTGTCCGTCACATCCCCACGGCAGAAGTTGATGTATTTGGGCGCATCTGGAATCTCTTGTCCGGTTCCCTTCTCGGTGATGAATGTGATTATGTCCTTCTCCACATCCATAACCTCCAAAGACAGTCGGATCTTTTCGCACGATGAATCGTCACTAACGCATACAGTCGACGCAATATTGGCGAACGTCCACAAGCTGCTCTTGGTGAAGTCTAGGCGCTCTTCTTCCAAGTCTTGAAACTTGTCGGCAGCCGACTTCCACTCTCTATTCCATCTTGCTGTTGTGTCTTCGAGTGCTTTCACGGCGTTTTCGTATTCGGTACTGGAGGCTGCGAGACTGATCTGCGTCTTTTCTAATTTCGCCTTGTTACGACGCTCTTCTTGGCCCATGACCATGTGGCCTTGAGCCAGGTAGCCTTTAATCTTCAAACATTCTTGCTCGTACTTGTCTCTTGTCTGTAATCCCGTTAGTTTAGATCACTCGGGTGAGGAAGGTAGCCGCTGACCTTGTTGACTTGCTGGGTTTGCTGCATCTTGACCTTGAGTAGCTTTTCGACAGTGTTTTGTATAATCTTTCGGCGCTCCTTCATTCCTCCTGCGAAAGCAGCGAGTGGTTCCTCGAGTTCTGACTTCATCTCTGCGCCGATGAGTTGGTGCTGTTTGGCCATCTGTTCCACTTCGCCTCGGACTGTATCCAACGATGTCTTCAGTGTGCCGGATTCTTGAGAACCCAAGGCCTTGCGGCTAAGGTTTAGCATTTTACGGGAATATTCTTCTTCAATCGACGCTCGAGCTGTAGAAGATCAGCAAAACTGCCGCGAAATAGCTCACAGATGTGTACTTACCGCCATAGAATGCTCTTAGTTCATCGCATGTTGTCTTCGCTGCCGTCATGCGACTGAGCAGTGGCGTAACTCCGGCATCTTCTTTACCCCAGAAATTGTTTGCGACTGGACATTTATGTATCAGCAAGGTATACCAGCATCGAATGGGCTTTCACTTACAAGACAGCGCAACGGCTGGAGTCTCGACCGTTGAGCCAGGCATGGTGCCCAAATGTCGGTCAAACAAGTAACAACCTTTGCTAATTGACAGCTGTTGATGATATTCTTTTGAAATTGGATAGCGAAATTCAAAGGACCAGCCTCAGTCACACTGAACTCCACACTAATGATGGAGGAAGCGAGACACGAGGTATGTAGCTGATTCAATGCTGTTAAAGAGAGCATTGCTATCTATGGAGTAACTAGCTCGATTGTTTTGGTGGCGTCGTTGTTGTTGGCAGGGTAACGGCTGGAGCATTGGCCATCCCCCATGCCAGCTAAACCTGGTCCTCTGGGTCGGGAGGACTTCGACCATCACTCAGCGACCCCAAGGCACGTGATGCGGGTATAGTGGAGCTTTTTGACGGATCGGGATTTGCCGTTCTCCGGTACCTTGTCATTTTCAGTTACTGTACCTTGTCCTCCAAACCCAACATCGACCACGTACGGACTGTCTTGACGATATCGATACTTGCATCACCACGCGCCATCCATACTCTGACTTCCGCTGGATCAACTGACGCCGAATCGCTGCAGGCTTCCCCCCGAGCTTTACAGTTTGCTGCGTTTTCGGCGATCTCTTTCCGACGACCATTGAGTTCGACACGTACCTCCATCTATCTCCACCTTCGAGTCGAGTCCAACTCACGAGTCTCTGGTTATCGAAGCCGGTTGCACGATCGCGCAGTAACTGGTTCCGCCATCACGTCCCCTGGTTGCTGCTTTAATAGGCCGCTCCCCCATGTAGGAACCTTATATATCGACTTATTCTCCTAAACACTTCCCCGCTCGCTCGCTTCGTGAGCTTTCCGACCTGCCACCACACCGAGAGCAGGCGTTCCATCATCTCATCTCCCTCCGCCGCGAATATACTCCATGGTCCCACCACCTCGAGCGGGATCATTTTCGCCCAATCCTGCGCAGACACTACAGACGGGTGCGAGCCATTCACCCCACCCATCGCAGGCTGCCATTCTCAGTGCTGGCGCAAGTCCCAGCGCCAGCAGTCCAACGGGCACCAACTCTCTCACCAAAATTGTTGTGGCCCAGGTCTATCTTCTACTCAGCACTATCAAAGAGGATAAGGACCGTGCGAAGTGGGAACTACAGGTTGATCAATTGAAGAAGGTTTGGCTACCTACCTCTGTTGCTATTCAGTTACCAGTTTGCTGACGAGTCATTTGTGCTATAGCTCATCGATGATCACGGCATGGAAGTCTTTTCAAAGTATTTCACCCGGCTCGTTGCCGGCAATGCGCCGCAAATATTCCCTGGCCTCAATAGGCCTGTCTCAAATCCCGGGAACTATCATATCCTCGTGGGCGAGATGCGAAAGATTTCACATGATGTCAATCAAGCAAGCAAAATCGCCGAGTCAATCGAAAGCGGCACCGAAGACATTTTCCGCGACTTTGATCTCTCAACTTTTATGGAACATTTTAAGCTCGATGCGTTAGAGAAGACATTGTTAGCTTTGGCATTCAAGCTTGGTTCTCGGGTAGATCTGAAGACAAAGGGTAAGTCAAGCTCCTTTAAAAAGCTATCTCGTCAATCGTACTTAATCCAATTGCAGCCGATGCTATATTATCCACCAACTTCCCCTCTTTCCTCGACATTATTTCTCGACCTACCCTTGACGCCCACGCCGACCTATCTCCTCCTTTCATCGCCATGATCCTGGAACGATTTCTTCAGTACCACCCTCCCAGCTTTAATGAGTCTGCCGAACTCGATCTCGAGGTTGCTGTCACGAAGCGATGGCTCGGTCAGACCCCGGAGCAAACACCACCGTCCGAGATTCTTGCGGCCCTCGATCTTAGCAGAGTGCTTGCTGATCGACCTTCCAATGGGCTGGTCAAGTACATCCAGAAGATTGGGGCTGAATTCACCCGGGATGAGGAAACCTGTGTCTCGTACTTACAGAATCGACCCAGCAGCCTGCAAATAGTCCCCGAACAGATCTCAGCCGCCATGACCTTTACAGCCATCAGCCAAACTCCTCAACAAGATCCCAGTATCTTGGTTGCCGCGTTGAGACGGGTACTTCCGAAGACATTTGATTGGATGGAGGTAATAGTCTTGTTCGATCAACCTTCTGCTCGGGTATCTTCCCCGCAGTTTCTGCGTCTCTACCAAGCATTTCTACCCATTGCGCAGGATTCTAAGACTGGTTTCGATATTCAGAGGCTATGGGGCGGTGTCTGGAGAAACCCAGAGGCTCAGCTCTCTTTTGTTAGTGCCTATGCCTCTTTAGTTCCGGAACAGCTGGACGCGACGACAATCCCTGGGCTTCAGCGCAGCATCACCATCGACGATTACGCCAATTCGCCTCACAATGTCCAAGAACGAGCCGCTGTTGCTGTCAAGCATCCGCTCGTTTCCGTTGCCGCACTTTCCTCTATCTTCAACGTTGCGCTCAGTTCTGTCATGGCTTCCACTAGTATTGAAGCCAAAAGGCTGTTCCAAGAAGTGGTAGTACCTAATTTGGACATTTTCTTAGTGTCTGCCTTCGAGGTTCCCCGACAACACTGGGCTCCCATGGCCGTGGAAACTCTAGGCTCCTTGTTTGAGAACTTCCTCTACAAACGCTCGCCTGAATACGACTTTGTTCTCGATAGCCTGTGGAGGAAGGATAAGGATTGGGTGATCCAACGCTTGATTGATGCACATGCCATCAAGCCGGTGGATCTTCCGCTTGTTTTCGAACATGCAGTGAAGCACAACTGGCTGGACTCGCTCGTGTACCTACCCAACGGTTTCGGAATTGACTTGGCTGCTCTGGCACATGCCGAAGGATACCTGGATCTGTCCAATTGGGCACGCAATAATGCTGAACGGAGCAACGAAATCTCCCGTACTCTTCTACAGTTCCTATTGATCAAGGCCAATCTGGAAAGCCAATATCAACGGGGCGGAGCCGATGGTCAACCTGCTATTAAGAATTCTACCACGCTCCAAGTCCGTACGGTATCCGCATTGCTACGGATTCTCGAGGACTTTTTGCCTAGCACTCCGATTCCTGAACTGACTATGGTTCAGCGACACTGTATCATCGCCTACCCACGGTTGATCAATTATGGCGAAGGCTACGACGACATCATTGACGCTAACGGGAAGGATGGGAACGCTTTGTCGCCAATTGCCAACGGCAAGATGGAAGAACATTACAAAAAGATGTACAGCGAAGAAGTGCAGGTTCGGAACATCGTCGAGGTTTTGAATCAGTACAAGCACTCCAGGGACCCTCTCGATCAAGACGTCTTTGCCTGTATGATTCATGGGCTCTTCGATGAGTATAATCATTATGGGGATTATCCATTGGAGGCCCTCGCTACTACCGCGGTTCTCTTTGGTGGCATTATCTCACATAAGCTTGTTTCCAACCTACCTCTTCAAATTGGATTGGGCATGATCTTGGAAGCCGTCCGGGATCATTCTCAAGAGGATCCTATGTACAAATTCGGTCTTCAGGCACTAATGCAGCTGTTTGTTCGGTTTCGAGAGTGGCCTACCTTTTGCAGACAGCTTTGCCAAATTCAAGGACTTCATAACACAGAGGCTTTCAGAAAGGCAGAGGAGGTGGTGCGTGAGCACGAGGAGGAGCTTTCGCGAGGGCGCAACGGTGCCGGGACGCCCCATGGGCTAAGTTACCAAGGCGAGGCATTCCCGAACGGCAACGCTGAAGAGCTTGCGAGCGCCGATCGCCAAGCACCAGCATTCGCTTCTCTTAATGTCGACCCGCCACCTCCCGACGTTGAATACGAAGATCCGGATGAGGGTGCCCAGGACAAGGTACAGTTTGTTCTCAACAACATTACCGAGGGGACGCTTCAGGGGATGTGTCAAGAGCTGCGAGAAACGATGGAACGCCGTCACCAACAGTGGTTTGCCAGTCATTTGGTCGAGGAACGCGCCAAGATGCAGCCAAACTACCATCACGTGTATCTCGAACTGGTGAGGCTGCTCGAGGATAAGTCTCTTTGGAGTGAGGTTTTACGAGAAACCTATATTAGCGTTTGCCGGATGTTGAACTCGGAGGCGACAATGCAAAACTCGACCGAAAGGACTCACCTCAAGAATCTGGGTGGCTGGTTAGGTCTCCTAACTCTGGCACGCGACCGCCCCATCAAGCACAAGAATATCGCATTTAAGCAACTTCTGATCGAGGCGCACGATACAAAAAGGCTGATTGTTGTCATACCTTTCGTTTGTAAAGTATTGACGCAAGGCGCCACATCGGCAGTCTTCAGGCCTCCGAACCCCTGGCTAATGGATATCATCCATTTGCTGATTGAGCTCTACCATCATGCTGAACTAAAGCTTAACCTGAAGTTCGAAATTGAGGTTTTGTGCAAGGGCCTGAACCTTGATCATAAGAGCATTGAGCCCTCTGGGGAGATTTTGAACCGGCCTGTCGTCGTTGAAGAACCAGCTGATGTCTTGCCAACCGAACAGCTCGACGCTTTCGAGAACCTGTCGCTGAATGGCATCGGTCCCGCTGTTGGCACTGGACTATCGCCTCAAGCGCTCGCCCCAACCATCCCAGATCTTGGTCCATTAATCAATATTCCTCCCACTAATGAGATGGTTGTTAGCACCACCAGGCTTCACGAGATTGTGCGTACGGCGCTCAGCCGTGCCCTGCAAGACATAATCCAGCCTGTCGTTGATCGATCAGTTACTATTGCAGCGATCTCAACTCAGCAAATGATCCACAAGGACTTTGCTATTGAGCCTGACGAGAATCGCGTACGAACCTCCGCTGTCAGTATGGTGAAGGCCACGGCCGGCAGCCTGGCTCTCGTTACCTCAAAGGAGCCCCTTCGTGCCAACTTTACCAACTATATGCGAAACCTTTCGAACGATCTTCCTCAGGGGCTTCCCGAGGGCACAATCATTATGTGCGTCAATTCCAATTTGGATCTAGCCTGCAACATTATCGAAAAGCAGGCCGAAGAGCGAGCTGTTCCCGAGATTGAGGAGATGATCGAATCCGAGCTTGAAGCCCGTCGACGGCACCGCAATCACAGGCCCAATGAACCTTATTTCGACTCTGGCCTCAGCCGGTGGGCCATGGCTATACCTCACCCATACAAGCTTTCGCCCAATATTAACGGATTGAATCAGGAGCAAATGGCCATATATGAAGATTTTGCTCGTCAACCACGCAGCGCCACCCTCCCCACTCCCTCCCATGGTCAGTCAGCCTCTGATGCTACGAGATCGATGGCGAACGAGGTCTTGCAGGAGCCATTTACTACTGTTCCCAACATTCCAACACCTGCAGAAACTCCTTCGATCCAGCAACATCTGGGTGCTCAGATGCAACAACCTTATGCACCTGTTCACAGCGGGGCTAACGCCATGTCTAACGGAAGGTCGCCTGGCTTCCAACTGAATGTTCAGAACATGGCTGAGCGAGTCAACAAATTGCTCCAGGAACTTGTCAGGGTGGCTAGTGAAGCACCCGAGGAACATTTCCAAGGCTTGCCACGACCTCATTCGCTTTTGGATGTTGTCGATGCGCTTGTCCAGCTCATCATTAAGACATCTCAGAGCTCTGAGGAATTTGCTATCTACGCTGCTGAGCAAATCATCGGTCTCATTTTCGCGCAGGTGGACGACAACTTAACTCTTGAAAGCTTGGTTCATGTATTGGAGACACTGAGAAAGATCTCCGGTCCTGCTCTTAACAGCCGCATCCGTACTCTCTTCGCCCAGCAGCCCGGATCTACCTTCTTGAACCTACCTTTACTCGCAGCTCTGGTTAGAACGGATCTACTGGAGTGGAGAAGCATTGATTTGGCCATGTCTAAAGCACTCCAAGCTCGCAAGGAGGGTTCTCTCGATTTCTTGGAGCACATGCTGGATCTTACCCTTCTCGACGCTCGACCAATTGCTCTCTACGCCGACTTTGCTTCTACCTTAGAGGCGGCGTGGGCTTGGATCTTGGAGGATACTGACTCCTCTGCCGGCCAACGAATCAAGTCGAAGCTAATCAACTCAGGCCTTACACGCCCAACACCAGTCGATAACCAAGCTCTCTACAAACACGACCAGATAGAGTATGTTTTCGAGGAATGGATTCGCCTTTGCCACAACAACAATGCATCAGATAAGATTGTCACTGCATTCGTGCAACAGCTGCAGATGGGCCAGGTTCTGCAAACCCGAAGCGACTTTTTTGTCTTCATCCGCATCGCGCTTGATCTCTCTGCAGACCGTTTTGAGTACATTGTCCGCACAGGACCTATTGGCGATGCCTACTTGATGGTGGATGCGCTCTCCAAGCTCATCGGAACTTTTATCGGCATGGGTTTCGAACCGACATCCACTCGGCCAGCCTTCATCGACTCAGTTCTTTCGCTCATTGAGCTTATCCTTAACAACCACCATGTGAAGCGCGGAGAGGATTTGAACCAAAAGGTTTTCTTCCGCCTCTTGTCTATGCTTTTCCATGAGATCCAGGCCATTTCCGAGACCTTGTCAGATGACGAACGCCGAGAGGTTCTGATCAAGGTTGCAGCTCGACTCAACAGAATGGGGCCTGTGTTTATTCCTGGCTTTATCTATGGCTGGCTGTCCCTTGTTCAACACCGCGCATTCATGCCTGCGATTCTGCAGTTGCCCGACGGTGCCGGCTGGGGACCCTTCGTCAACCTCGTTTGCCAGTTGCTTGATACTCTGGGTAATCAACTTAAGGTATTCGAGGTCTCCAACATTGCAAAGGATATTTATCGCGCTACCTTCAAGCTCCTTGTCGTTCTGTACCACGACTTCCCAGAGTTTGTTGCAGCTAATCACGTCAAGCTTTGCGCTAGCATTCCACCTCATTGTACCCAGCTGCTTAACGCTGTCGTGGCTGCCAGCCCTCACCACCAAATGTCAAGATTTGGTGATGCTAGTACCAAAGACCAGACTGACGAGGCGCGCGTTCATCCTGGTCTTATACACGATGCTGTCTCCGTCCTCCAGGCTTATGGACTATTCGATGCCATCGATCAAGCGCTTCAGAGTGGCCCAACAGAAGACATCGCCGCGAATATTACACGTGCCATGCAACTGGAAGTTCCTAAAACGACTACATACGGACATGTTCCTGTTTCTGCTAATACCGCGGTCATTGATGCTATTGTCGTTTATACCGGACAGCACGCAGCGGAGAAGGCGGCGCAAGCGGGTACTGCGATTTCTGTGACCAGTGACGAGCATGAAGTGTACCTTCTTGATCTGATCATTCATGAGCTCACGGCAGAGGTCAGATACTATCTCCTTGTCAGTATGGTCAACCAACTCAGGTTTCCAAACGCGCACACCACTTTCTACCGACAGACACTTCTGTTCCTTTTCGGCAAGGACCTTAGCGATCCCGAAGAGACCGAAATCCGTCAGGAGATCACCCGAGTGTTGCTTGAGCGACTAGTTAGTTATTGGCCTCAGCCATGGGGTCTTCTATGCACTGTTGTGGAGCTCATGAAGAACGAAAAGTACATGTTCTTCGATCTCCCCTTTATCAAGGCAACTCCTGATGTAAGTCCAAAACGCAAATCCACCACATATCTTAATACTAATATGCGCTCTCAGGTTGCCGAGAAATTTTCACGGGTACTTTCACAGACTTAAACTGGAGGCCACGTATTTAGTCCATAACGGGGCGCTTGGGCATAACGGCACGAGAAAACTATAGGAGAATCATAATATGCTATCAGTAGGGGTTTTTGGTTTGGGAGGCGATGCATCATGATGAATTGTGAGATGAACGGGGCGTTGGGTCCAAAAAAAAAAGAATTCAGAATTATAGAGGAGTGAGTTGTTATGAGGTGCTGAGTCGACTCGTCTGGGGGGACGAGAGTGTCTTCAGTCCGAAATCAATTCGCGGCTAATACTGTATTACTGTACGATAGTATTTACGATTTGTCAAAGACAATACCATACGCATGATCGGTTTTGGATCTGCTGTATTTATTCGTATAATATTTTGATCTCGCTCGGTGCGGTTAACTAGATACTAATATGGCCGTGCATCACAGGTGTAGCTGTCCCCGAAAGCTTGACAGTAGAAATCTTGGACTCCTTCAGATCAACGTCAACTATAATGTTACTCTCCCGGCCCATCTCGACACCCTGGTCAATCTCATATCGAAAGGCGTGGTCACTGAGGTCAGTCTGCTGAAGCGAAAGATAGCTCGAAAGCGCACTTGCAGCACTGCCTGTAGCAGGGTCTTCCATCACAGCTTCCATCATTCTCGAACGAATAGAGCAAACTGTCACGCCGTCTTCCTCGTGTTGGCTGTTGATCACATAGTAGTATTTGCACAGGAGACCATTCTCCCAACCAGCGTCAAGAAGCTTATGTACGGGCAGGGATGTACCATACGTCTGGACCTTTCCGAGATGCTCAAGATCTGGAAGCTTGATGAGCGCAAATGTCATGCCATTGACAATACTGAACAGAGGTGCATTGAGTTCAGATTCGCGTATCGCAGGGTCTGAGGAGATCTGGCCAGGGGCTGGTACAGATAGGTCAGTCAAGGTCTTCTGGTGGCAGCGAACGTTGTGCGGGATGGCAGCTTGAATATATCCAGGGCGGGTCTGGATAAGAGCGATTGGGCCTGCCTTTGTTATCACTGTATCAACGCCTTTAGGGATGAGGGTGACAGCGGCGCCTATGGTGGGATGTCCGGCAAACGGGATCTCAGTGTCAACGGTAAAGATGTCGATCACTCTGCGAGTGACATCACTGTCGATGTCGGGATCGTTCTCGTGGATAAATACCGTCTCGGAGAGGTTAAATTCGCGGGCAATTGTTTGCTTCTGCTCTTGCGTAGGCTTGGTAGTCTTTCCATCTGCAGGAATCGTAACCACGGCGAGAGGATTGCCTCGATAGCGAGTCTTTGTGAAAACATCGAGAGTAACAAAGGGAAGCTCCATGGTTAAGGTTCGGTGGCTTCAGTCGATTGTCTGCCTGTCTAGCTTCAATTGGGAGTGCAGTACAGTAGCTGTAGCTTTATGATAGTAGCTGCAGCACCAAAGAGATCTGTTCAAGGCTGAGATTGGGCGCAGGAACCTTTCCAAAAGCTCGAGCTTGACATGAGCTTGGCTTTCGAGTGATCTCGATAGCAGCAAGTTGAATGAGGTTATGACGAAGGAGGGGGCAGAAGTGTGGTGGGGCGGGGTCACTGAGCAAGGAGCAAAAGTAAAAACTGAGTCAGGAAGGTTCGTTTAACTGCTGAACTGTAGGGTAACCCCTCTTTCAGGTATGTAACTTTAAATTTGCCAACTAAACCTCTTTCTCTTGCTCTATCACAAGCTGGAATACTTTGGTCACTCCGGAGATTGTTCAGGTTTCAAGACAGGGCTTCTAAATGAACCCTTACCTCTGATCTCGAGAAAGAAGGGGGCTTGTTGGAAGAGAGTTGTCGTGTTCGGTATGGCCTTTTGCACTTAGGTAAGGCACAGAATCTAGCGAAGCGGAGCAAACACGGCAGTGACCCCAATTGACCAATCAAATAACAAGGATTATTTAGTGTAGATTTCTGGCCTGTCTGACAAGACGGGCGAAGCAGCCTCAGGCAGGCAATTGAAGGGCGCCAAGACACGAACAGTTTGACGAACGACGGGGACTTGCAAGGAAAACAAAGACATGTCGTAGGTTGATTTTCGAGAGATCTACAGGCTAGTCATTGCCAATGACTTCATGGCGGATAAGACATGAGCAGGACAGGCCAAGGATCTTACAAAAATATGTAGACTGCGACTGCGACTGCAACTGCAGCTCGCGATGACCTCAGATGTCCCGCAGTTCAACAGACATATTGGGTCTCGAAGCCAAAAGTCGGCATTTCCATCATTGCAGCCGTAAATGGAAAGTCATCAGACGATGATGGCCCGGACATGGAGCCATGACCTGAACCCGGTCTCGGCGGGGACTTTGCAGTGATGGAGAGGAGCAAAGCTTGAGCAAGGTCTAGGCGAAAGTGGAGAGCATCCATGTTAGTGGCAGACGCTTGTCGCAGCTGGCGCGGCAAGGGGCAGGGCTAAAGATGCACCGGTGGATGTCCACCTCGTGGCATGCGTCTTTTGACTGAGTGACATCCATTCAGCCAGTTCTCGATGAACTGTAGGGTAACTATAGAGAAGGTTGGTTCAGGTTGATCAAGAGGCGAACTCATTCATCTTGAGAATGACGCAGCAACTGCACAATGGTGGCTGGGCTGGGTCCAGGCGTTGCTTGTGCGGTGGGTAACAGAGTCGTGTAAGAGAATTGGATAAAATAGATCTAAGCAGATCTCGACCAGGCCAGGGGTGACCAGTCCGTGGCTGGCTTGAGAGGCATTGCGTGAGGTGGTCAAAGTTTGATGTGCAAGGGCAGCTTATCGCGATATTGCGTCGGTAATCAATGCCCAACGGCCAATCCAACATGGGATTTTAGTCGACGCGAAAAAGAAACGAATGACCTACAAAGTACCTACTGTACATACAGTACACATTCGATCAAGCCGCGTACCCCAAGTCAGTCGCTCACTTACACATAGGCAAGTGGAGGGCCGATCAAAACACCGCGGCTACAATGATAGTAGTAATTACAAGTCATAGGGGAAAAGGAAAACCTCGGCCGGACAGAGCGGATTGATATCCACCACAAATGTTCCATATTGACGCCAGTCGAGAAGAGGCAGAGCGAAATACCAATGGTGTCATTGGCTGTCGAGGCTAATGTATGTAAGAGTGTAATGTCAAGCGAGACGAGACACTTACACACATATCCATCCCTCCATGGCGTACCCTGGATATAGCCTTGTGCCTCGGCCTCAGGCACAAAGATATTGTACAGAGTACCTTCACCTGCACTGCAACAATAAGGGATTGCTAGAGTCGATTGCCATGGGTGACGGTTGAATGGAGCCAAACAAGGATCCAAGAGGGCCTCGCCGCTGCTGTCGGGACTCTTTTTTTGATGATTCGGCCCACTGCTCATCTGGGCTCCATTGAATTTCAAGATGAAGTGGATACTTCCGTATTCTGCAGCATTAGGAATTTGAATTGCAACGGGTCCGGCTCTCTCTCTTACCTTGGCGCCCATAGTGAACTGAATATAGATGCTCATGCATTAACTGAGTGTGTCGTTCTGCACAGAACAAGCGTGTCAAGAGAATGCGGTGTAAGAAAGATGGTCGCACGGAGCAAACAGATGCATCTGCAGATGCAGCAGTTGCAGATGTAGTTGCAGATGCGGTGTGATCTGTAACAAAACAAAACAGAAGAGGTCGAGGCCAGGGTTTATTGTGTAAGGTATTGAAGCACGGTTATTTGACACGCAGTTGGCAGGTAGTCAAGGTAATGCCTGTTTCTTGTGCTGTGCTGTGCTGTGGCTATTACCTGAGCTCTGAGCTCAAGCCAAATCACATTACCTACTGTACGGCCATTCTCGGACGTTCCCCAAAAAAGATTTCAGGGTCCTCCGAGCACACGCTAACTAACAGTGACCCGACGTGGCCCGGGTCCCGGAGATACTTTGCAGAATGAGCCAAAGAGAGACGGACGCGGATGAGGCGGAAAAAAACACAGTCGGGCATGAGGCGAGGCTATTAGTGAGAGGCTGCAAAGTGCGGTCCAACCAGAGTCGACTGAGGAAAGCTAAACCCAAGTTAGAAAAGAAATAGAAGACGTTCGAGTCAAGATGGCTAAACTCTTCACAGTAAGTAGTACTAAGTTCAATGATTAAAGTCCTACAGTACTGTACCTGGTTGCGTAAGTCTCATTGCCTCTGTCTGGTGGTCATCGATACTTCCAGATTAGCCATTCATCATTCATCATGGACCTTTGGATTGCATTGGATTGGTGTAAGAACGTGAAATGGCTGTCTGGCTGCCTGATCCAAGAGTAAGCGCCTATGACTGAACCTGCGACCCCAACTGCATCTGACTGCAAGGACCTCCCTCACTTGAGAAGCAACAGCACAGCACAACACAACATAGCAGAGGGGAAAAGTACTGTCGGTCGGTTTTCACAATTTTGGTCTTGCGGCTGGATGGATACCATGTATTTACAAGGATGTTTTCATAGACCCACATGTATGACCCCACCATACACTTAGCGCACCCCGCTCTCGGCAGCCATGCACGCCAGTCCCAACCAATCCAGTTTGGCTGAAACGAAAAAAAAAAAAAAAAAAAAAA